ACACGTTTAGCGCGGTGCCCTTGAGAGTGCGGCGCCCGTAGCATTATGTAGCTACTTATGTAGCTACTTATGTAGCTACTTTTGTAGCTACTTTTGCTCCTAGGATAATCTGGCACTGGCCATAATCAGGGGTCGGTAACCAGCGAATCCGGAGCCGCATGTGGGCTCTTTAAAGACGACTTGTGATATAATTTATTATAAGGACCACCGTCTCGTATTCGCATCGCATTGCGGCTCTTGAAATATTTAGTGTTTGACCGAATTAAAAAGAAAGTATCTTCTTGTTATTTTGGTTGTCGACCCCCAGGCCATAATCAGCGTCATGCTGGGCGTTCCTTGTGGGGGGTTCCCCATCTTCAGCTCTAAATACCAACACCCGCCATTCGCCACTAAGTGACGGTGACCACGGTGGTCTGTGCCAGGCCAGGTGCACTTTGAGGCTGCCACGTGAAGTGTCGAATGCTCGCTGCTGGCAGGGTGTCTCGGAACAGACCCAGCAGGTGCCATAGGTTGGCTGACTGAGGTGACTGGAAGATGCACCATCTGTGCTACTTACTGTGCCAGGCTAGGTGCAGGAGGTCTCGGGACAGACCCAGCAGGTGCCATGGGTTGGCTGACGGAGATGACTGGTAGATGCACCAGTTGTGCCAACTTGCTTCATTCATTTTATCCGCCCGGCGCTCCGCTCGTTGTTGTGAGCGTTGCTCCTCTGCCCTTCGTTGTTGCTGGAGGGCGACTGCCTCCAACTGCCCAATAGCAGCGTCCTGCACGAGCCTCCTCCATAGCTCAACTCCAAATAATATCACACAAACACACGCGGCGATCCTGTAATTACAAATAGTTAGCGCTATTGCCTCCCACGTCACGCGACATCACTACACTTTGTGCACAGGGTGGTCCAGATATCTTGTGACCACCCCCCCCCTTTAATTCTCTAAAACTTTATATTTTTTGAAGTAAGGTTTATTTAAAAAAGAAATGAATATGGATATATGAAAAGGAAACATATTTTAGGGTCAATTAATTGGGGGTGACAAGACAGCTGGAACACCCTTTTGTTTAGACCATGAAGGTTCACGATTATGGTCATATTCTATTTGGCAAGCAGTAGGACAATAAGGCAAGTGTATAATAGTTGCATCCTTATTCTTGGTTCTTTCGGTAAAGTCACGATAGGAGGGAAATAATAAAAATATATAAACAATAAAATTCTCACGACGTTTCGACCGCAACACAAGCGGTTATTATTTTTTTAACCGCCACTTTTTTAAAATTTTCTTGCTGTGGCTTTTACACCTGATGACGATTGCTTGTGTTGCGGTCGAAACGTCGTGATAATTGTATTATTTTATATTTTTATTATTTATTGTTTCCCTTCTACGTGATTTTACCGAAAGAACCAATAATATGAATCCCTGCAGTCACGAAAGCTTTAAATCAAAAGTTGCATCCTTGTCAAGGAATCATCAGTACAGCTACAGTACTGTCTCACCTTTCTGAAGAAATGCCGTGACCACAAGGTAATACCGATCTTAGAACTTGACTAAACTCTTGTCGGTAAAAGCTTCTCTTCACAAGGCAGCAGGCATCGTCATGCTCGCAGCAGACGTTGCAGCTATCGCGATTTTCACCTGAAGACGGTGGCTTGTGTTGCGTTCGAAACGTCGTGATTTATTTTGCTACCTATTGTGACTTTACCGAAAGAACCAAAGAGTATGGATTCCTGCAGTCACGAAAGCATCAAATCAAGATTGTGTATATTTATACACACACACAGGGTGGCCCAAAAACCTAGGACACATCGGGTTATTTAATTTATTGTAACACTGGCATGAACACATTTTAATATTTGTTTTATGTTAATATGTTATATATTGTAATTATTCACGTATATCCCTTCTTCCTTTTCAGATGACATTTAAAAATGGAGAGAAAGTTTGACGACGAGACGAACGAGTGTTTAAGAAGGAAGGTGTAATCTTGAAAAAAATAATTCCTGAATTGGTTTCTAAAAAGAATGCATGCGTGCGTTAATGTTAATTGAAGCGCAGTTTTTAAGATTTGTTAAATAAATGAAATAACCTTTTGATTCGTTACATAAATATAAGGCGCTTTATAAATCGAAAATAGCATAGAATAATGACCCTGTGTGTCCTGACTTTTGGGCCACCCTGTATACAGTAGATGGAGGAAATGTCCACCACAAGTCGCTATGTTTGAACATACAAGCCATGAAAAAAGTGGAAGTTGATATAATGCACATCTTCGTGAAAACAGAAATATTTCAACAGCACCATTCCATCGCATCGGCTGCGCTTGTCAACAAAACAATGTACAGTAAAGACACAAGTTTCATCCATACAGCTTATCCATGTATTAACTGCTTTTTGTGTTCAGTTTGTTGTCCTTTCCCCGCATCTCCGATTAGCACGGTTGGCTACGTACGGTGCGAAAGAAGCTCAACATACATGCAATTACTGATTTTGAGACTTTTTTTTACTTTCACTGAAAAGAAAGGTAGATATTGATGATGTTTGGTCAACCTTTTCCAGAACATACTGGGGGTTTAGAAAGTAGTAACATGTAATGTACCTGTACCAGAAAGGATGTGTGTATAGGGTAAGGTGATGTCACGTAATGAGTTCTCAACCTTTGAAAACTTTTGAATGCATTCCAGAAGATGATATGAAAGTCTTTAAGGACCGTAAGGAATGGAATGAGTTTTCCTAACTGTGTGAATAGGCATGCTAGCGGTCTAACACTTGACTACATGTGTAGGTTTAATTAACCCTTATTTGAAGCTTTGGTGACTGCAGGAATCCATACTCTTTGGTTCTTTCGGTAAAGTAACGTAGGTAGAAAAATAAAATAAAAAAAATAATATATCGCGACATTTCGATCGCAACACAAGCGGTCGTCCTCAGGCAGAAAAAAAACAAACCAACAGTGGAACTGCTGAACCACAATCCAACAGTGGAACTGCTGGACCACAATCCAACAGTGGAACTGCTGGACCACAATCCAACAGTGGAACTGCTGGACCACAATCCAGTAGTGGAACTGCTGAACCACAATCCAACAGTGGAACTGCTGGACCACAATCCAACAGTGGAACTGCTGGACCACAATCCAACAGTGGAACTGCTGGACCACAATCCAACAGTGGAACTGCTGGACCACAATCCAACAGTGGAACTGCTGGACCACAATCCAGTAGTGGAACTGCTGGACCACAATCCAACAGTGGAACTGCTGGACCACAATCCAACAGTGGAACTGCTGGACCACAATCCAGTAGTGGAACTGCTGGACCACAATCCAACAGTGGAACTGCTGGACCACAATCCAACAGTGGAACTGCTGGACCAAAATCCAACAGTGGAACTGCTGAACCACAATCCAACAGTGGAACTGCTGAACCACAATCCAACAGTGGAACTGCTGAACCACAATCCAACAGTGGAACTGCTGGATCACAATCCAACAGTGGAACTGCTGGACCACAATCCAGTAGTGGAACTGCTGGACCACAATCCAACAGTGGAACTGCTGGACCACAATCCAGTAGTGGAACTGCTGGACCACAATCCAACAGTGGAACTGCTGGACCACAATCCAACAGTGGAACTGCTGGACCAAAATCCAACAGTGGAACTGCTGAACCACAATCCAACAGTGGAACTGCTGAACCACAATCCAACAGTGGAACTGCTGGACCACAATCCAACAGTGGAACTGCTGGATCACAATCCAACAGTGGAACTACTGGACCACAATCCAACAGTGGAACTGCTGGACCACAATCCAACAGTGGAACTGCTGGGTTGTTTTTTTCCGCCTGAGGACGACCGCTTGTGTTGCGATCGATGTATATTTTTTTGTTTTATTTAATTTTTCTGCCTACGTGACTTTACCGAAAGAACCAAAGAGCATTAATTAGCCCTGTTAAAGTTATGCGAACTGAATTTTGAAGAATAGGCCTTTGCTGTTGTATCCATGAAAATGAATCGGTAATTCAACAGACAATAAAACGCAGGCTGGAAACAAATATATTTAACGACGCTCGTGGATGTGTAGCATTGCGTGTACAATCATGCTCGTTCAGCCTTTTCCACACCACCAGCTTCAATAGAACCGAATGTGTGGCAATGTTGGTGGTTATATAACAATAGTCATACAAATTTATGAAGCGTCCTTAAACAATCGTTCTCAGGGCGATTAGCACCAACTTCAAACAGTTGAGAAAATGTGGCCATCCCACCAGGCAGCAGTGGTCTGGACAAAGGCTGAGAACTTTTGTACATGTAATGGCTTACACACCTTTGTGTGCTGTAACATGTAATGGGAATCAGTGAAGCAGCAGTAGTCTTGAGAGTACACCCGGATTGCTACCCGTGCATCGTCCTAATGGACAGCGCGACATTTCAGATGAGTCTCCTCAGAATGGACGTAACTCTTCTTGACTCCTTAAATGACGTGAGTGATTTGACACCGTTGCCCCAAAACTATTGTTCGTCGATGTATTATGACTTCGAAGTACAGTACAACACTTTCTTGCGTGGTATATGTTGTCCATAATTTGCTACATTTCAAAGGTGATTGACCCTAAGCTACAGGCAACGGTAAATGGTCCGAACATTCTGGGTAAGATTGGGACGATTGGTGGATGATCTGACTGCATATTCTTATTAGGCTCGTCGAATTAGTAGCGCAGAATTTTGAATTTCTCCTGCAACACTGTTATCGATTTGATTACATCATTGTTTCGTTGCTGTTACTTGAAACCACTGTCATTCTTTTGTCAGTTTGTTGACCCCAGGTCACTCTTGCGAGTGAGATGGTCCCTGGTCTCTGAAGCTTCAGCAAAAATAATCTTGCGAGTTGACCATGACCGGTTCCAACATCACCGCCGTGGCCTGGAATCGAGCTCACGTGACCGACGTCACAGCACCGCGTGCCAACCACTGCGCCACCGCTCACCAAACGTGAATATGCTGACACATTTCTGTTCTATGCAAAAAAAGGGGGGGATTTAAAAGAGGAACTATCATTTATGGAACTGCAGCACGTCCCATATCTACTGCTGGCGTATGGATCACGTGCAATAAAACACAGACGCTCTGTCCTCAAAAAGGCATTGTCGACACACGCGCTTTAGGCTCTGTTCAACACCGCTGAATAATAGACGATTACAATTCTTAAAACCATGAAGCTAACGTCACCAGGTTCATTGGCGTCACGTAAGTAAAATATTTTTACGTTGCATTTGGGGAAATGAATATGGCGTCCGTTTTTTGTCATTCGTTTTACAATGTAAGAGAGGCTGTTTGTCAAGAGTGTACATGTTGTAGCAGCACGTGTCGTATGGGTGTGTGTCAAGAACATCTGCAAATGCTTGTGTATGCATTGCTATGTTTGTGAATATGTACGGGCTATATATGTGGGGACAGGGTGAAACGTTGTAATGCTTGTACTTCGCAGCGTAAAGGACCTAGGATAAATTCCTGGCTCGGAATTGTTTTTCTGTATGGAGGATGCATGCTCTCTCCGCTATTCTGCATTCACTTCGGTTTCCTCCCATAGAAAAAAAAAAACATACAATCTTACTGGTGTTAGCTAAACATCCCAATGCAGGACTTTTATGAGAGCAAAAATATCCTTATTATAAGTGTGTCATCATAATCATGAGCCATGGCGTATCCACTGCTGGATGAAGGACTCACCCAATTCATCGTCATCTCTCAGTCATCTGATGCCACTTTAAGAGACTTCTATGAAAGTGAATTGCAGTCACTTTAAGAGACTTCTATGAAAGTGAATGACAGTCACTTTAAGAGACTTCTATGAATGTGAATGGCAGTCACTTTAAGAGACATCTATGAAAGTGAATGGCAGTCACTTTAAGAGACTTCTATGAACGTGAATGGCAGTCACTTTAAGAGACTTCTATGAAAGTGAATGGCAGTCACTTTAAGAGACATCTATGAAAGTGAATGGCAGTCACTTTAAGAGACTTCTATGAAAGTGAATGGCAGTCACTTTAAGAGACCTCTATGAAAGTGAATGGCAGTCACTTTAAGAGACATCTATGAAAGTGAATGGCAGTCACTTTAAGAGACTTCTATGAAAGTGAATGGCAGTCACTTTGAGAGACCTCTATGAAAGTGAATGGCAGTCACTTTAAGAGACTTCTATGAAAGTGAATGGCAGTGACTTTAAGAGACATCTATGAAAGTGAATAGAAGTCACTTTAAGAGACTTCTATGAAAGTGAATGGCAGTCACTTTAAGAGACTTCTATGAACGTGAATGGCAGTCACTTTAAGAGACTTCTATGAAAGTGAATGGCAGTCACTTTAAGAGACCTCTGTGAAAGTGAATTCACTTCAAGAAGAATTATTTTAAAAACACTGTTTGGGCCTTTCATGGTTAACAAGGGAAACAAACAATTTTGCTTAAACGAAGGAACTCTTAACCACAACCACCTGCAAACACGTACGTATACATACACACATGTACACATGCATGCACATATAAAGCACACACATACACACGTGTACATAACAACTGCCATCGGCCACTAAGTGGCAGTTGTGTCACCACAGCGCCTTTGCTTGGCGAGGTGCAATTTGAGGCCACATAATTTGATAAACTGTACATAAGTTAGAACATGTTGAACACTTATGTGGCCTTCACTGAAACGCTGGACGTCCATATGAATGTCAGCTACTTTTCTTCCCACTTCGTCACTTCCCTCTCGTCTCCATTACATTATTTATTTAATAATGCTAGCTTTATCATTTGCAAAATGCGGCGTTTTCCACAGAGCGCCACTTAGCTTGCTTAATTTGGAGGACAGCCTTCAACAATGTGCATCACCGTCTCTCTTCCAGGACAAGTACAGTTTTTGGGTTGACCGAGATGATTGGCAGATTCACCACTTGTGCTCCCACTGTAGCAACTTGCTATGTTTTAACCAAAAACGCCATCCAGCTCGTTGTTGTAGGCGTCCCTCTACCGCTCCGTTGTAACCTCGAAGTGGACCTAGCCTGGTACTGTCCCAGTAGCATTCTTTACAAGCCTCCTCCACAGAGGCCGATCTTGATATCGCTGGTACCAGTCATTTGCAAATCCAATGAGCTCAAAATCCTCCCGTACCAAATCAGCCAAAACCTCTAGCCCATGATGCGCCCGTTTAGCCCCGCGCCCCCGCCACTCCAGCTAAACAAGCACAACACTCACACACATCACCACACATACACACACTCAACAGTTTCACACACTGCATGTCACGTGGAACCGGCATGCAGTGCGTGAAACACGAGACGCGCTGCTCACACCACCGACAGCACGGCAGCTGTCGGGCATTGCACTCCGTGTGCAGTGTCAGCCCCTGGGGGCTAGGGGCCGAGAGCGCCTGGGGCGGCGCAGGGGTGACGGGGGGCCATGGCCCTCCTTAGCCCGGGGGCCCCCAAGGAGGGGGCTGGGGGACCACGAGACCAGGGCCAGGTCCCTCACGAAGGTTCGAGAAAGGAGGCGTGGCTAGGGGCGGAGTAAGCCCCGGGACTGACTATATAAGGTAGACCCCTGGACGGATCCGGCTGCTGTTGTTCATCTGAAGTCATGGAGCCGTCATCCTGAAGAGAAGCCCCCAAGACAAGACCCGGACCCGAGTCGAGGTCCAGTGTTGACAGCCTCCCCCAAGTTGCGTTAGGGCCTCGTTAGCACGGAGGGACTACCTCCTTAGGTTACCTGGTGGAAGGGGCAGATACTCCTTAGTGTTAGGGTGTTGATGTTATTCTAATAAACGTGTTGCCTCCAGAAGAAGTCTTTCTCCCATTTGTACCCACTACACATGTATGTATATATTCACAGTAGGCACTGTCCTTGTTTATGTTAAACTTATTTCGCACCGCATGTAGCCAACCGTGCTAATCTGAGGTGCGGGGGAAGGACAACAAACTGAACACAAAAAGCAGATCTCAAGAAATTATTTTTAAATCTAGGTGATTTAAAAATGCATAGCTCCAGTGGCTTCCTAAGATTCAACGGAATAGCGTTTCAGACGACCGCAGAATGCATATAATAGTGTTGCCGCTGGTCTTCTCTTCTCTCCACAGATCTATCTCCTCACCTCGCCTTTAGCATCACCATCATCATCACCACCACCATCGTCCCTTCTGCTTCCTCACCTCCGTGCGACTCGCTGAACTTATCCTCCTCGTCGCCTCTGCCCGCCTCCACCACCGCCAAATGTTTCGAAGCCACAGGACCCAACTGCCCTCTCGGCCCGAGTTTGAATTGGGCCGTCCTCGTCTCCTTGAAGTCGGCCGAGATTCTGAAGATCGACTGCAAACTGAAATCCGTGGAGGTTTCTGAGGGGCAGCCGTTTCCCATGCTGCCCAACCTCAATGAGCTCCGACTGAACAACAACCAGCTTCAAAACCTCCCCACGGGGTTCATGGGCAACCATAAGAGCCTCAAGTAAGGGAAACTTCCATAGGCCAAAAACACCCATAGGTCTGGTGGGGGGGGGGGGGGGGGGGGGGGGGGGGCGGGGGGCAGTAACATGGCCCCAGTGGGTAGCACGTTAAAACTATTGTTTTTTTATTTTACCGGATAAGGCCTACTGAGCTATGTGTAGCAGCCAAACACTCCTAACCGCATATTGATTATAAATGTGGAGGGAACAACCGGAGGAGTCGGAAAAAAATCCACACGACTACGGGAAGAGAGACATTCAAACGCCAAATATACAGCAGACGTCAGGGTCGGGATCGAACCCACGGACTCCTGTAGAGCAGGCGAGGTAGTTGACATCTCGCCACCATGGCGACCATACATTTGTAGGGGTGTCCAGAGTAGTGGGAGCAGAAGGGGCAATTTGCCCTGAGCCCTTCACGCAACAAATTAGGGGAAACACACAACGGGCCCATTTATTGTCGCGAATAAATAAGGGTAGCTAAGTACGAATTCTGCCGCTGGGCTTTCAGGAGTCCTTGGGCGGATTTTACGCTTGTTGCAGAGATTGTACGCTTGTTGTAGAGATTGTACGCTTGTTGTAGAGATTTAACGCTTGTTATAGAGATTTTACGCTTGTTGTAGAGATTTTACGCTTGTTGTAGAGATTTTACACTTGTTGTAGAAACGTTACGCTTGTTGTAGAGATTTTACGCTTGTTGTAGAGATTTTACGCTTGTTGCAGAGATTCACGGCTCGAGCCCAGCAGCCGCCCTAGTTATTACTGCGGGTGTGTTGCTCATGAATATGCGCCGTTAGTTTCACAGCGGATGTTAAAGATTCCACGATGTGTCTGCAAAAAGAGTGGGCCGCATACGATAACTTACTCCCAACTTAATTGGGAAAACCCACATATGCAGCATCTCCCCACACAGGCAGATGTAGTATGCCCATTTTCACTCTGGCGTTTGGTGCACCTTGTGCCACTAAGGGATAGCCACCACAGGGGATCCCTCTGCCTCTACTTTCAGTTTTTCAGTTTCATTTATTTGGTATAGCCCTGTGAGCCATTCGGCTCTTGAATCGGGTGCAACCACAACAAACAAAAATATGAGAAAACATCTTTATACTGTAGCAGAACATAAAAATGGTCTAAGTGAGGTGGGATTGATGTTAAGGCACTTTGAGTTAGTCGCCGAGGCATTTAAGTGCTCTCCAAATGCAAATCCGTAATAACGTCTCAACATTAAGCTAAGGGTGGTGGCAGCAGTGAGGTACTGTGGTTAATCGCGTTATAAGCTATTGGACCAGGTTTCCCATCTTGAAGACGTGATCTTGAATGAAGGTTATTTGAAGATACTTCATGTTGATCAGTGCAGGTTGCTGAAGGAGGAGAGCACAGATGCGGTGCCACAGAAATACAGTCCGGCGGATTTATCTCACTGCCCACCGCGATGCCCCACAGCCCTATGACAACACGATAATGCGCGGTGAAAGTCTATCAAAGCACTATCCAGACTCATCCCTACTTGGCTTACTAGATCTGATGGGGAACGAGCACATTCCGGGTGATATGGTCAGCGGCACGGTATCTGTAGGTATTGTGCAGAGTCGCGGTTCACAATGGCCCCCTTCCCTGTACGTCGTCTCACAGGGTCCTCCACCTGGAAGACAACCGTCTCACGATCCTGCCCATGGCTTTCCTCAAGGGGTGCGTCAGTATGGAGAAGCTACTGCTGCACAATAACAAGCTGATGCACCTCCCCTCCTTTATCAAACTACCCCTCAAATCCCTCACCCTCCACAACAACTTGCTGGTCTGTGACTGCTCCCTCTACCTCATGCTCCGACACAAAACGACGCTGCTTGTGCCCACCGATCATGCGCTGGAGTTCCCCAAATGCCACAGCCCTGTTCAACTAAAAGGCGAACCAGTCAAGAACGTGTCCATGGACATGGTTTGCCGGAATGTGGGCCCCTATTTCTCCAAGTGGTATGTCGTGGCAATGGCCGTCGGGGCTGCTCTGTTTTTGGTAATTTCCGCTGTAGCGATAGCAGGGATGTGGGTGGCCAGAAGACACTCCTACAATCACCGTCGAGTTTCCAACAATGCTCCCATCAGCGATATCACCGTTAGAACGAGTTTCGCGACCAGCAATACGGTCAACAATGCTTACATCACCACCGCGGAATTATCCTCCCCGTACGTCCCCGAAGATGTGTACGATAATGTGGGGGAGATGTTAGAGGAAGACATGGAATCCGACAATTATATTGATGGTGATGTTAATTATAACGACAAAGACGATTATGAAAATCTGTAGATGTGATGGCTTCAGTTCAGGGTGGACAACTAACCTGGTGTATGCAATGGGGCAGTTTTTTTCCCCCCTTCAAAATATCATGCGAGAAAAAAGGTAATCTGGGTCTACAAAACAAAACTAAAATTGTGAATGTAACAAAGCACTCTGTCCATTATTCAATAATTTGTCAGAATTTGGCTACAATTCAATTTCGGCATGTTTAGCCCCTGCTGTTTGAGTCGATGGTGAGGTGGCTTTGCAGAACCGAGAGCTCTATAAATCCATAACTTTTGAAACTATAGAATGCAGTATCATGCATGCAGAATCTAGATTGTATATATCTGTAAATTTTGTGTGGTCTGTAAACGTGCAACGTTAGGCAAACAGTGCTGCATGTGGTTGGAGCAACGTTGGAGCAACGTTGGACCTCCTCAGGCACAGCGGTGTTAGCCGCTGAGGGTGTGGAGTGTGACGTTCTTCTTTTGACACGCTTTTATTTAACTCACTCTGTTGTTGTTGTCGTTGTTGTCGTCATTGTTGTATCCTCAAATCTTGTAACTCAATTTTAACCCACTTCCCAATGTGGTATCGACTGCAAACTTGCGATACGTATGTCATACTGATGACAATACTATATTCTATCATAAAACATAAAAATTATGTATTTTTAAACGTTCTTTTTTATATGTTATGTTTCGGCGTGGGTCTAATTGTCCACGCTCAACTCACGTTGGCTGTAATTGGTCACGGCCCCCTTACGTTATGGCAAACTTCGGGGCCACTTCCTGGAGTCGTGGAGTTCTGCCATTACTAGTACGGTACATTTCATAAAAGCGTGTTTTAAACATAGTTTTTTTTAAAAAAATATCACTTTTCATTCCTGTTGCTCTGGCAATGTGCACTGACGCTACGCTTAAGTGACGGCTCTATTGGCGCATCAAATAAAGGTTGATTGATTGCCGTGCGGCTTTTGACGATCAAATGTCACCGTACAAAAGTGTTTAATCCTGCTCCTGTTTGCTTCGTTATTTCGTAATGTGTATCCACCTCAAACAGTTACTTTACATGTACATAACGCTGCGTTTTCATTTGTACCCCTCTTTATATGTTCATTTGTTCTGCAAACTTGTACATGGCTGTTGTTTTGCTCATATTTATCATTAATACAACTTTGCAGCCCAATTGTGAAGTTCTTCATTCAGTCAACAATGACTGTAATTGATTTCCCTCGATTCATTCATTTTTCTATGTCATCAGCTCCACTGAGATGACTCACACTTCTGACGTAGAACGCTTTAATGCCATTACTTTTCCAATTCAGTTGCCAGCGAGTATCCACTTTTGCTGTGAATAGCCTGCGATGTCAGTACAGTGGTTATAATTTGTTGTATATTTTTGATAATTCCCACGAATGTTTTTTTTAACACTTAAGTTTGAGAGAGCTTGGAAGGTGCCTCGGTTTTTCATACAGAACGACTCAAAAGCCCACTTTTTATAACTGGTAAAAGCCTATGCAGTAAGTAGTCATGAACGACCCTATAAACATACAGTGCATGAATGTAAAATGAATTATTCCTATGTGCACAATTCAATGCGCGTCATCGCTGAGTGCAATAATAATTTTAATTCATGAACGTCTAAGAATACGTCTCTGTTCAGACAAAAATGGCCGAATCTTGCATTGTTGGGTACATATGAGTTTAAAATAAGTCTTAGGTTATAATCGCATGCCTCGGGTGTCCTAAATCTGGGAAAATAGCCACGTTAACAACAACGATAATAATACTAATGTCCAGTCAAGAGTGAGTCTCTTGCTCACGTACCCATGGAGCTGAGCTCCACGTTAGCACCAGCTCTAGAAACAGCACTTGAACATTCCACATTAGCTTTACTTTGATTTACAATGTTTTTTTTTTACATAAGTATTCTTTTTTGGGGGGTGCAACCCAGGCATTTTATATCCTAATAAACGTTGCGCGTGTTATGAAATGTCACTCTCTCCGTGCGTGTTGATGTTGGGGATTATCCGAGTCTCAAGGCTTTCCTTTGCAGGAGGGTTATTATGCGTGCGTTCTACCGGTTCAGTAATGGCTAACGCAAGGTCTGTGGAGCCTGGTGGGTCGGTGCCACCTCTACATTTTCTCAGCGTGCACGCAGCTCCCGCCTGAAATGAATAATTCATCAGTTCGATTATTTAGATTATTTTCTGCTATACATATCCACATGATATGCCACTTCGTTGAGCTATAATTTGTGAAAGAGAAGCTCGTAGTTCAGTGGGCTTTACCTGGTAAGGTAAAAAAAAGTTTAGTGTTATTTGTATTAAAGTTATTTGCTTACCTTTCCTATGCTTTGCACTCCTATCGTGGTTGTGTATTGATTGTTGTAACGTTCTGATCCGCCCCTACTAGACATCTGTGAGAAAGAGCTTCATAGCTCATCGGATTCCTTCTGCAGTCTAAATAAACATTCTGATTCTGATGAGTTCTGAATGATAATCATTATTTCAACTTGTAAAGTGCACAGTATTTACTCGCTCTCGTACAGAGATAACAACTCAGAGGCGTGAGGAGGAGCCACGGACAAGCATGAAGGCAGCCACACGATAAGTTGCCGCCCATATTTTCCCAAGCTCTGCGCTTCTCTATGTATTAAGGTGTTACCAGCGAATTAATTAGTGTTTACACGTGGGAAGAAACTGGAGCATCCGGAAAAAAACGGAACCATGAGAAAGGGAAACACTCTATCCCATACAGACGGAACAGGTGGAGTCAACATATTAAGTCCAGCCTTCTGGAAAGTCAGGGTATGAATTATTAATAGCAGCATGTAGCATGGCATTGTACTCTGTGCATAAATGTCCCCGTTTCTGTGATTGCTTATCTCTAGTCTGTCTTCACGTCCCTTTCTACGTCTTCACGTCTCTGTGTATCCTCCTTTAGTTCAGCGAAGTGATGATGACGATCACAGGTATGATGATGTTAACATTGGCTTATAAACAATGATGATGAAAGTTCAGAGATAAACGATGGCGATTCAGAACAAGATGGTTCAGAATGCCATGGTGATGCTGCTTCCACGCATGCTGATGGCTCACAACAAGAGAGTTCAGGTGTCAACAAAATACACAGTGACTAGTCTCTTAAGGTCGGGATGAGTAGCGATAAACCTTGACAGTAGCTGTGTGGCTTTCATAATGAATTGAAGAGGAGGTGGTGGTAACGGGGATGGTGCGTCGTTAGTGTCGTAGTGAGGTCAGGCGTAATAGCCCCACATGAAGATATTTCCAACAAGAAGGAGCATGGCGCTGGTGTTGCAGATATGTTTCCACTTCCAGTCCTCCTCAATGCTTGTTAGGATGGGCGGCGATGATGATGACGATGATGATTTAGACCCAGTGAGGCCACACATCCAGAAAAGAGCTCTCTTCCAGCCTCGTGGTCCTGCAATGAAGCCACCCCACAAAAAAAAAACACGTTGTTTAAACACAAAACCTGCATCAGGCCTAATGCATTCCATGTCAGCATTTCTGTTGGAGGCTCAGGGGATTCACAATGGCCATATCAGATAAACTGAAACCAGCACCGCTGAGGTCCTGGCTTCAAGTCATGGAGTTGAATCGTGCCTCTCCATTTCAGGAGGCTTATAATGGATGTGTTGGAGACACTGAGCCAGCATGGCTGGCTGAGACTTGTTTCAAGTACTTAGACTGAGTATCTCTTTCTATCAGAATGGGCATGTTAGAGACATCTGGGTTTCAGCTGCCAGCGATTAAACCGAGATGATGGTCTTAGTCCTGCTACCAAATGACCGAACAAGTCGAGGCCATAATATAAAAGCTTCGTCTCTTGATTCAATACATCTCAGCTTCGAGGAATGCATATTTAGGTGCGATTGCTGTGCGGAAAACGCTCTTTGTGGGGCAAAATAGAAAGGCGTGACACCCAATGTGGATGAAAAAGAATAAACTTCAAAAGTCGTCATTGGGGCCGTTCTCCGACTCAAGAGTTACACATTGAAACTTCGTTGAATCGGACAAAATGCACCCAGCGGCATCATTGGAATTCGTGGGTGGGAAGAAACAACTCGGAATCACTCCGTCTCAGCCCATTATCGACGTTGTGCCGCCATCTGTTTACAACTTCTGTTTAGACTCAGCCTAAGCCTCGGCGAGCCTCAGGTTCGCCTCGTACCACCTCGATCATAATTTATATTCAGCCTGAGCGCAAAACTGCAGAACCTATTCTTGTGCAACCCCAGTGTCAGCCTTTCTATTTAGACCCAGACTTGGTCCAATCATGTAGAAGGTCTAGACCAGTGATGCCACTGTCAGCATGTTTTTGTAGATCCAGCCTTTAGCCATGCGCTCTCTCACCTGTCTTTTCTGGGGCCTCTTGATCAAGATCTCCAGTTCGCTTGTGGGTGTCCCCGAAGAGGCCTTTACCATCGGGCACCTCGCAGGAATTGCTTTGGGCAGCCTCTTCGGGGCTTTTAGAGTTGCCTGTCTCGTCGGGCACCTCGCATGGATTGCTGTGGCCACCCTCCTCGGGCTCCTTAGAATTGCTTGTCCCATCGGGCACCTCACAGAGATTGCCGTGGCCACCCTCGGCGTCCTTGGAGTGTCGAGTCCACCAAGTTAGGCGGACAAGCTGCAATACAGGATAAATACTTAAAAGTTTGTTGTATGTACGATATGGATACTGAACTTCTTTCGCACCACACGTAACCAACCATGGTAATTTGGAGGTGCGGTGGGAAGGACAACAAAACTAAACGCAAAAAGCAGTTCTAAAGAAACGAGTTCGTCATTCCAGATAATGATTTGAAAGTCCAGCACAGCTCCAAGTGGCTTCCGAATATCGGAAGGGGAAGAGCGTTCCAGATGGCCGCAGAAGCAGCGCACCGCTCGATGATGCGGCGACCGTCTTTGTTCGACGGCTGGGCAAAAAGCCGCCGCCGCTGCTGCGAGGATGACCGGAGTTGCGCGTGATGGCAGTTTATGCTGCTTGACGAGATCAGCAACGAGGTGTCGTGGTTCATTTGGGGACAAGCACTTTGTGTGCAATGAGTGCGACCTTATGACGTATTCGTTCGGCAACCGTATTCGTTAACGACGCGGCCCATGAAACACAGAGCTCCTCTCTAGTAGCTACACACCTAGGCCGGAGGGTAAACGTTGAGTTTTATAAGGGCACCATAGGGTGACCAGCCCCTCCCCACCCAGCCCCTCCCTCCCCACCTAGCCCCTCCCTCCCCACCCAGCCCCTCCCTCCCCACCTAGCCCCTCCCCACCCAGCCCCACCCCTCCCACCCCCCACCTAGCCCCACCCAGCCCCTCCCCACCCTCCCCTCTCCACTCAGCCCCACCCCTCCCATTTTTGGATGCACGACGGACGGACGGACACAATAATCCCCTGTGGGCTGGTGTAAACAGGAGGTTCCTACCAGTAAAATGGGAAAAAATTTACATTTCGTACATGCACAATCCTAACCATATAACGCACAAAAATCAATTTAAATTGATGAAGAATTCTTTGGTACACGATCAACTGCAATACAAATCACCTTGGGTTTTTACGAAAACACAGAAGCAATACCTCAACCCGTGCACTTTTAAATTACCCAGCGTTCATGCCATGAATTTTGTGATTTTTTTCTAAAACGGAATTGTGTCTCGTGAAAAGCCACAGCGGGCACCGTGCACTGTGATGTTATGCATTGTTCTTATGGTGCAACGTTAGTGCAGCCCTTTTGCCGATCCACTGCTGGACGAGGACCTCCCGCTATGAACTGCATTCGATGTATTCCGCCTAGTGTAGCTTATTTTGTAAAAAAAAAATTATCAGCAATGAACAATTCACTGCTGGGAAAAGGCTTTCTCTCAAGTCTTTCACGCTCCCCCACCTCTCTCACTGCCTCCCATCTGGTGCCAACTCTCACAGCGGGCACGGCGGGCACAGTGCACCATCTCATCTTTCGTGTACGGCATTTTCTCGTTATTCGTGAGGGACGCTCGTGAGTAGCACATTTCACGGATAATTACTATATTGGCCAACGAAAACCTATTGATTACATGACAGTAAGCTATTGATTACATGACAATCGTATCAACACGCATACAATTGGTTATAACATGAATAAAATACACTTTAAAGTATTAAATAATCATTTACAAACGAACTTACCTTCAATTATGATGCCATGCGTCATATCTCATCACTTTCTCACTCTCTCGATGCAATCGTGTCGAGCTCCAGATGCGATTCGTGGATAGCCAAAATCGCGGATGGCAAGTTTGTCAATAACGAGGGAATACTGTACTTCTCTTCTTCCCTTGCCTTATCCATATCACACCAATATAATTTTCATTCCGGCCATAAGTCATCTGATGTCGAAGCCAGATGCCCTTGTCCACATGCGTTTCAACGTTGTCACTTTTCTATACGAAGGAAAATTCATCACTGCTTCCTAAACGCATGAATCTGATACCAAATAGAAAGGACGTATACAAGTTTTCCCCTGTTGGCAAGTAGGATGCATTTTCTGGAAGGACGTACTGTATGAATGTAATAATAATCTTAATCTTTGGCATTTACATGGTGCGTAAATGCTTCAGTAACTCAAAGCGCTTTACATCACATCTCAACATTCAAAGGGCGCCCCCATTGGCAGCTGTCCCTGTGTGGCACAAGGTTGACTCCGCACCTGCCTGCAAGGGGGGTATTAGTCTGCCAATATGGAAATGGTGATGATTATTGCTAAGTGAATTCCAATTGAGTAATTTGTGGGAAAATGTAGGAATTTGGCAAATTTTGACCTTCATGCCAGCACAGAATTGCCTACCCGTTTCAAATGGCTTCATGGGACCATTAACGCCCATTGTTCAGCAGACAGTATGTATTTATCCTGCAGTAATAACCAGGGCGACCTGCTGGCACATTACCACTGGGCCATGCCACATTTATATCCATACCATCGATCTTTTTTAAGCAACTAGGAATCCAATTATAATGTACTTATTTTATCCAGAGAAGCTACACTGAGATATATGACTCATTTTCAGGAGGGTCCTTCGTTGGGTTTTTATTTTAAGATGTTTCAAGCCAATTAATAATGAGTGTTTATACGTGGAAGGAAATGATAAACCAAATACTTTTTTTATTTTAAAAGGTAAGGCCCACTGAGCTATACAGATCTTTTTCAGAAGCGACCTGGCCGCAAATAATAGCTCAACGAAATGGCTTATCGCGTGGAAATGTACAGCAAACAAATACTAAGTCGGAGCAAATCCGAAACTGGAACACCAAGAGAAAACCTATGCACGTGCTGGGGCCACACTCTATCCCCATACAGATGGAAACAGTTGGCGATTAGTCGACACCCACAGGAAGGGAGTTTCACAACATCTGTGCGATCCACCAAACCCTATCCGTAGTGCTGGATTACAGGCCACGTGCATAGCCACCACTGCCCCCCGGCTTAAGCAGCAGAGCGCTTACTCGAACGTAAAAAGCGAGCGAGCTGAAGAGGCGCGGTGGAAAGTGTGACCTCACGTGCTGAGGGTGTGGGGCGGGCGTGGCGAGGCTGATGATGACCCCGATGAGGGCCGTGAGGCCACAGAGCAGCAGAGCGAAGTAGAGGTAGTGCACGTCGCGCAGCACGGGGGGGCGCCGGTCGGCCTCGCCGCACGCCGGGGGAGGGAAGGAGAACTCCAGCGCCATGCGGGACACCCCGATGGCCAGGCCGCACATGAGAGCCCAGAAAGCGCCCTGCTCGCACGCGTGCACACGCACGGTCCGCTTCCAAATACACACGGTGGACGAGGGCCCCCCCAATGCTGTGCGGGTCGTGTGCGTTATTTGACCGTTCTCTTAAGACGCTGGTCGGTGTGGATTCGTCAAGGCGTTGAGCGTAGACAATATATATTTTTTATGCATTGCCCTCTGCTGCCCATCACTTGGTCCCATGGACATATGAAAACTAAGGCTTTGGCGGTCACCTCTTTAAGAATCCCGAGTGATATGGTCATACATTGCCCGCATCGTAAGTCGAGGGTTAGGCCAGAAATATTTGAAGCAGAATCAGAATCTTTTATTTATCCTGGAGAAATCCCACGAGATATGAAGCTCTTTTTCACAGATGTCCAGCAGGGGCGGGTCAGAAAGTTGCAGCAACAAACAATAAGCCTGAACAAAATCCCGATTTTTGCCAAAGCTTTTATGAGGTTACACCGGGACAGCCATTTGTGAAACCACCAGAACTCTTCCGGCCCAATAAAGATGTTCGGTGGCCTCGTCACACAAACCGGCTCATTCATCCGGGGCCAGAAGATGGCGAGGAGGAAGATCGCGGTGATCGGAGGAGCGAGGAAGCTCGTCACCGACTGGATGTAGTCAAAGAGTCGGCCACTGTTCGCCACTTGAACAACCGGCAGCCACAGAATGCTGATGATCACCAGTAACAGCACGAACAGCCTGGGGTACACGTGTACGTTTGAGTGTGTGTGACCGCGAGTTATGACAGTGTCAGTGCGTGCGAGCGTTGGCGAGTGTCTGCGAGAGTCGGTGTGCATCAGTGCCTTATGATTGTTAGTGAGTGTTGGTGAGTGTCTATGTTGGTGAATAGCTGTGAGCGTGGCGAGCATTGGTTCGTGTGAGCGTGATGGTGAGTGTTAGTGCATGTCTGTGAGTGCCTTTGAGTGTTGGTGTGGGGAGCGGTGGCGGAGCGGTTAGTGTGCTGCGCTACAAACCTGGCGACCTGAGTTTGATACCCGCTCACGTGAAATACCAGCAATAGTTGTATGTTCTGGTCATGGGCCTCCCCTAGTACAGTGTGTAAACATCGCCACTGGGAAGACAAAGGCGGGCAAGCGTGGTGCTGGCCACCCACCCCCTGGTGCACCGTGCCGGCCTTCATAGGTGCTCTCCTCTAACAACATTTGCCCCACCAGTCTGTTAAGGCTACACGGGGGAATCTTGTGTCTGTGTTGGTGAATGCTGTTGAGCGTCCCTACTCACCTCCCCACCACCATAAGCTCCATCTCCGAGGCTCGTGGGCGGAATCTCTTCCACACGTCTATGGTGAAGATGGTGCCCGAGGAGTTGAAGATCGACGTGAGGGATGACATCAGCGCCGCCACCATCACCGCCATCATCAGCCCCCGTAGGCCTGCAGGCAAGGGGTCATGGGGTCAACAGGAGAGGTCAACAGTCATAGGGGTCACGTGGTCGTCATGGGATCATAAGGTCAGATGGCAAATGGGAGTCAGATCAATGGGTGACTGGGGTCAAGGTGTGAGGTTATACATAAAGAGGTCGCTAAGTTGAAAGGTCGTTAGGTCACTGGCTAAAGGATTACAACAGGTTAGATATTGTTGTATTGGGATTAAGCGTTATGGATCGCAGTAAAGCGTATGGACAGGGTTAGTGTTAAGGGTCAGACCATGGTAAATAATGTATTGTGGGCTTGAGTTTTACCCTAAGTTTCAGGCAGTGTTCGTGGAAGGCAGGAGTGAGGAACCTCCGACCCAAAGGTTGGACATGGCTCGTTGTCACATGAGACCTACCACATCAAAACCGCCTAAAAACGATGATAGCCACGCTAATCGCGTACTCAATGGCAATATTATCAACCTAGAAGCACAACATTTTTTATTTGAGTGGTGTTATTCGATTTTTTTCATTTTGGCAGCAATGTGTTCGTTAGCTCAATGCCAAAGTCGAGGTCTGCTAGCCACGGCAAGAGGGCTTAGTCCATTAACCAGGTAAAGTCTTATTAACCAGGTGAAGTCTTAACTGACTGTGATGTTTCCATCCTACCTGCCTATGTCAGCTGTTATTTCCGACTCTCTGTGTCTCTCTCTCTCTGTGCATCTCTCTCCGATCTCTACTCCAGTGACCCTGGTGCTGCCGCGGGGTCCACTTTCTGCCCCGCCTCCCCCCCTTCTCTCTCCTCCCCGACTGCCGAGGCCTACTATATAACCTCGTGCCACGGCAGATCTCTCGCCTACTTGAGCAGTTTTCTCTTGCTGTCGTTGTCCCACCTGATGACGATTGCTTGTGTTGCTATCGGAACGTCGTGATCTATTATTTTTCTACCTACGTGACTTAACCGAAAGAACAAAAGAGTATAAAATAACCTCTTGCAGTGACATAAGTGAATGGGACGCGTGTTAATGTGTGCCCCGACAAAGGTATAATATTTAAAAGTCCATGACCCTAAGTAGGGAAAAAACTCCCCTATCCCGGTTTTGGGGGTCATTGGTTAGGGATTGTGGTAAACAATGACCTCCTGACCTCGCGGGCATCAGCTGCAATGCTGGTTTCTTGGTAGTGTTAGTGACGGCGGTAAACGGTTACCTGTGGGCATGAGCTCCACCACGAGTTTGGGGTAGGCGATGTTGGAGCAGCCGACCTTGGAGCCACAGACTCGTTGGCACTCGTCCGGAACGACGCACGCAACCTCGTCTAGGGCAGCACAACACGGGTGCCTCTCGTCAAAGATGCACCTCGTTAGAGACACGACCCTGCCTCGCAGGCTTCTTCACACAAATTATAATCATAATCTTAATTGAAGTTGGAGAAATCCGATGAGCTATGAAGCTCTTTTTCACAGATGTCCAGTGTAGGGTGGGTCAGCAAGTTACAACAGCAAACAATATGAAAAAAACGATAGGAGTGCAATATAATAGAAAATGGTGAGCAAGTCACTATATATAATAATTTATCATATATGTCCGATTTTTCAAGACTGGGCAAGGCAGAAAAAAAAACGATTTACTTGAAGCCTAAAATACTGACGATGTTAATGGTGATGATGATTTTCAGGTGGCTATGATGACGATCCTAATGCTGCTAATGCTTATAATACTGCCCATGCTTCGGATGGTCACGGTGGAAACAAAGATGATGCAGCAGCTATTGATGATTATGAGTCGTTGACTATGCTGCTGTTGCTGCTGTTGATGACGACGATGTAAACGCCCATGGTCCCGATATGGATGTAGGTGATGATAATGACGTGCACAATACCAGGGAACATCGCTCTGCTCATCATCCCGGGCCAGACGATGAAGAACATGGGCAGGACCTTGAGAAAGCCGGCGAGAACGGAGCCAGCCTTGGCGTGCGAGAGCGAGCGGGCGGAGAGAGAGCGCTGCACAATCACCTACGGGCACGTACAGCAACAATAACAACGCCTCACTTGTTTTGAGGTCACACTCATTGGACACAAAGTGCTCGCCACAAATGAACCACAACACCTTGCTGATCTCGTCAAGGAGCATAAACCGTCACGCAAACTCCTGTCATTTTTCTCAGCGGTTTTCGGCTAGCCATCCCCACCTCCTCCTCCACCACCACCACTATCAACACCACCTCCTTCACCCCCACCTCCTCCTCCAGCCCCGCACCTGGTCCGTGCACCAGTTCCACGTGGCGAGCACCGTCAGTCCGAAAATGAGTCCGGGCCAGGGCAGGTCCCCCTGGACGGGGTCTCGGAGGAGGTGGAGGGCATCTGCCCGGGGCTGGTGGCACGTGGTGTTGGGCACCGTGACGTTGGGCACGGCCGCCATGTAGCTACGCGCCATGCCCTCGTACCCGTCCAGCTTCACCAGGCCTGGGTGCGGGGATAGCAGGGGGTGGACGACAGTGGACAAGGGTGGATGTTGATTGCCATTGATAAATATTGAGAGTGCCCCCACTCTCCTGCAGGATATTTTAGGCCTGGTAGAGCAGGTGAGGAAAGGTCAGCGTTGGACAATGAGAAGGGATGGCAGAGGGTCAAGAGTGAACAAATGAAGGATGAAGCATCACGGATGTACAATGGTGAACGATGAAAGACGAGGCCAAAGGTAGACAACGATGGACATGGGTAAAGTATGAACAGGGCTGGACATTGGCAGGCAAATGTCATAGGTGAACAAAAAAAAAGTGTTCAAACTAAACTTTTTTTTATTTTGCCAGGTCAGGCCCACTGAGCTATTTAGCTATTTTTCAGAAGCGACCTCGGCCACAAATGATAGCTCAACGAAGTGCCTTATCATGTGGAAATTAATAGCAGCCAAATACTGTACTCTAAATGCATGTTTGTAAATGTGGAAGGAGGAGCCAGAGAAAAATCCACGCGACCACGGGGAGACACACACCACAAACTCAGGGTCAGGATCGAACCCACGACCTCCTGGAAACGAGATGAGGTAGTGAACATCTCGCCAGAGGGGGACAACGATCGGTAATGCTGGACAATAGTGGACAAAGATAGATAAGGGGCCGTCCATAAATGACGTCACGCAATTTTGGACGATTTTTGACCACCCCCCCCCCCTTCGTGACACGACGTCACAAAAAGTCAGACCCCCCCTTCAAATATGACGTCACAAAGCTCTGCCCCCCCCCCCAAAAAAATATAAAACATGCTTCAAATCGTTTTAAACTATTGACATTGTAGTGCGTATTTAATGTGGTGCTGCACTCTGATGTTGTAGGAGAAAACATTTATTCAAAAGTCTATTTAATTAAGTAAATCATGTTGTCTATATTTATTTAAAGTTGCGCATTTTGATGTGACGCCACATTTCTCAACCCCCCCCCCCCCTCGTCACACATCGTCACAAATGTCTGACCCCCCCTCCCCCTAGGTGCGTGACGTCATTTATGGACGACCCCTAAAGGTCAAGTGTGGGCAATAATTGACAAGGTCGAATGTAGAAAGTCATAGACACAGGTTATTGTGAACAATCATCACCGGTGGAAAGTGTAAACATTTATAGCTGTGGCTGAACACAGATATGAGAGCACAATGCTGAATAATGGTACAATAGGTTTTCACTCGCTGGACTACAACATAGCAGGATACAGTGAGGGAAAAAAAATATTTGATCCCCTGCTGATTTTGTACGTTTGCCCACTGACAAAGAAATGATCCGTCTATAATTTTAATGGTAGGTTTGTTTGAACAGTGAGAGACAGAATAACAACAAAAAAATCCAGAAAAACGCATGTCAAGAATGTTATAAATTGATTTGCATTTTAATGAAGGAAATAAGTATTTGTCCCCCTCTCAATTAGAAAGATTTCTGGCTCCCAAGTGTCTTTTATACAGGTTGAGATTAGGAGCACACTCTTAAAGGGAGTGCTTCTAATCTCAGCTTGTTACCTATATAAAAGACACCTGTCCACAGAAGCAATCAATCAATCAGATTCCAAACTCTCCACCATGGCCAAGACCAAAGAGCTCTCCAAGGATGTCAGGGACAAGATTGTAGACCTACGCAAGGCTGGAATGGGCTCACTGTATGTGTGCGTGTATCTGCTGTATATTTGTGTACATGGCTGTGTATGTGTATACGTGTGTGTATGTGTAAACGTGTCTGTAAATGGGGAGAGGTGGTGCAATCGTTCCCCTGGGTCGACTCAGCCTCAAAAAGAGTACCTCGTGCAATGTGTAAACATCGACACTGGGGAAACGGGCCGTAAGGTGCGGTTCTGGCCACCCACCCCTTCAATTGCCGTGCCAGCCTTCAACAGTCTGTAAATGCGATATGGGGGATCTTTGTCTACGTGTATACGTGTGTATATGTGTTAATATATTGTTTTGTCACCTGTATGATGCATCCAATATCCTTCTAGTAACGATATGGTAACTCCCTCGCCTGGTATGCAGGAGGTCGTGGGTTCAATCCCGACCCCGATGCATGCATATTTGGAGTTTGCATGTTTTCCCCGTGGATTTTTTTACTGGTTCCTCCAGTTTTCCCTCCACATCTAGAAACATGCGTTTAGAGTATTTGGCTGCTAAAAATGTACACGTAATAAGCCACTTCGTCGCGTTATCATTTGTGGCCAGGTTATCATTTGTGGCCAGGTCGCTTCTAAAAAAGAGCTATATAGCTCTATGGGCTTTACCTGGTAGAATAAAAAATAGTTTAAATAGTTTTTAGTCTATTCACCTTGGACCCCATCACATCCATAGCAGCCTGGTCTCGGCCAACGATTCAAAGCTGTGGGTGAGGATTTTTGCATCAGCTCCCACCCCCAAACCCTTCGGATGCTGACGGGAAATGGGTGAGGTTTGTGGCTCATGTAGCTAGTTCAGCATTTGGACTTTTGATTTTATATTAATATACTGTAGTATCATTGCAGAATATCATAGCAGATATGGGCGGTTTTTTTTTAAAAAGAGGAATTGTACAAAATGCAAACCAAGGAAAGCGGTTGCCATCAAATTCCTGTTGCCATTATTAGACCGCGGGGATTTTTGCACATGGTTCGAGCGGTGGCAGAGTGGTTAGCTCGTTACGCTGTGGACTCGACAAACCGAGTTCGATTCCCGATCATGACGAACACCGGCGGCGAGTGAAATCTCAGCCACTGCTTAACCTACCTCCACCTCACCAACCCGCAGTGCCGGATGAAGTTAGTGCGGGGGCCTGTAGCATTTATTATAAAGGGGTCCTAAATAAAAATAAATAACACGTAACTATGAAAACACAATTTTTTTTTACTTGCATAGCAAAGTAATTGGATTTTTTCATTTGCTATACAGCCAAATAATACGACAAATCGCTAACGTTAAACACCCATTCGTTCATAAAAGTTGAAGGCAGTGTAGTACTATAGTAAAAGAGCAAGTGCAGAATCACTGAGCTTGAAAGCGTTTAGCGCGGGGTCCTTTTGAAAGTGCGGGGCCCATAGCATATGCATCTACTTTTTTCCACGAGGATAATCCGTCACTGCCAACCCATACTGACCAGTATGGTGAAGTATGGTTGTTTCACACACTCAGACTTGCAGTTGCTAACTCTTGGAAGGAAAGAAAACAAAAGTTGCTTTTATTGTCGCACATATTTAAGATAAGCAAGGGTTTGTTGTACAAGTACCTGCTGAATTTGATAGAATTTGCTACTTTGGACCATGGGCAAAGGTCTCTCAGTAAGAGGGCCTCTCGTAAATACAGAGGCTTAAGTGGTACAGCTATCGACTGTGCAGGCGGTGCAACTACATCAGGGCCCACGGGCCGGAAAGGCCGAGGATTTTAGCTGAGCTAAACTATCGTCGATTCTAACCACACACAATGGGGACTATGGAAGCTTCCTCAAATCCAGAATCGCCAATGAAATGCATTTGCGATGCCAGCGCAGGAATCGTCCCAATTCTACCCCGATTATGGGGTGATGTTCATCGTGTGTGGGGAACAGTGGAATAGTGGTTAGCGCACCATACTATGAAGGCAGCACTCCCAAGTCCCAAAACGAGCCACGGCTAATGCTAAAGGCAAGTGATATCTGAACCGGCTCTAGGCCTACCCTAGGTTAACTCAGTCATAAATGAGTGTCTGGTGGAGTGTGTAAACATAACAACTGGAGAGACAAATGCAGCTGGGTGGGATTATAGCTACACCACCCATTTGTGCGCCATGTCAGCCTTCATCGGTGCTCGCCAACAGCACTTGCCCCAACATTCTACGTAAGGTTAAGTGGGATCTTTGAACATCGTGCGCATGAGTAGAATTCGTAGTTGTTTACATATACTCACCAATTCCCATCAGAATCATTGCTCCCACAACCATGATCACAGTCTGGAGTGCATCGGTGTAAATGACAGCAGCCAGGCCTCCTAAACATGGGGAGATGCGGGGTGGACAAGGCAGCCATGGAGACACAGGAAGACATTGGGTGAAGGGAGACACGGGGACACACGGGATGGAGAAGGGAGACATGGAGATAGGGTGGTAAGTGAAGACACAGGGAGGCAAGGGAAAACATGAGGGGGTACAAATTCACCATTATTCACAACGAAATTACAATGCAAATTGACGTACGTACGTGTGTATTGCTGAATATGTATATTACACACAGGTATCTAAGTTCAATTCCCAGTCGTGGGTACCACCAGGAGCAGGTGGTATATTAACCTATTTAGTTACTATTATATTCTTAGCTCTTTCGGTAAAGTCACGTTAAAGGGAAACAATAAAATAATAAAATATATAAAACAATAAAAAATTCTCACGACGTTTCGACCATAACACAAACGGTCGTCATCAGGTGTGTCGGTTTGCATAAATGTATTTATTTTTAAACGGTGGATTTATTTATTTATTTAAAAACGTCAGCGCCACGCGCAGCGATTTAGCAGTTTATTTAGAAGGACTAGTCCATCTATGTTCTGAAAAGAGGAGGGGGGAGACGAAAAATTAATGTATGCTGTCTGAAAGCCACCGTAAGCTTGAACAATCAATTAAGACCTGAAATGGTTTATCAAATCTTTCCAATGATTGCTAAGCCAGAATCCATCTTTTCGGTTGAAATTGTCTCTGTGCTTGTATATGTGGATAGCCTCATGAATGAATCTCTCATGGTAGCCAGATGGCTTACAAAGAACCTCTGTCTTGGAGAAGTCAATGTCATGTGAGCCTACTGAATTATAACAGTGATCTGCCACGGCAGAGGTGTTGGTCCTACCGTGTTTAAGGTCTGCTTTGTGTTCACGAATGCGGTCCGAGACATGGCGTTTGGTTTCTCCAATGTAACTACTACCTCTTTTCAGAACATAGATGGACTAGTCCTTCTAAATAAACTGCCAAATTGCTGCGCGTGGCGCTGACGTTTTTTATAAATAAATACACCGTTTAAAAATAAATAAATTAATGCAAACCGACACACCTGATGACGACCGTTTGTGTTATGGTCGAAACGTCGTGAGAATTTGTATTGTTTTATATATATTTTATTATTTTATTGCTTCCCTTTAATGTGACTTTACCGAAAGAGCTAAGAATATGAATTACTGCAGTCACGAAAGCTTTAAATCAATATTTAGTTACTATTAACCTTTTTTTTATTTTACCGGGTAAGGCCCATTGAGCTATACATATAGCTATACATATAGCTCTTGTTTAGAAGCGACCTGGCCACAAATGATAGCCCAATTAAGTACCTTGTCATTTGGAGATTTACAGCAGTCAAATACTCTAAATGCATATTGGTTCTAAATGTGGAGGGAAACACCAGAGGACCCTGTTTCTGGCTCTTCCCTAAGTCAGCTTTCAGGGAAGACAAGCTGGCCACACCACCCCTGCGTGCATCGTTCGGGCCTTAGAAGGTGCCCATTCTCAGCACTTGCCACAAACATATGTATAGTTAGATGGGGGTGCTTGTCTTTGTACTCTTGTTATACATATATGCGTGCAAGTGTATGGGTACATTTATATCATCATGTATGAGGATATAAGGAGCAATGGTGTACCAGTGAGTGCGATGCGCTACGAATCAGCAACCCGAGTTCGATTCCCGCTTATAGCCAACACAAGTGGCCATTATCTAAACCGGTCCTGGGGCTCCCCTAGGTCGACTCAGTCTCAATTGAGTACCTAGTGTGATGTGTACAAACAATGTCATTTGGGAGACAAAGGCGGCCGGGCGTGTTTCTGGCTACCCACCCCCTCGTGTGCAGTTCCGGCCTTCATAGGTGCTCGCTAATAGCACTTGCCCCAACAGTCTGGTAAGGCTATACGGGGGATATTTGTCTTTTGGACACTGTACGTGTATAAGTGTATAGGCGGATTTACATGTGTAAGTGTATGGCTACATGTGTGTCTGTACCGGCAATAGTGTAAATTGCTGTCACAGCGATGAGCACCACGGTGGACAAGTAGATGTCCCAGCCCAGGGACACCTTGATGAAAATAGCTCCAGCAAAGATGTCTGTCTACAGTGGAGAGACAAGACAAACAGGCGGACTGACGTTGACTTCGGCAGATGCAGCATCGTCGGGGCCTGTAGCTTGACATCAAGAATCCATGACGGGCATGATGACCATGCGAGCCCAGTTACCGACATGGGATTGCACAGTCACAGCCTCAGTGCCTGTGGTGCTGGAGGTGTGGCGGTGATGGTCTGGGGAGCAGTTGGTAGTGATGGTGGCGATGGTGTAAAAGCACCATACCCTGCACCTCCGATTAGCATGGTTGGCTACGCACGGTGCGAAAGAAGTTCAATATACATACAGAAGCAGATCTAGAACTTCCCAGGAGGTAGCGGCAGTCATAAATTGTTAAGCTTTTAAAATAACGCCCTACACTACTAAAAAAAGATATATAAATACAATACCAACTTTTGGGGTTGCCCCATCGCCTCGCCCCTGCATCCGCTACTACGATGGTGGCGATATTGGCGACAACAGTAGCAATGATAATGGAAGAGAAGGCGATGATGGTCACGGCGGAGAAAGGAGGTGATTGTTGTTGATGGTGGTGGTGGTGAGGTTTAGGCGTTACATGCGCGTGTGTGTGTGCGCGCCGCGCATTAATCCACCGATATCTTGGTGAACACGTAGAGGGCCAGCGAGAGCCCCGACAGGTAGAGTGAGATTCTCTGCCCTCCGAACCTCCGTCTCAGGTAGCCCGGCATGGTGAGCACGCCGGCGGCGATGTACACCGGCACGAACACCCAGCCCAGGGCCACCAGCACCCAGCTGGCCTGCACGCCGCCGCATGGGGGGCCAACTCGTTAGCAACTCCTAGTCCGGCGTACAAACCAGGGCACAGCTCCCGCCGTAGGCTTCTAAGATCACAGAGTCTGTCCTTCTATAGCGCATGTTTTCATGGATATAACACAATCGCGTGAACAGCAGTACGTCGCTCGAGTAGGAATACGCGGTCGTACAGCTGCCTCGGCTGAGCATCCACGCAGGAAGGGATGCTGCTGGATGCTTCTAGATGCTACCGACGCGCCTCAGTCTTTGTTCAGCCTGCATACGGGTCTCACGTGTTATTTATCATAACGCGATTTTTCCATAACGCGGTGTTCTTCAGGAACGCAACTGCCGCGTTATAGGAGAACACACCGCACGGCACGTCGAGTTATAGTCAGTAGCGTAATTAGCGTGGGGGCAGAGGGTGCCTTGGCCCATTCCCGTTGGTGGCCAAAGCCACGAGATGGAGCCCCCTTCATAACCACAATGAGATACGTTTGCAATAGTTATTCAGGCCCCAACCTGATTAATTGCCGCACCCCGATGAGCTGATAATGTCGTTACTACCGCCACTGGTTCTAGTTGTACTACGTCGCACCTCCGATGAGTATGGTTGGCTAGATACGGTGCGGAAGGAATTCAAAATAGGTACACGCATAGCCGACCATCGTGTACCCACCCCCGAGCAACCCAACTGCCCACACCGTGTGGAGTATTTGTGTGTAACGGTGTCACTGTCAAATTCTTTAGATGCTCACAAATGCAAAAAATGTTTTAATACAAATAAACAAACAAAAACTCACCACATTCGTTTAATAACAGTGGCCTATGAGTGTAAATATATATATACCCGTAAACATTTTGTGGGAAATGGCCCTTCTCAAAATCACAAATGGAAGAAGGGCCAATGGTCAAAACATCACCTGATATATATTTGTTCTCTTTTAAGGCAATATTATGATATTATTTTACTTGTGCATCACTGCCAACGCGGCAGCATCACCAGGGATTTTTTTAAATTCACAAACAGGAATGTGTTCTTCGTCTCGCGTACATTCGCTCACTTCTAACGCACAGGAAAGCATTTTGTTCCGTGTTCAAAGCAGTTTGCTATTAATTTTGGGCTGCGAACCTACTTGTGCACGACGGTGTAACTGTCATTCTCTATTAAATCTTCACATCTCCGACATTTTCACATATCCGATGTTATCAATCGTTGTCTTTCTAAATCATTTAGATTGAAAACGATTTTCTTTAGAACTGCTTTTTGTGTTAATAGTTTGTTGTCCTTCCCCCCGCACCTTCGATTAGCATGGTTGGCTACGTACGGTGCGAAAGAAGTTCATACGTAAATACGTATTTTTGTTTTCCCAAAATCTTAACTCGATTGTGCTATCGGCGTCAAGATGAAGAACCCACTGGGAAGTCTCACGTGATAGATGGGGATGGTTTAGTTTTATTTGTATGTGTTTGTGTGATTGATTTACCTTTCTCGTACTTTGCACTCCTATCGTGTTTTTTTTTTATATTGTTTGTTGTTGTAACATTCTTACCCGGCGCCATAACTGGACATCTGTGAAAAAAGAGCTTTATAGCTCATCGGATTTCTCCAGGATAAATATTATTCTGAATAAGCAGCTCGACCAATCGCGTCGTAGGTTGGCCCTGATGTCACAAGTGCATTGGGCCCACCCCCGCATGCCATTGGCTTGGAGATCACTCAATGGGAACGTGTTCAGCTTTGATCGGTACCGGCTGCTGACTTTCGATGACAAGAAAACCCGGTCATCTGCAGTGGCGGGGAACTTCTGCTGGGATCTCATCGACAACAAAGTGTCCCCGGCCATGAATGGAGCTCGCAACGTCCGTGTGCTCGTGTCATGAGATGCGTTTGTGGGAAGCGGTAGAGCAATGGTTAACACACTGCACTTTGAACCTGGGCACTGGCAGAGCCAGTGTGGGGGGGGAGGGGGGTGGTACGTGCCCCCCAATGATCCGATCGAAATCTCTAATTTCGATCGGATCATTGGAGTTTATTAGCAATAAATCGGCATTTTACGACCCCCACTGCCACGGTGAAGCATATTATTACGTGCCAGAGACTCTATGAGAAGATAGGACAATAGTCTGAGTCCATAATTGGCAATAAGTAACGGCAAAGCAGTTATAAGCGACTCAGAATTGTGCGCAGTTGCGGATACAGTACACGACTTCCCTGAAGACATCAACACCTTCAGCGAGCGCGATGCCGATCACACAACGCGGTTCGAATTTGACCCTCGATCGATGGCTGCGCCATCGCCGCACACGCATCGAATAAAAAGCAAGGGACAAGTCCTTACTTATTACTAACAACTTCTCTATCATTTTTCATTGCTGGAGGGGTTGCCCCCCTCTACCTGAAAATCCTGGCTCCACCATTGAACCTGGGCAGTACCTTGTTCGACCAACAACCGTGGCGATAATTTGAAACCGACCCTGGGCCTCCCGTAGATCGACTCGATCTTTAAATGGGCACCTGGCGCTGTGTGTAACCATCAGCATTGGGGAGACAAAGGTGGCCGGGCGTGGTGTTGGCCACCCACCGCCTCGTGTGCCATGCTAGCCTTCATAGATGCTCGCTAACAGTACTTGCCCCAACAGTCTGTTCAAGGCTATACGGGGGATCTTTGGCTTTGTTTATATGTGCGTCCCAATTGAGAAAGTGATTACTGTACTTTAAAAATAAATCTAAATACATAAATAATTGCGCTTATGTACAGGATAGTGTCAAAGTACAAAGTTTCCTATCAATTCCACAGCAGATGCATACCGTCTGGTTTTATGGTGCCGTGTGCATACAGATCCGCGTGTGAATGTGCACAACATTTCTGGCTGGTTTGCCTACGTTGAATCCTGCGTTCATCTCTTTGGATTGTGTGCGAAGAGCTCACAGATAACTTGACAGATCTGCACATAGCCCCATCGCCGAGAATGGTCAGGATACATTGCTCTCGGTCAGATAGCCTGCATACTCAGGCACGGAAGCTGAAGTAAGCAGTGGTGCGTACAGCTAACTTTCCAAATCAAAACCAGGGAACTCGGAGGAAATCCCACGCAGAACAGGGGGAAAACATACAAACTCCACACAGGAAAACGCCCAAATCGCCAATCGAACCCAGGCCCTATTTGCTCTTGTGTGCAAGTGTTGACCACTGTGCCTCCCCGTGTGTATGTGTGTCAATGTGTCAATGCCTGTAGTGGTTAATGCACTATGCTACAAATCCGGTGACCCGAGTTCAATTCCCGCTCACGGCCAACACCACTGACAATGACCTTGAACCGGTCTTGGGCCTCCCCTAGGTCGACTCGGCCTCAAAATGAGTAACCTGGCGTGGTGTGTAAACATCACCACGAGGGAGACAAAGGCGGCCGGGCGTGGTGCTGACCACCCCCACCCCCGTACGCCGTGTCGGCCTTCATAGGTGCTCGCTAACGGCACTTGCCCCAACAGTTTGTTACGGCTACACGGGTGATCTTTGTCTTTGTGTGTGCACATACGTTCCACTCAAACCCTCCAATCGCAATTCCTCCGGCGGCCCCTGACCCCGCGAGCCCGATGAAGAGGCCGCTCCCCACGTTACTGGACATCAGCGAGGCTCCGATCTGTCACTCACAAGGCATCCAAAACAAACACGTGCCCACAGTATGTACGTGTAGCGTAATAGCGCCGGCTGGTGGCCAACAGCGGCAACTGTGGTGGACAAACAGTGTACACGCCGGCGAGCATATACACGGTGTGTGTGTGTGTCGGCAGGGCGGAGGAACTGAGCTAAGGGGCCGTCCATAAATGACGTCACACACCTGGGGGGGGGGGGTCAGAAATTTGTGACGATGTGTGACGAGGGGGGGGGGTTTGAGAAATGTGACGTCACATCAAAATGCGCAACTTTAAATAAATATAGACAACACGTCCTACTTAATTAATGACAATAGTTTAAAGCGATTTGAAGCATGTTTTATTTGGGGGGGGGGGGGCAGATCTTTGTGACGTCATATTTGAGGGGGGGGGTCTGACTTTTTGTGTCGCCGTGTGACGAGGGAGGGGGGGGTCAAAAATCGTCCAAAATCGCGTGACGTCATTTATGGACGGCCCCTAAGGGTTATTATGGAGGGCCCCATCTGGAAGCCCCTGGAACCTGTTAGTGGGTTCGAGAAGGGAGGCGTGGCCAGGGCGGAGCCAGGCCGCGCTGGGAGCATAAAAGGGGCCGAGAGCGGGCGCCTGAGGCAGCCGCTACTGGGAGTGGATCGTGCAGTTGTTGCTGGAGTCTCGTCGCCATCGTCGCTGCCGTCCTCGCTCGACATTGCGCTGCGAGATAGTTGTTGGTTGTCTTCGTCAGCGCCGTCGGTGTTAGTCGTCGGCTCGTGCTGTGCATAGGCTTGCGGCTGTAGCGTGTGCAGGTCGTGTGTGCTCAATAAAGAAAGTACCTCTACAAACATACTCTTTGGTTCTTTCGGTTAAAGTCACGTAGGTAAAAAAATAAAACAAAAATGAAAACTAAATTACAAACCTCGTCTCTGACTCGCTGACACTACATATGTATGAAAAAAAAATAAGAAAAGGTTTTACCCCTTTCTGGAAATAAAACAGGTGTTAAGATGTTCAAACACCAAAGAGAAACCTTTCGCACAGGATTGTACGTTGAACATGTTGAACTTGCTTCGCACCGTACGTTGCCAACTGTGCTAATCAGAGGTGCGGGTCATATGTACACAGAGCGTCCCTGCAAAGAGCATACGTACACACACGGTACACGGATACTGTACCTGCCAGGGCTACCTCGTGGGCTGTAGACGGCATTGTGGCACAGCATTGCTGGGTGCTCCGGTGGCTGGGAGATGTCAACTATCTCGCCTGGTATACAGGAGGTCGTGGGTTCGATCCCGACCCGGACGTCTGTTGAATATTTGGAGTTTTCGGGTGTCTTTGTCCCAGTGCTCGTGTGGATTTGTCTCTGGGTCCGCTGGTTTTTCCCTCCACATTGAGAATCAACATCACGCGTTTAGAGTGATTTGGCTGCTATCAATTCCACGTGATGATGATGATGATAAGCCACTTCGTTGGGCTATCATTTGTGATAGCCAGGTCGCATCTGAAACATAGCTCTATAGCTCAGTGGGCCTTAGCTGGTTCAAAACAAGGTTGAGTTAAATTTCGATTTAAAGCTTTCGTGACTGCAATGATTCATCTTCTTTGGTTCTTTCGGTAAAGTCACGTAGAATGAGAATAAAATAATAAATTGATAAAATAAAATAACAATAATATTCTCACGACGTTTCATCTGAACGTGGCTCTCTCACTCCAGCGCTGTCCTACCAGACAGTCTCGCTCCCTTCACCTGATGAAGGCCGCTTGTGTTGTGGCCGAAACGTCGTGAGAATATTATTGTTATTTTATTTTATCAATTTATTATTTTATTCTCATTCTACGTGACTTTACCGAAAGAACCAAAGAAGAAGGTTGAGTTAGTTTGGAATGCTGCTATGTCGGGTGGTGGCGGTGGCTGTGCACGCCTGTAATCCAGCAGTGTGGAGGCGAGGATTGGTGGATCGCGCAATTGTTGTGAAACTCCCTTCCCGTGGGCATCAAGGTTGTCATCACCCTGGCTGGCGAGCAGAAGGGGGTGCAGCAGGTGACTTAATTTCCATCTGTTTCCATCTATATGGGGAATGAATGTTACCCGCCCCACACGTGTGGGCTCCAGTTTCCTCAAGATATTTTCGCTAACCACTACAAGACTAAACACGCATAGTTACAGATACCAAGACAAAGACTGTTGAGGCAAGTGGTGTTTGCAAGCACATATAAAGGCCGGCACAGCACACGAGGTGGTGGGTGGCCAGCACCACGCCCGACCGCCTCTGGCTTCCCACTGGCAATGTTTACACAGTCCTCGTTTAAGGCTGAGTCGACCCAGGAGAGGCCCAGGATCGGTTCAGATAATCGTCAAAGGTGTTGGCCACGAGCGGGTATCGAACTCAGTTCGCCTAATTCGAAGTACAGTGCTTTGGGTGGCAGATTTGTGCCAGAAATGCATCATGTGTTAAACAAAAATGAAAAGAGACTTGACACTCTTCACAAATACACATGCCTACACACACATACATACAGACACACATACATAGAGTTTTAAACACAGACACAAGGGAGTGAGCGAGTGAATGAGTGTGGTTGGACTTACCGGGAGCCATGTCATGGTCCTACCGGCCAGAAAATACCCCCCCACCGTCGAGCGATTCGTCCGGCACGAAGCCTGGGGAGGGGGAGAAGACCGGCAAGAGATTCACAATGGCCAAGTCAAGTTCCCAATTACCATGTACGTATTTATGTTGAACTTCTTTCGCATCGTATGTAGGCAACCATGCTAATCGAATGTGCGGGGGGATGGGCAACAAACTAAAGACAAAAAACAGTTCTAAATAAATTAGGTTTTAATTTAGATGTAAAACTGCATATCTCCAGTGGCTTCCTAATATCTGGAGGAAGAGCGTTCCAGACGGCCGCAGAAGCGCATCTGAAAGCGAGTGATGCGGTGACCATCTTTGTCCTATTGGTGAGCCAAAAAGCCGCTGCTGCGAGGATGACCGTGAGAGTTTGCGTGATGGTTTATGCTCCCTGACGAGATCAGCAAGGTATTGTGGTTCATTTGTGGCAAGCACTTTGTGTGTGATGAGTGCGACCTTATAACGTATTTGTTTGGCAACCGGAAGCCAACGCAGCTCAGCGACACACTGAGCCGCTGCCACCATTGAGATAATGGATTTGTTTGTATAATTTCATACGTAGAGGGTTTCACGTCCAATATTATGATCCAATGGGTTATATGTTTGTGCACTGGGTCTGGTTGTCTTTTACAAGGGCTTCCTAATATTGACCGTGTTCGGATCATAATGGCTATGTTGGAGATACTGCACCGGCAACACTGAGGTTGTGGGTTCGAGCCTTGGGTCTTCGTGTAACATGTCCACGTCTTTGCTTATACCGTTGTAAAATAGTACAATTGCATGTTTGTTGAACTTCTTTCACACGGTACGTAGCCAACCATGCTCATCAGAGGTGCGTATATAGTGTCATAATGGCAAATTTAATATCACGATGGTGAACATTGCAAATCACACGTCAAAAATGGCACGAGGACGCCACAGAAAGTATAGGAAACCGAACACGGTCAAGGGTAGAGAGGTGAACAACAACACGAAGCAGGCAGGGTGATACCGACCACTTCATCTCCTGACATCAGAGAAAGTCCAGAAAACAGTAATAAAAATAAAAATTTTGATTTTATCCGGCATTATTCATGCAAAGAGCATCCAGAAACACTGAACGTCACGAAACCTGACCACATCGCAGCTGTATGCAGCAGTAAAAAAAAAAAAAACGTGAAATGTGATTTGAATATTGTAAGGAAATAATGGCAGGGGCATCTCAAATATGACAAGCCAATGCTCCATGAACAGATCAACAATATTGAAGGTTTTAATGTCGACAACTTGGGCTCGCATTCATTGCTCTGTCATGACAGAGTGCAGCAAATATTCTTGTGAGGACCCATGCATGTGTAATGACAGGGTGCCACCTGTCGGCCTGAAGGGGTATTCGTGGTTATGGGCATGTTACGTAATGTCTAATTATGAGGGAGGCGTATCTGGGGTAAAGGTGTAAGGCGGAGTCAGTCGGGAAGTTCCAGGAACCTGCTCAAAAGTTCTGGAAGGAGGCGTGGCCGGAGGCGGGGCTTGGCCGCGCCGGGGGGTATATAAGGGGAACAGAGCCAGAGGTTCGGTGCTGTTGCGGGTCCTGAGTCCTGGCTGCGTCGCTGCTCGCCGTCATCTCACTTCGTCGTCCGGCCGTGTGGCTGATCTTCTGCAAGGCTCTCATCGTCGCCGTCGCTGCGCTAGTCAGACAGCTGTGTAGTTGGACGCCGACGATGGGGTTGTGTAGAAGGGTCAGTGATGTGTAGCTACGTAGAACGTTACATAGATGTATCGCCCAGTGTTGTGCTTTAAGTGTGAGAATAAATAAGAAGCCTTCTACACGACGCGTCTCGGAAGTCGCTCACTACACATGCACCCATGTTTTTGAGGCTTACCTATGAAGGAACAGCGTACAATATTTTTAGCTACAAGCCCATTGGCTGCACAGAAATCCAGCAGCCTCCTACCATTATCATTGAATTAATCTGCATCGTCCGTTCCGATCACGTTAATATCCCAGTGTTAACAGCATGATCCACTCGGGCAGTAAAGCTGCACGAGCACTTGGGACAGGAAGTCACAGAAGGCTTGACTCATCAGTCTTTGCCTGTGGTCCCTCCATGGATCGTTGTCTTTGGTGGGGGTATCGGCAACCATCACCAATGCTCACATTGCGTCTGCTAAAAAAAAAATGTGTTGGAAATTTCAACCCGATCTACGCCTTTGCTTTCTGGATCTCATTAAGGGCAATTACACGATCATTAAGGACCTTCGTGATGATGATGTGCAGCCCTGGAAAAAGCTGCATGGCTAGGAATTCAGAATCATCCTCCGTGTGGCTAAGGATGCCCTTTGAAGCTAAGTGGATCCTGCCAACAAATTATAGCAGTGGTGTCACAATCGACCTGTTTGGAAGAGGCTCGTGAAAGTTGCTACTGCGCGACCGGTCGAAGCCACTGTACAGCAATAACTGGATGCAGAGAAGCAACACTCAGATGCGACCTGGCCACAAATAACAGCTCAGCGAAGTGGCTAATCGTGTGGACATTAATAGCAGCCAAATACTCTAAATGCGTGTTTTTAAATGTGGAGGGAAAAACCGGAGGACCCGGAGAAATTTTCACGCGACCACGGGGAGAGAGACACCGCAATCTTCAAATATACAGCAGGCGTCAGGGTCGGGATCGAATCCACAACCTCCTGTATACCAGGCGAGGTAGTTAACATCTCCTAGCCACCGTGGCACGCCCTCACAACAATGGGCAGAGCATCCGGCAGCTAAAACCCATCGTTGGCACAGTGAAACGTGCAGGTGGTGCATGTGCCAGTCAGTTAACCCAGAGCATCTGGGTCTGTGCTGTGATTTCCAGACAGGGAGCGTTTTTGCCACTTCACAGATCTCAAAGTTCGCTCAGCCTGGCATCATTGCCGCGGTGACATCCCCATCATTTAGTCGCGGCTGCTGCTGTTTTTGTAGTATGCGCGTATTTTTGTATTTGTGTCTATGTGACTGTGTACGCATGCGTGTGACTCAATGTAAGGGCAGTATGTGTATGCAAGTGTTTATATGCGTGCATGTCGGTGTGTATGTCGGTGTGTGTGTGTCAGCGGAGCGGCGGTGTAGCGGTTAGCTCGCTGCGCTACAAACCCGGAGGCCCGAGTTCGATTCTCGCTCACGGGCGACACCGATAACGATTATCTGAATCGGTCCTGAGCCTCCCCTAGGTGGACTCAGGCTCAAATGAGTACCTGATGCGGTGTGTAGTAAACATCACCACTAGGGAGACAAAGGCGGCCGGGCGTGGTGCTGGCCACCCACCCCATCGTGTACCGTGCTGGCCTTCATAGGTGCTGCTCGCTAACAGCACTTGCGCCAACAGTCTGGTAAGGCTAAACGGGGGATCTTTGTCTTTGTGTCATTAGCACGGTTGGCGACGCACGGTGCAAAAGAAGTTCAACATACGGTACATACAATCAGAATCTTTAATTGTCCTGGAGAAATGTCTGTGTGCGTATCTAAGGACGAAGTGTCTACAGTGTATCGACTGTATGTACTGCATTGAATAACTCACCCACATCCCAACCACCATCACCAGTACGAAGTAGACCACCAACACCACCACATCCACAGCGTCCAGTACAGCGTAGTCCATTACGAACCTCCCACGGTTTACCTGGGTCCTTAAACACCACCAGTATCTACACTTACACTTCACACCCCGACCGATACACCTGCTCGCTTAACACGCCTGCATGGACACAGCTAACACACCTGTTTATACAGCAGATAAAACACCTGCATGGACACAGCTAACACACCTGTTTATACAGCAGATAAAACAACCTGCATGGACAGAGCTAACACGCCTGTTTATACAGCAGATAAAACACCTGCATAAACAGCTAACACGCCTGTTTATACAGCAGATAAAACACCTGCATGGACACAGCTAACACGCCTGTTTATAGAGCAGATAAAACACCTGCATGGACACAGCTAACACACCTGTTTATACAGCAGATAAAATACCTGCATGGACACAGCTAACACGCCTGTTTATACAGCATATAAAACACCTGCATGGACACAGCTAACACGCCTGTTTATACAGCAGATAAAAGACCTGCATGGACACAGCTAACACACCTGTTTATACAGCAGATAAAACACCTGCATGGACAGAGCTAACACGCCTGTTTATACAGCAGATAAAACACCTGCATGGACACAGCTAACACACCTGTTTATACAGCAGATAAAACACCTGCATGGACACAGCTAACACACCTGTTTATACAGCTAACACGCCTGTTTATACAGCAGATAAAACACCTGCATAAACACAGCTAACACGCCTGTTTATACAGCAGATAAAACACCTGCATGGACACAGCTAACACGCCTGTTTATACAGCAGATAAAACACCTGCATGGACACAGCTAATACGCCTGTTTATACAGCAGATAAAACACCTGCATGGACACAGCTAACACACCTGTTTATACAGCAGATAAAACACCTGCATGGACACAGCTAACACGCTTGTTTATACAGCAGATAAAACACCTGCATGGACACAGCTAACACACCTGTTTATACAGCAGATAAAACACCTGCATGGACACAGCTAACACACCTGTTTATACAGCAGATAAAACACCTGCATGGACACAGCTAACACGCCTGTTTATACAGCAGATAAAACGCCTGCATGGAAATCTGACAATTAACAAACCTGTCAATATACTTTAAGCATAACACGCCTGCACAACGCACCTGTTTATATATCTAAAGACTATCATACTTATTTTTATACCTTATACTTAAGACACCTTTATAATCACCTAACACATAACACTTTTCTATATACCTACCACGTAACACACACACACACACCTGTCTGTATTCCGAGCACATAAACACACCTGTCCGACCTAACACTTAACACACCTGTATGATCACCTGTCACACCTGCCTGCCTCACGCGTCACACCCCTCGTCTAACACACTACTCTGTCTACCGAGCGCCCAACACACCTGTCTCATCGAACACGTAACACGCCCGTCCACTGGACGCACCTCCGCACACCTGTGTCGAACACACGACCACACGACCACTCGACCACTCGCCCAATAAACCCCCTGGAAATGTTCAGCCGCCCCCAATAGCGGAGGCGGGGAGATATGGAGATTGGGGGTCAACGGAATGAGTTGAACCTTAACCCCCCCCCCTACTCCTGGGAGTGCTGCCAATTAATTACTAATTAACCTCCCTGTACGTCATTAATTAACCCGTTCCATCGGCTCAGCGGCTGTGCAATGTGCGAGAGAGACAAATACGGATGAGGTGTTGATAAAAATGTTCATACACTCAATTTGGCGGCTTCTGTTGCACCTGCAAGTTTTGAGGCTGAGCGGATCTAGACGCTGGACAGTGCACGGGTGAGGAAGAGGTAGGTGGTAAGGCCCATAGACCATGGGTATTCGGTTCAGATCTCTTGAAGTCTCCCTCGAAACAAAGTAACCCTTGGTCCGAATTGGGCTTTCACCTGCTCAACAAATGTCCACGATCATCGACGTTACTTTTGGAGATGATGTATTTATCGGAGAGGTGGCAACTCATCCGTTGCCGGCCCTGAGTCGGCGGTGGAAATGATGACCGCTACGGACTTCCCCACAATAGTAAACGTCATCAACGACGATTACTGATGAGAATGACGATGGTGACGAGGCTGGTTTTGCTGCAAATTAATGAGGATACCGCCAAGTGAACCCTAAACCGGGATTTGAACTCGCGACTTTACCACTCAGCCGATCGCGATGACCCCCGTAACACCCAGGCTGATTTGAAGATCTCATTATTGCACTTCTTTACACAGAAGTGTCTCGCCGACTCTTGTTTTTTTCACCGAGGATCCTGCCAAGTGTTTTCCCAGTAGGGGGGGGGGGGGGGCGGGCAATGATTGCTTTGCACAAAATCCCAAACGAGAATCTTTTTCAAATTTACCAAATTTGGACCATCACACCGAAAATGACTCGCTCTTTGATAATTACGTCACAGGATATTTAAGGTGTACTGTAAAGTGGACGGTGCATTGTATTCTTCGGGTTAACACACCCAACAGTATTAATCAGCGTGGCCACTAGACTTCGAACCGCGAGCCATGTCCCCTGGTGGCACGTTGCTGTTATAGTTCCAATGTCAAACTCACTGAATAATACTCTTTGGTTCTTTCGGTAAAGTCACGTATGGATTCCTGCAGTCACGAAAGCTCCAAATCAATATTCACCGAATCATCTGGAGTAGTGTGCTTTGTCTACAAACGGTTGTTGGTCAAATCCAAATTCAAAGCATATCCTAATTAAGAGAGCGTGGGACAGCGCTTGGTGGAAGTAAACCACTGGTGGAAATTCCTTGTTCTCACGGCAGGGTCAGTCTATCCACAGGTCATCCACCACAGTTGACTCCCAACGAAGTGATCTCGTGTGTTCTGTTAATGAATCACGTCCGTAAGTGTGACCACTTGAACTATTTACCCAATTGGAATTTAATGAAAAATTAACAGCTTTAAGTAGCGATCCAGTGCTTATTTGGTAACCAAAATCAATATCTTCACCGGTTCCGTGTCTCTACCACAGCTATTAGAAGCCTCTTGCGAGAGAAACAGCCCCAGGGCTCGAACTCATGCTCTTAAAAATAGTGGTCCAGTGTCTTTCGCGCAACCATCAGAAAATCAAGGTGGCCACTGTGAACCCAATAGGGCCAACCTGTCCATCAAAGAAGCATCAGTTCCTCTAGAATGGAAACATTCCTATGTCCGTCCACTTCACAAAGGGGGCCCTAAAGATGATCCCAATAACTACCGACCTATCTCAATTTTGTCCCCATTGATGAAAATTTTTGAAAAATTATTGAACTACCAAATTAGCAGTTTCCTGTCCACCAACAATCTACTACATCTAAAACAATCTGGGTTCTGGAAAAAATACAGCACCACATCTGCTGCATTAGACTCTTTGAATCAAATTTACAATAGCCTTGATATAAGCAGTACTGTGCCTGTCTTTTTCTTGACCTGTCCAAAGCTTTTGATACAGTTGACCACAACACCCTGCTTAGTAAACTAAGTTGCCTCGGTTTTTCCGAGAACACAGTACAATGGTTAAAAAATTACCTCTTTTCTCGCACCCAAACTGTATTCACAGATGGTTGGAGGTCAAACAGTGTTAAGATAACAAAAGGGGTTCCACAGGGTTCCATCCTCGGCCCCCTCTTGTTCTCTCTTAATGTCAATGACTTGGGCACTGAACTGGATCATTCCAGGGTAAATCTTTTTGCAGATGACACGATACTGATTACTGCTGGCCGCTCTCCGGATGACGTGATTGCTAAGCTCCAGGGTGATTTCAACAAACTACAACATCAGCTAGTTTCTCTTAAACTAGTCCTGAATACCTCCAAAACCAAGGTGATATGCTTCTCTCCGGGACTAAAGCAGGAAGTTATTTTTCCCCAATTACATTCCTTGAATAATTATCAAATAGAGCAAGTCAAGATCTATAAGTATCTTGGGGTCATCCTGGATTCAAAACTTAGTTTTGAAGATAACATTGATTATATTGGTAAAAAGACAAAAATAAAAATTGGTTTTCTGTATCGACACAAGCACTGCTTCCCCCCAATGTTCCGTTTGGAATTGATACAAGCTACCATACTGCCTCTACTTGACTAGTGTGACATCGTGTATAAATCAGCCCCAAGTACTGTACTGAAGAAGCTTGATTGCATCTATCACTCGGCCTTAAGATTTGCATTGAACTGCCCATATAGGACTCACCACTGTGATCTCTACATTGGGTCAAACTTAACATCTCTTAATGTTCGACGGCTTGTGCACCAGATCTTATTTATTCACGATGTACTTACAAAAAATTCCGCAGACTACCTACTGGATCTCCTCTCTGTTTCAAAGAACAAATTTGACCTCAGGTCTTCGCTCATTTACCAGCTTCACATTCCCTATTGCCGTACAACAACTGGAGGAAGGGCCTTTGCTATTGATGCCCCCAGGGTCTGGAATGCTATTGCCAATAAACTGCAACTTGAATCACTACCTATGAGATCTTCACTCAAAACTGCTCTAGAGGAGTTGTACAACCCTAGCTGCCACTGCTATTCAGTGGCCTAAAATATGGCTCTAGATTTTGGTGTTATAATTTATTTATGTAGTTTATTGTTTACAATTCGGTCACAGTCCCTATGATCACTGTTACATTGGATTTATGGCTTTTATTTTGGTGATTTCGAAAAGTTTTTTTTTGTTTTGGCCATGTTTTTGTTTATTGTAGTACGGAGTTAGACTGATGGCTTTAATCTTACTTGTCTTGTGGTTGTTGTTATTTGACTTGCATCCCACTGGGATTTTTGCACACAGCGTTGGTGTACGGTGCTATTTCAGGAATATTTTGATATTTTTTTCCTGTATTTTCTGTTTGCACAGTCACATAATCACTTTAAGATGTTTTCTTGTTCATGTTTTTTGTTTGTTGCGGTTGCACCCGATTCAAGAGCCGAATGGCTCACAGGGCTATACCAAATAAATGAACTATGAACTATGAGCAAGAACCCGTGGTATAACCCCTACAAAGGACAATTATTCAAATTCCCATCGGAACGTGCCGAGAACGGACGAGTATCCATACTTTTAATCGCAACTACGCTTCCTAAACTGCACAAGAACAATATTGCCTGAAATGTCTTCAAGACGAGCTGAATTGTTCTATCACATAACCGGTATCTCAACACATGTCAATAACACTGCTATAAAAGGACAAACTATAACAGACGATGTGTTGGGTCATACGGCATTTCATGGCACATAAGAAGGTCCATTGCGCAGAACGTCGCCCATGGAATGTCTAATTTAAAGGCCACAGTGTGAGTGACGAGTGTGTTGGGTTTATTTGTTAATTGTGCACCGCTGCCAACGCAGCAGCAACATCACCAAGTACGCCGATCTGTTTTATCAGACAGCGTAGCACTTTTTTCACTAAATTCGAACAAAAACATGTCTCTTCTTGTTATTTTGGTTGCGACCCGAACTTTATAGTTTATAGACCCAGACTAAGGCTGTTTTTTTAACCAACGCTTTATTTGTTAAACCCCTAAAGTAAATTACATTCATCCACTCCAGTCCCCCAAAGCCTATAAACAACGCTTTACATCCATAATTAAAATGTGAAAAAGGCAAGCGACGCAAACCAGAGACAATTAAATTTTCTGCAGAAAAGCCATGTCCTAAATAAACTTTAAAATTAATAAAACGTAAAAACAAATTCAGTTGGTTACATTTTTGCATATTTATACCAAAAAAATAACTGTTTAGCAATTTGTGCTTCAACCAAGTTAGTTGGCTTAAATGTTCACACATTGACGATCACTTGACTGTTTACAGCCGTTTCAGTTAAGATAAAGATTCAACAAGCGGACCGAGTGATAGAAATAACGTAAATGCTCTCTCCTGGTTACGGGACGTCAATCACAAGAGAGAATACATCTCAGTGGACTCTCGTCTGGTTAAATAAAGGGAATTGATCACTAGAGATAATGGAACTCAAAAAGTTATCGCTTGGTTAAAGGACGTCGGTCACAAGAGAAAATAAATCTCATTAGGCTCTTGTCACAAAATAATGAATCTCAATGGGCCCTCGCATGAATCAATAATTCAATCACAAGAGACGATCAATCTCAGTGGGCTCTCACCTGTTCAAGGATGTTAATCGTAACATTGAATAACTCTCAATGGACTCTCACCTGGTTAAAGTATGTCAATCATAAGAGATAATATATCTCAATTGGCCCTCAAATGGCTAAAATAAAGGGACAATATATTAATGAGATTATATCAATTTTAGATTGGATTTTAAACGCACGCCAGATCTGGATCTTGACAAATACCCATCGGCATAAAAGGCTGAAAATGGGTCTTTGGCACTCAAAGCAGTTTAAAACTGGGTTTAAGGGATATGCAAAATTTGGCACACTTGCACATACGTATATATAGTACATTACACACACTCATATACAGACTTCCAAATATTCATATACGTAAACAATCAAATACAAAAACACACATTCATGCACACACACACTCGTACAACACATCCTCAACGATACATACACACATTCATTACAGTTCGCAGCCATGTTACATACACACTATATAGATATATACCAATATATGTACCAATATATACTCATTTACACCAATTAGCATAGCCATACTCAATAACATGTAAATGCACACACACACATTCAGACACATGCTCCTATACTCTCGTATACTTTCACTATACAAGAACAAAAATCCCCCAATTATCCTCAAGACTGGTTCGAGCAAGTTCTGTTAGCGAGCACCTATTTAGGTCGGCATGGCGAACATGGAGGTAGTGCAGCCAGCACCAATGCCTGACCCCATCATTGCGGACCTGCCCATCCTGGACATCCGTGAAAAAAAAAAGTTTCATAGCCAATCGGATTCCTCATGCAATCTATATAAAGATTCCGATTCTGATCTTCTCGCCACAGTGCTGATGGTTTACACACTCGGGTGCTTATTTAAGGCTAAGTTGACCTCGGGGGATGCCCAGGACAGTTATAGATACCACCTTCCACTGTTTGGTATCAACGGTCAGGAAGCAAACCCAGGTTCACTGGGAACATAGCTCAGTTTTCAAACTGCTGCGTACCCCAACACACGCACACATATACCAGCAAACATGCACACCCTAAACCACAACATTCTTTAAAACATTAATCTCAAGCTTTAAGACAAATGTTAGTCGAAAGAAATCCAAGAGGCCATCAGAACATTGCTACTCCATTCTCAGGCAAAGGTTGTCTGGGTGTGTAAATGTTAAATGTAGTCAATTTAAAACGTGTTCCACCCTCTGGAATCTTTAAACAATTGAATAGCAATATTTAAAATAAAATATACCTACCAAAATTGGGGTTGTGAAAAAAAAACATTTTAAAAGAGTCCTCGGTTAAAACCTTAAATTATAAACGCTGCAACCGAGCCAGCACCGTCAGGATCCTGGGTTCAACAGACTCCTCGAGCTTGGGGTCACTTGCTGCGTGCCCATAGCCAGTTCACAAACAAAAAAACCCACGTGCCCGGTTGACAACTGGGCTGACGCTCGGAGTCCAATAAAATCCTGCACCAAGCTGAACACAAGCCATGCAACTCTCACTCTGGGCTGCGTAGCTTGCTTGGCTGAGGAAGCTACCCACGCTTCAGATTGGCGGGCCTGGTAAACAGCTGTGACATACAAGGGGTAATGGAAAAAAAGAGATGCATGCTGTGAATGGCATTTCTCGAATTAAACTAATTTCACAATTGTGTTAAAAATAGGCACGGCAGAACATTTCCAAAATAATGACTGCTTCCCTCTGGCCGTGGAGAGAGGAAAGGGGGATGGGGAGGAATCGAATCAATGGAGCCATGTTTTGGGGCAAGAGCCGAGCCGTGTCAGCTCATTCCTGTAACAACCGAAGTACAGCTTGAGCCTAGTTGCCAACTGTTGTGGGAATGCAACATCTTTCTCCCCGAGGAGGTTAATAATGGCTATGTCAGAGGGAGTGAGCCAGCACCAGCCATGAACACACCCAGTTGCAATTGGTCTTGATTTTAAGGCTTCAGATTGGTTTAACAAAAAAAATGATTTTGGGTTGAATGCAATTTTAGTCATTATTCAGCCGTGAGGACTCATTCAGTCAAAATAAGGGAGAAAATTAAACTGAACTGTAGGATAGCCACTGAAGGACATCAACGGGTAAAACATCTGGAATTCAGGTGGCTCAGAAGTGAAAGGGCTGAGCTGCCATCACTGGAATCCTGGGTTGGAAATCAGTCACCCCTCTGTGAATAGGCTTGATTTCAATTGTAGTGAGTTGTTGGTTTCAGCCTGGTCACCAATAACTACACAAAAAAACCATAAAATTTTATTTGGCACTCACGATGGTTCAATTCCAAATCAGTGTAAAATTATCAGTTTGCCTTTTCATGTGATGGACAATTCTCTCTTTCAGGTGAATTTTTTTCTCTCTGGTGGATAAGGGAACAGCTGAGGAGATTCCAGAATTAGTTCTGTGATATCTGCTGAGTGTTCTATGTCAGTTCTGTTTCATGACGCCAATTGCAAAATTAGGATGAAATTGGGGGAAAATAGATTAATCCATTCATATTGAAAACATTACATCAGTTTAATATTCAACACTAATTCCAGACGTCAATGCCTGGGTGCCTGAGAATGGAGTGGTGTGGTTTTAATGCCTGCTCTTAGGAATTCTGTCATTAAATCTGCTTAGCACCAAGTGCGATGTTTGACGATGGATTTTCTTTAATCGAAAACTGAAAATAACAAACGGAAATGCGACAACCCCAACGAAACATATGCGGAAACCAAAGCAGCACCAGATAGCGGCAAAATGAAATGTTGGAAAGTAAACAAAAAGTAAAAAAAAGTAATAACTTGACAAATGTTTGTAAAAATAGCAAACCAAAACGCAATGGTCAAATGAAAAAAACAAATTTGGCAATTTTTTCTGTTTCCATTTGAAAAGTATTTGTATTAAAGGCACGTCGATGTTAGGGTTTGCGGTAAATCGCTTCGTTTTAAAGGCAAGAGAGGCCCTTTGCAAGGCTCAGAGCTGCGATTTCATTGCAAAAATGTGCACTTAATTTGAATAATTTGACTGTTTTGATATACTCCGGTCTGGTGTATCTGGGTTCAGAGCAACACGACTCAAGGAGTTGGGAGATTGTAAGTTCAAATCCCCAGCCCATCATCATTATCATCATCTCCTTCATCATCGTCGTCATACCTCCAGGGGTCTATAGAATGAGAAGCACCACTTTTTCCAATCAATAACTGTGACCATCATATGGACAAAAACTGACCACTAGCATGGGAATGTGGAATTTCCATCTCTGGCTCAGAGCCACCAATGAAGATGAGCACCACAAGTTTGACACAAATTGGAGCAGAAAATAGTCACTTTAATTCTATATGTTTTATTTATTTATTAAGTTTCCTATTCCTGTTCAATTAAGCCCGATGTCTGGGTGTCTCCCTCATGTGGTTGATGATGGCCGAGTCAGAGACACCAAAGGCCTACCTTTCAAGCGCTGGGTGTCTCCCCAAGGGGGCAGCAACTCACATCGATTGGCAGCCTCAGAGCAGACATTCCACATTCCTATGGCCAGGGGTCAGTTTATCCACAGGACAATTTTATCCAGATCACGATTATATATGTTACTTTGACTTTGAACACAGCCTTCCATCTGCTGTTGTTGGGCAGTACAGAACTATGTTGCCAGCCTGGCTGTCTTAGTGGAGTTATTGTGCAGTGTCTCTCCTCCGTGGAGGGTTTTCAAGCTGAATGTAACTCGGTAAGGCAGTAGGCGGACACGGCGAGGCAGCATCCTCCTGTGAATGAGTCGCGGGACTCAGAGAGAGGCGTTCCCAAGCCAGGGAGGGAGAGGGAGGCGATCAGGGATCAATGTCGGTGATGTCTGCGTCACCGATTTTCATTGGGGAACCCAGAGTCTGAAAAGAACAAAAATACACAGACAGAATATATATTTACACACACAGCACCATCATCACCATCAGCAGATGCAGGTGGTCAAGCCAGATAACCACGTCAGGAGTAGCGGAGTTGTAATATCGCTGTGATGTCTCCTTCGAATTTATGGATTGGAAATTGCGTCGTTATATGTTAGTCTGTTCTGGAAGACAATAGTCGCGCACTGAAGAAGGTTTACATTTTCTATTTGTGCATGAGGTATCCGCATTTGCCATGGTTTGTGCGGATGCGGTTTAGGGTTAACCATGAGCTCCATGGAAGATCAAATTCGGGGATCTTCTGCATTGGGTCTTTCACAAGGTGTTTGTTTGCGAGTTCTTTAGAACTCCACTCTGCTCTCAAACCTTCATCGGTGTCAAACTCGCATTGTTGGAGCACATGGATCCAAAAGGGCTTGCGTGATAGGTCGCCTATTATGTTTTCTATTAAATGCAGTGTTATTGATGAATGTGTTGAGTTTTTTGGGCTACTTGTGCTTGTGCACCGCTGTCGATACACTATCAAATGAACTAATAAATCTAATTGATGTGCATTTATGGATTAGCAATTATAATGCGATGTGCTTTTCTGCTTCTATAAAACTAGGGTTTGCGGGATTCGTAGCACAGTGTGCTAACCGCTGTGCCATTGCTCTCCACTCGTACAACACGAATACACAAACAGATTTCAACTGAATTTATATTCACACAAAAGACAAACCTGATGGCCATGTCAGATCATAATGGCCATGCCAGATTTATAACGGTAATTTCAGTGACCGTGAGCTAGCACCGATTCATTGCTGGGTCTGAGTCACAAGGCTGGGTGGATGGTAGACAAGAGCATGGGTCAGAGGCCGGAGGAACCACAGACGACCAGGAAGGCAGCCACACAATGAACCGGCAACCAGCAGATGCCCAAACTCTGGGGTCCTCTATATATACTAAGGTGTTATTGGCCAATTAATGAATGTTTGCATGTGGGAGGAAATCACAGCACCCAGAGAAAATCCACACATGCGAGGGAGAAACACTATCCCAGAGATGAAACAGGAAGTCCACATTTTTGCTATACAGCCTTCCTCCTGGTGAGCCAGGATACACCACAACCTCGACATAAACAGGGAGTTTCACAAAATCTGTGCGATCCACCAGCCCTCGCCTTCGAAGTGCTGGATTACAGGCACCCACAGCCGCCCACAGCCGCGACCACCACCCGGTTAAGAGCTCCAAGTAAAAAAAAAAGTAGAAAAAACATTCTGGGAGTCACCTGTTCAGCGGTCCTCTGAGTGGTGTCTGTGGAGGCCTCGTCCTCAAAGGCACTCACAGTGCCGGTTGCGTCCTTCTCATTCAGGAGGGCTGTGATGCCGGCCAGCGTGTCCTGCACCCACAAACATCATCACAGCATATCAATAATGACACGTACGAATAATCTGCACATAAAACAAGTGCTATAGACATCATAGTAATAATACACTGACAGACGTAGGCATAAGCACGGCAGAGGTGGCGTGCACTGCGGAGATTCCGCGATATGGAGATCAGTCCATGTGCAGGAGCGATATGGATTGCAGCACAGCGAGGTCATGCAAGATGGCGACAGCTTGCGGAGGCAGACATCCAACAGTGGACGACCGATGACGATGAACGTCATGCAAATGCATGACGTTCAATCAATCATCAATCCAATATTGGACACGTGCCATGTTCAGCAAAAATCTGAGATGGAAGGGTGCCCGGAACAGAAAAAATTTATACCGATTTAAACTAAATGTTAAACAAAGTAAGACTGCTGGTGCTGTTGATAATAATGATTTGGACTTTGTAACATGCGCACAGTTCAGAGAGAGAACGATTTAGAGGTGCGAGAAATCACAACCAGAAAGGCAACTGGAACTGCCGCTAACAACTGCCCGATCTCTGTGGTGCAATATTTGGATGTTTTAAAAAGTCCATTAACGGTTGTTTATACATGTGTAGTGATTGTGATTGCCACAGTATGGTGCCGGGCTTATGAAGCCATGGCAGATAATGTGTTGGCATTATGTGTAGACCGCTTACTGGGCGTAGTACCAGCCTTAGCGGGGCTTGGGTGAGCACTGGTCAGCGCGGAGGCACCACGTACAGTGTGCGGTGCGGGCTCCCGGTGAGGGAGCGAGAGGGAGTGTCAGCCAGCCAGGGTTACGTTGGGGCATGATACGCTGGTTGACCTGCCGACACGTGACCGGATGATATTGGAGGGGGGCCACCGGTGGACGGGGGCCGCTGGGCGGTCACGTGGTCTGAAAGAGCTCTCGGGAGCCTTCAGGAAAGAGCTCGAGAGATGTAGAAGGTGGGCGGGGTGAGGGGCGGAGCCAGCCTCAGCCCAGGCCGATATAACGGGGGGCCCCGTGAGGGGCTCGTGGTTCTTCGTGTTGCTGGTGAAGAAGATCCAAGTCGGGTAAAAGAAGCCTCTAGCCACGCGGTCCGGGACCCAGCTTGTGGTCCGGGCCAGGATAGCGAACCGTGTCTAGTTCTGACGTAGCGCGGCTAGATGGGCATTCAACACTCAAGTGTAGGTTGTGTTATGTAAGGTTGAGTTACTGAAATAAATAGTGTTGCTCCCAAGACAACGTCTGCGACTCAGTTGGACTCACTACACATGCGAGACGAAACCGGAGAGCCTGGAGAAGTGCACGTGCGTCAGGGGAGTAACACTATCTCTGGCAATGTATGTATGTATGTTGAACTTCTTTCGCACCGTACATAGTCAACCGTGCTAATTGGAGGTGCGGGGAGAAGGACAAGCCAGGGTACGGCACCTCCTCGACACCCACGGGAAGGGAGCTTCTCAACATTTGCACAATCCACCAACCCTCGCCTCCACTGTGCTAGATTACAGGCGTGCGCGCCACCATCGCCCAACATCATGAATAATGATGATCATGATGGCGATGAAAATGATGATAAAGATATTCCTGTCATCAGCAACTCACCTGTGCAGACATGGTCCGTTGAAAGGCTTTTCCAATAGAAGTCTCGTTTGAGATGTCAGTTTGTGGAGCGTAGTACTGATCTGACATCTGTGAACAACAAGCGAGCCCTGTTTTAGAGCACATAGTTGGTTGGTAAATCAATAAAGATCCCCCAAACAACCTTTAAGACTTTTGTGGCAAGTGCTGTTAGCGAGCACCTCTTAAGGCCAGCATGGCCACGCAAAGGGGTGGGTGGCGAGCACCACACTCAGCCTCCTTTGGCTCCCTAATTCTTATGTTTACATACCAAGGCAGCTATTCATTTAAGGCCCATTCGATCTAGGGGAGGCCCAGGGCATGTTCAGATATGTCACTTATATTGGCCACGAATAGGAATCAAACTCGAGCCACCAGGTTCGTAGTGCAGTACGCTAACCTGTACACTACCACTACCCACTGGTGCATCACAAACACACACAAAGGTTCTCCATAAAGCCATTTCATCTGTTGAGCCATTGCTGTTCACGAGCAACTATTAAGGCTGGCATGGCACACAAACTGCTGATGTCACCCCAATGCTGAAGTTTAAAACACACACCGGGTGGTCATTTAGGATCGAGGTTACTTAGTGGAGTCCCAGGACAACTTTTGATAACAACTTGCCACTTATATTACCAATGGCAGGGAATTCAACTTTGGTCACCACTTGGTTTAAAGCACAGTGCGCAACACCAAGGGACCACCACTCCCCACACACACATTAACATGCAAAGAAACCATCACACATACATACACATGTACCTTTTTCTGGAGCCACTGAACAGTCCATGAGAGATGGTAGGTGTCACCACGAAAATATTCTTTGGCAGATGAACACCTACGCAGTATATTCATGCACAAATTTCAAAATTATATAGAAATATACAAACGTACAAAAAATTTACATTTATAATACAAAGATCCTCGGTGTAGCCTTACACAGGCTGTTGGGGCAAGTGCTGTTATCGAGCACTCATCAAGGCTGGAACAGCACACGAGAGGATGGGTGGCCAGTACCACGCTCGGTCATCTTTGTCTCCCGAGTGGCAGTGTTTACACAACTATACCAGGTACCCATTTGGGGCTGAGCGACCTATGGGAAGCCCAGGACCGGTTCAGATAATCATCACTGGTGTTGGCCATGAGCGGGAATCGAACCAGGGTCACCAGGTTCGTAACGCAACACGCTACCGCTATACTACCGCTCTCCATTAATATGCACGCATACACATACATATAATCACACATTTCAATAGCATCGTCATCATCATCACCACCACCATCACCACTACCACCATCTCCACCACCAGCACCATCATCTCTGCCATCACCACTACCAGTTGCTGAGCCAATTCAAATGCACCATAAACCACAACCGTTAAAACTGTTAACCCCACCAAACATAGACCTCTGACCTCTGGGCCAGCCCCATGATGAACTTGATGCATTGGTAGCAGCGCGAGCTGTCCGTGGTGGAGGTCTGATGCATAAAGGCTGTGGACACAGACACACGCACACGCATACTCACATGGTGCATGCAACAGTGGTTGTCCCCATGGATAAACTGTCCCTCACCATGGGAATGTGGAATTTCCACTGCTGGCTCAAGGGCCACCAGTGGAGATGAGTGCCACCCCATACTTGTTTGAGCAGGGGACACAAACCCAAATTTGAATACAGAGAAATAAAGACATTAATACAGGTACACTGGTACACATATACAAATTAACACACATGTACATACAAGGACACACATGTCAAGTCAAAGTGTCTCATCATTAACCGAGCAACAGGGCAGCGTCGCTTTTCATTTCGGCCCAGAATCAGCTGTGAAAGTTCCACATTCCCATTTCAGGGGCCAGTATCTCCGAAGGATGACCACAGTTTAACTACAATTCAGTGTGCTGTGGTGAGTAAATAACGTCTCGTCTCTCTGGAACGTCTGTGGGGGTCTGCGTCCATTGTCTTACCCAGAAGCCCTCGCTCCCGCTCGAAGGTGAATTTGAGGCGTTCCGTCTGAAGTGGATCCTCGATCATCTACAGACAAAATCAGCAATAACATTCGCTTCAGCAATAAAATTTTGCATCAGCAACATCAGCATCAGCAATAACATCAGCATCAGCAATAACATTCACGTAAGCAATAGCATCAGCATCAGAAATAACATTCACATCAGCAATAACATGAGCATCTGCAATCACATTTGCATCAGCAATAACAGCATCAGAAATAACATCAGCAATAACACCAACATCATCATGCACATGTGCATCCCTTTTGTCAGTCCACTGACAAAAGGGTGAGGGGGTCTCCCCATGCCTGTGTGGGTCATGAGAAATGTGAACATATTTCACCACACTAGCCATTGCAGGATGAAGGCGTGGGAGCGCAGACGAGCAGATATAGAAGAACAGTTCAACGATGGATTGTTCCACTGTATTATGCTGCCCACCACATAGCCCCAATACTATCATCAATATTAACTACCAACATCACCACCATAATCACCATCGTCACCTGAACTACCAAAATCAAACGCCATTAGCCAGCGCAACATTTGGTGGTGACGCGGCCCAGCGGGGGTGGCGCGTTCGCCGCCTGTTGAAGAGCTTCACGGTTCGAATCCAGTGCCCCCCCCCCCCCCCCCCCCCGATTAATACTGCAGGTGTAAATAATCATAATACTACGTGCATCCTGCTTCACAGTGGACATTAAAAATTCCTTAACGTCATCATAAGAGTAGGCCATTGTGTGCCGGTGTCAGCATTCAAATTTGTCAAGTTCTAAAATTACTTGGAAATGACCGATGTAGGATTATACACAGAAATCACCACCGCGTACTGACAGATTAATGCCCCAGAGGTCACTTTTGCAAATTAAACACTGGTTTCTTGAGTTTCCACCTGGTTAAAATAAACTTGAAATCATCACTATTGCCACAGTACCACCACTAACTACTACCACACTACCACAAGCATCACCACCATCCATGTCTCCTGATGTGTTGATGTCACTCACAAGAATCTCATGGAGCAACTGGAAGATGGACTTGAGTTCGTTGGGTGGAGCCGTCTCCAGTTGGCTCTGAACGTGCAATTACAAACACACCAATACACTTACGCTAGCACACACATATCCACACAAATAAAAAACAAAGACCCCCCCCCCCCCCCTCATAGACTTAACAGGTTGTTGGGGCAAGCACTGTTTCGCGGGCACCTTTGAAGGACGGCATGGCACATTATTGGACGAGTTACCAATACCAAACCCGTCCGTCTTTGTCTCTCCCCAGTGATGTTTACACACTGTAACCGGTATTCATTAGGGCTGTCAAACTAGGAGAGGCCTAATAACAGTTCTAATACTGGTCGCTGAGAATAGCCACGAACAGGAATCGAACTCGGGTCACCAGGTTCGAAGCAGTGTGCTAACCACTGCAAGACACACACACACATAAGCATACCTACTCTCATCTTTAGGGTTGTATAGAATGTGGTAGCAAATGTTATTTAGCAAGAAACTATGCAGAACACAAAACAGATGTCATTTTCTACCAAGTGTTGAGTTAAGTTTGTATCACCGACAGCCAACTCACAATGCTCCCTGCCCAGATTATCCGGGTTGTGGATTAAAAATGTTCCTCTTACACAGACACTGGTTTAATGACTAACAGCTCCCCATTGAGAGTCAATGAATCAGTGTCACTTTAAGAGGCGATAAAAAAACATTGCACATTCAACTTCTTTCCCCTAATTTAATAAACATTAGATACGTTTTCAAAGCCTAATCTAATTCCATGCTTTATCCGGGCAACCACTCTCCCCGCCAACCTGGATAATCGAGTTTTTAGGCTGATGAGGTTAAACCTGAATTCAGCTGACGCCACCCGTGTGCACCCTACCCCAACCGCTTCTCGCTTAATATCCCCCCCCTCTCCCCGAGTTGGTAATCTGTCGAGCCCCCAGCGCGGCCTTGCCTTGATCTGCTGAAGGACAGTGGCGGAGAACTGCTCATTGCAGAAGCAGAGGTAGCAGAGCGCCTGCATGAGGATGGTGACGATGGACGGCAGCTTCCTCAATGCGATGATGACCTACATCAAAATCATCACAAGCATGATGATCAGCTAGGTCATATTCGGCACTATGAGCGGCTGCATCATCACCGGCAGGATTAGTGTCATCACTAGCATCATCCCGCATCTCCGATTAGCAGTTGGCAACGTACGGTGCTAGAGAAGTTCAACATACATACATACTTACATTCTCAACATTAAACCAAGGACCAACATTGTAAATGGTGGAGAAGTGAAAGATGATATGGAAGTAAGAGTATTATTGATGATGATAATTAAAAGGCTGCCAAGTTCCGGGGAAGGAAACATATATGAGATCACGCAATGGAAAGCCAACAATAGCCACCAGCATGTGTCATACACACAAAGCACGTGAATTCACAGTCCTGTATTGATGAAGGACTGTCAAGCTTTTGATGCCACAGATGTGTGTTATGCACACCGTAGCACTTCTGTGCTACACTGGCTGTGTGGTAAGTGTGCACATGTTTGCATGTGCAAGAGCATGCGTATGAACATTACCTGGTGCAAGGGCAAAGAGTAGGGAGGGACTGATGCATTTGTTCATGAGCCAGATCAGATATTGGTACCACCGAAGGCAGTAAAACTTTAGTCATATAAATTTATATTCATAGCTAAAAAAGAGTTCATTACTTGACAACCCCAGCCATAAAAAATATCATTACCACGTAATTCATTGTTATTGGCCACATTGATACATTAGGAGCATTCAGATTATGCCATCTTAGGTGGTACCGACAAGTGAAATATCTGGTCTGGGCTCATGGACTATGGGAAATCATTGGGTGTTGACTTGTGAGTGTATGAATGGTGTGGCCTGACAGCCCTGATGATGATATAGAATGTCACTTTAGTTACTAATCTTGCTAATGCTGCTAATATAGCTGCTGTTGATGATGCAGATAAAGCTGTTGCAGTTAACGCTGCTGCTGTTGTTGTTGATGATGATGAGGTGGTAGTGTGGTGCTCCTCCGCACCTCTCTGATGTAGGCCTGGTTGCTGTTTGTGAAAAGGAGTTGTGTGATGTCCTCAGGTAGGGTGAGGAGGGCGTTGGCGGACGGCGCCTCCACGGCGGTGAAAGTCATGACCGCAGTGCCAGGTTCTGTAACGTCAATATCAAACGGTCAACACTGCAAAGACCAGCAGCGTCATGGTCAAGAGCAACAGTACCCGCATTGGGATCATCAACATCACATTTCATTAAGAAACATTATCAGCATCATCAGCAATCGCACAATCGTAGACATCAGTGGCATTGTCACCACGAGCAATAACATCATAATCAGTAATACCATCATCAGCAGCATCAATACCATCAGAAATATCAGTGAACATCCTCATCAACAGCAAACATAGAGTCACCACCAGAAGCAGAAATAGTATCATCAACCACATCAGCAATTTCATCATCATAGCAGCATCAACCAAATAATCATCAACGGTAGCAGCACCAGTATGATCATCTCAGTCATCATGATCGCCATACCACCGTGATCAGCAGCATCAACATCTTTGTGTGCTGATGCTTCTGCTTGTGATGGTGGTGACTTCACTCACCCACAGTGGCCTGTGATGAGACGTCACAGTGCAGGATGATGAGTGCCAGACAGGAGTGGAGGCCAGAAAACTCTCGCGTTTGAGACATGGTCCAGTGACGATTCTGCGAAAAAATAAAAATCCTTTAACACGAAGCTTTCGATAACAGAGACAGTGGGAGAGATGGGGTTGTGGGGAGTGGAAGTGTCGTGGTTAGTGCGCTGCACTATGAACCTGGCGACCCGAGTTCGATTCCCGCTCACGGCCAACACAAGTGACGATTATCTGAACCGGTCCTGGTCATCCCCTAGGTCGATTCAGCCTCAAAATGCATACCTGGTGGGTGGTGCTGGCCACCCACCCTGCTGTGCTGGCCTTCATAGGTGCTCGTTAACAGCACTTGCTCAGTCTGTTCATGCTATATGGAAGGTTTTTGTCTTTGGTGGGCTGTGTTAGTGGTATAGATGGGGCTGTGTTAGTGGTAAGGTTAAAGATGGGGATGTGTTAGTAGTAGGGGTAGATCTGGCCCTCTGCACCTGGTTTGGTTGAGGTCCAGGTCCCAACAGGAATGAGATGAGGCGCCGGAATGCAGAAAGGTCCAGCAGGAGCTGGCAGGAGGGTGGACCCTGAAACACAAGGTGACAAGGAGCGCCATGAGGATTCATAGGGATACGTGGGAACACAGAAGGCATAGGAAGGCAAGAGGACACGTTGAGTAGCACTGGGACATAAAGAAGCATGGGAAACCAAGGGGACACATGAGAATACATAGGAGGACTTGGGGAAACAATGGGAAGTTTGGGGAGGCATGGGAGAAAATGAGAATACAAAGGGAGTTTAGGAGGCTATGTTTTCGAATCATTGTCTGGATTGAGATCAGATTCAAAGAAACAAGCTTTGATTGAGTGTCAGCTTAAGGAAATCGAATTTCATGTTTAAAGTCATTATCGAGACTCCAGGCGACTGGGTTTCAGGAACGTCTTGAGACTTGGCTTCAGGAAACCGGTTTTGGGACCAGAGTTTTGGATTTTTGACGAATTCTTACCCTGCGAGCGAAGGACTCCAGGAGTCGGAAATACTGGGCACAGTTTTTACAGTTCTCCATGACATCTTTGTCTAGGAGGTCCAGTAAGGAATCCACCAGCTTCTTCAATCCCTGCACAACCTGACACAGTGATGACAAGCGTTGAGTTTTGTTTTCCACAATCCACTAGGACAATGCATAATGGTTGTGTCCAATGTTGCTGTACTTCAGTGAACAAACCACAGTGTCTGCGGAGAGCTCCTGCCTTTCACACCTACAAACCAGTAGCATTTGCTTAACACGCCTGCTGATGAGGCTTATGAAAGTCAAAACAAGTCCAGTTTGCCTGCTTGTCTATGCCACCACAATACACGGAGAATTAATGCAGGCCATGCACCCTTTCCGTCCCGTGATTGGCTGGCCATCTAGGCAAAGCAGACAAAAGTGACATTTTATCAATGATAGTTGCACAATCGGTAATATGGCTACTGTAAATTATGGAGAAAAGTCTTTCATGGCGAGCGATGCAACTGTGTCTCTGACATGGCCATTACGAACCTGGCACGACCGTATTGAACTATCTGACAGTGATGACGAGTTTGAGGTCTTGAACCCATGATCTCAGCATTGCTGGTTCAGTGACTCTGGCACGGCCATCATGAACCACCCCCCCCCCCCCCCCGCCCAGAGAAACACACGCACTCACCTAGACCTATGCCTTGAACCAAATATCTCAGTGATGCTGGCTAAGTGTCTCCGACATGGCCATTATGAACCCATCACCTGGCTGTCTGTGTGCTGGAGTCCGCCCTCCAGGGTCTTGTCGAGAATGGTTGCCGTGTGACTCCTGACCTCACGAACGCCGCACTCGAGCAACAGCAGCCTGGGTCAGAGGTCAGAGTCAAAGTGCAGGGGTTAAGGGTGACACATAAACAACCTAGATGTCTGGGGTCAAATGGAAAACTGGTTTGAGGTCAGGGGATGGGACATGGTTGAGCTGGTCATGGCATTGGTGGGAATTATTTTGGTGGTAATAATGATAAGGGTTGTTGTGTTGAAGGCAGTCATAGGTGGTTCAGATGATGGTGGAGGGGAGGTAGTGTTTGTGGTTTTGCAGTTGTTGGTAGTTGTGGTGAAAGTTGTGATGGAGCTGTGGTGCTGTAATATTGGTAGAAGTGGTGAGAGTTGTTGTAGTTGTGGTGGTTGTGGTAGCTGCGATGCGGTTGTGCTGTTGTAATGACGATGACGATGGTGGTTGTGATGATGGTGGCGGTAGTGGCAGTGGTTTAGGTAGTTGTGGTAGTTGTGGTGGTGGTAGTTGGGGTGCTTCTTCTTGTGGTGGTTGTGATTGCTGTGGTGGTTGACATGGTTGTGGAAGCTGTCGTGGTTGTGGTAGCTTTGCTGGTTGTCATGGTTGTGGAAGCTGTGGTGGTTTTGGTGGTTGTGGAAGCTGTGGTGGTTGTGATAGCTGTGCTGGTTGTCATGGTTGTGGAAGCTGTGGTGGATGTGGTTGTTGTGATAGCTGTGCTGGTTGTCAGGGTTGTGGAAGCTGTGGTGGTTGTGATAGCTGTGCTGGTTGTCAGGGTTGTGGAAGCTGTGGTGGATGTGGTTGTTGTGATAGCTGTGCTGATTGTCAGGGTTGTGGAAGCTGTGGTGAATGTGGTTGTTGTGATAGCTGTGCTGATTGTCAGGGTTGTGGAAGCTGTGGTGAATGTGGTTGTTGTGATAGCTGTGCTGGTTGTCAGGGTTGTGGAAGCTGTGGTGGATGTGGTTGTTGTGATAGCTGTGCTGGTTGTCAGGGTTGTGGTTGTACCGTATTGTCTCATGTCCCTCTGTGCTCCTTATCGTCTCCAGGAGCCATTCGCAGGCCCGACCCGAACGGCAGAGCAGAGACCCGACCAGCATCATCCACTCATCAACATCCTCCCTGCATCACCACCACCACCACACTTATCATCATCACCATCAATTTCAGCAGCAGCATTAACATCATCACCACCATCAACTTAAGCAATTTAAGTAATAATTAGCAGTATCAACAGCATCACCATTGCCATGCGGCCTCAGCAGCAGAACCATCAGCACCAGCAACATTTTTATTTTAATAACAATCACCATCTTGACCCGCATCATCATCGATATAACCATCAACACCATCGTTAATAAAGGAATGGATAAGGCAGTTGAGGTGTAGGAGACAGTTAAGGACATCGTGCACATGAGCGAGGCGTTTGAGAAGATGAAACGAGGTTCAGCGTTGACGAGGTTGCACAGGTCTCACCAGAGCTTCTTCTTAGTGCGAAGGAAGGTGTTGAAGAGAAAGTTCACGGCCAAACGCAGACTCACGGTCGCCATCTCCTCAAAGTCCGCGTGCTTGCTCTTATTCTGAATAACACAGGAGCCGAGTCTCAATCAAAACACTGGTCCTAAATTCTTACAGCCCTTGTCAATTCACTGCTGGGTGAAGGCTTCCCCACATCGTGTCAATCATCACGCTAGTCAGTGCAGCTTCACGAAGGGGAAAAGGAGGCCCAGGACTGCTAAGGTCATACAGGTTCAAAGTGTAGTGTGCAAACTACTGTGCCACCACCCCAGTGGTCCTAAACGTCTTAATCGAACCTCCAATACTAAAAAACCTGGTTTTAGGATAGCAGGCGGTCTGTTGGTGTGCTCGGGTGGTGGAGGTTGTGCTGTAGAGCGGTGACAGACACAAGTTTGATTCCCGCTCACGGCCAGCACCAGTGACGATTATCTGAACTGGTCCTGGGCCTCCTCTAGGTCGACTCAGCCTCAAATGAGAACCGAGTGCGGTGTGTAAACATTGCCACTGAGGAGACAAAGGCGGCCGGGCGTGGTGCTGGCCACCCACCTCTTCGTGTTAAGTGCCGGCCTTCATAGGTGCTCTTGCTCCTTTCGTCTGTTAAGGCCATACGGGGGATATTTATCTCTGTGCTGAAGATCATGCTTATTGGTTCAGTGTCTAGGGGTTGGATGTGATGCACATTCCTCATTTGGCATAAGGGTGACGTGGTGATCCATGTAATGTGGGATACATGTTCATGTGGCATTCACTGGTTTCATGAGATCACAATGCAACACCTTAACAATGGCTGGCGGCTCCCACACTGAGACTTCATAAAAGCCAACCTACCTAAAATCCCAGTTGGCTTGGATCCTTGACTCTCTACTGCAATATTAGTGATAGATCAACACGCATGTTCTGTACTTCTAATCAGGTAAGAATGAATCAAGCATTATCACACAAAAGCTTAAAATAATGTAACAGCCTTTTTCAATGAACTGCTGGATAAGCACAGAGTGCTGCACACGAGCTGTTCAGTACAAGGTAAGATTCCTTTCCCTGGTGAAAAAAATGCATATAGGTAAATGTAATATCACTATAAATATCCAGTATTATTTTAAAATAAAAATAGACCCCATGTTAGTTAATTTTACGAGATATGGATGACAAAGTGTAAAGAAAAAAAAAACTCCGCACATGTCAATAACATTGAGTGGCCTTAAAATTATTTTTTTTTAAAAAGGTGACATTTTGGGCAATGGCCCTTATTTCACAGCACATACAGAAAGCGGTGGCGTTTGCGATGCAAACTGCTGTGCCACGACTTCAGGGTCACGAAACACATTGGCAGTGGTGACCGGGTGTCCAGGTCTGAGTCCAGAGTCACAACAAGAAGCCAAGAAATGGGGAAGAGCTCAAGGTAAGGATAAAAACTGCCCTTGGAAAAGTTACTAGATACATTTTGGGAGAAAAGTATGGAGAAATTTCCCAGTTGGGATGAAAAGGTATGAACAGCATTGAAGTCAGCATAAAGTCTTGCATTACTTTAAAACCTGGGAGGGACTTAATCATCACAGCATCATCATTATAACCAGCCATGATCTATTTACTGCCAAACGAAGACCTCCCCAATCCGTCACCACCTGTTACAATCCTGCATTGTAAATGATCCATGCAGCTCCTGCACACAGCCACGCTGTACAGTGTTAAATCACCATCAACCATCATCATCCCTCTTGGGGCATAGAGAATGGGTAATGCTAATTAGTGTAAGCAAGTCAACAGCAGTGGTTTATGACCAATTGAGAAAGACTGGTCACTGCCATAGGAATGTGGAATTTCCACCTTTTTGTCTCAAAACTCACGACATTGATGGACGCCAGCGCTCGGATGAATTTGAAGTAGTTTTGGTTGTAGACCTCTCGGTTCTTCATGAACTTCAGGTTTTCCTCGAGAACCGCCTGGTAGCATGAAGCAGAAAAATTCCTTTATGTCACCAAGTCGATAAAAAAAATCAACAACACCAACAAATGAAGTGACATGCCACGAAGAAAATGGCGTCCAAGATGGCGGCCTGAGGTTGAAGGTCAGGCCTGCAGGGCTTAGCGAAAAAGTAAAGATAAGTCAGTGGTGAAGGGGTGGGGGATAGGGGGGCACGTGAGGGAAAATGGGAAAATTAGAGTTATTGTTAGGATTTGTGTTATTGTCAGGCTTTGGTAACGGTTATGGTCACAGTTAGGGTCAGGGCGGTGCTCAATTTCATGCGTTATTTTATGGTAAGTGTTCAGATAAGATCAAGCATTAGGGTGTTAGGAAGGGGTGTAATAATTAAGGTCAGGATTGGGATGATAGTCAGCACTAGTGTCAGCGTAATGGCTGGTCATGTTAGTCTCAATGAACTTGGGCTTGTGTTAATATCCAGCATGGTTATGGTTATGACTAGGGTCATGGCCAGTAAGTGTCAACATGTTCACATGTTTAGGGCTATGGTTAGGAATATGGTCGGTGCTAGTGTCATTGATATGTTCAGCATGAGTGTTAGTGATATGTCAGTGATTTGGCTAGACGAGCTAGCATCAGTGCGTCTGGGATAGTGGCCGTGTCGAGGGCTCGTATTCGGACAGCATCCCACACCTGACAGATGGAGGGCGGCATGCGCTCCCCCAGCATCCCTGTACGCTCCCAGCGCCGCACGAGGCGGGCGAGCAGGGAGAGTCCGTCGTGAGCCCGGGGCGGGCGCGGGGACGAGGCCGGGGACAGATCCGGGGACGCTGCTGCAGCCGCCGCCATAATACCCGGAAACACCCCCTGTCTGGATCCAGATCCAGAACCGGAGCCAGGGGTGGAGGTGGCACCCAATCCGGAACCGGAGTCAGATACGGCATTGGAGCCCAATCCAGAACCAGAGCTAGATCCAGAACTGGTGCTGACACGGCTTTTCTTGGGCAATACAGGTGAGATGGCAGTAGTGGAGGTGGCTGTGGTGGTTGAAATGTTCGAAGCAGTAGCAGAGGCAGCAGCAGCAGCAGCAGATGCCCCAGTGCGTTGGTAGAACAGCATGTAGGCATTCCAGTAGCGGCGACGAAGATCCGACGCAGAGTTGTCTAAACACACGGGAGGCACAGGTGGTGGCAGTTATGAAAGTGCTGACGATGGTGGTGATGTTGCTAATGTTGGTGGTGGCAGTGTGATGAAGATGGTGATGGTAACATGAGTGGAGGTGTTGTTGGTGCTGACAGTGGTAATGATAGTGGTGATGAAGATATGGGTGGTGACGATAGAGATGCCGACAATGGTGGTAATGGTGTGGCCGATGGTAGTGGTTTTGGTAATGATAATTATAGTGATGGTGGTGATGTGGTTGAGGTTGTGACAGTGGTGGTGATAATGCTGCTGCTGCTGATGCTACTGATACTGGTGATGCTGCTATGCTGTTGCTGATGATTCTCACGTTGATCGTAAACCTTCGTTCTGTACTCTCCGCCGAAGCATTCATATTCCAGGGCCTCTTCCGTCATCTCAAACCCCTCCACTTGGGTGTCGTTAAACCGGAACCAACGGCCAAGAGCAGGACCGGGCCTGGCATAACCACAACAACCCAAAGACAACCATTAAGTACAACAACAACCATCAATCAAACAGCATCATCATCATCTTCTGCATTACCATCACAATCCATCAACTCAACAGCATCATCATGTTTATCATCTCCACAGCCACCACAACCATTTAAAAAAGAGCATCACCAATATCTCCACAACCACAGTAACCATCTAACTGCATAATCGTCATTGTCATCTCAACAACACCATGAGCTTAGCAATGGTAGCTCAATGTCTCTGACATGACCATTATGAGCCCCCTGAGAGAGACAGAGACACTCAGAAAAGTGCTTGAACCCAGAAGTCATTGGTTGCCAGGCCAATCAATGTCTCCAACACAGCCATTATTTACCATCCAAGATAGACAAGGCCTCAAAAACCCACGCTCTTAGTGATGCTAGCTTCATGCCTGCAACACGGCCCATTATAAACCCCCACAATCAGAGCAAGTGAGAAATATTCAGACCAGAGCTTAAAAACCCTCAAAGGTTGCCAGCTCAGTGTCTGCGACACCACCGTTATGGAGCGTCTCACCTGCGCTCCTTGATGAAGCTGTAGTAGTGCCCAGCGTGCGCTTGTCCGCTATGAACCACGACGCCCACGAGCTCATACTGATCGTCGTGCACGCCGGCTCCCCCGCCCGGCGACGCCGTGGCCGTCCCATTCAACGCCGCGCCATTGCTTCCGCTGCTGTTGCCATTACTACTGCTGCCATTACTGCCGCCGTTACTGCCGCCATTACTGCCACCATTACTGCTGTTGTTGCTGCTGCTCTCTTGGCGAGCAAGCCCCACGGTCGTGTACGGCTCCATGTTGAGGAGGAACGGGAACTGGGAGGTATGGGGTCGGGGGGCGGGGAGAGAGGGGAGGCTTGAGGAGGTTCGGGAGGTGGTGGTGAGAGGTGGTGGGAGGTGGATGAGGTTAAGAGGTAAATGAGCAGGTTGAGGAGGTGGAGGTCGTTGAGTTCGGGGCAATATAGAGAGTGCGGCCAGAGGCAGATCTGATATATGCATTGCATTTTGTGCGTTTTGTCATTTGTTTATGGTATATGCACAAAGCTCACGTGAACTACTAGAGGTTACTAGATTCACCACGTTGTTTAAAAAAAATCATTCGTTAATCAAACCATGACCGTGCATTGAGGGGGAAAAAAATGTGACACCCTTAATGGTGATGGTGGCAATGCTCCTGCTGCTAATGATGATGATGCTGTGCAATTGGTGTTGCTGCCACTGATGAAGATGACCCTTACTCGGATCTGCTCGTCATATTTGATGGGGCGGCCGCTGTCCCAGTCGAATCCGAACCTCATGAGATGAATCACGAGCAGCTCTGGCAGGGACTTGATGCACATTCGCTTCACAGTCGTGCGCTGCAACAAAGACAAAGATCCCCCATATTTAGCCGACAGACTTCTGGGGCGAGCGCTATTAGCAAGTACCCATCAAAGGCTAATATGGCCCATGGTGGGGGGGGGGGGGGGGGGGGGTTGTGGCCAACACCATGCCCAGCCACCTTTGTCTCCTCAGTTCTGATGTTTACACACTGCAAAAGATACTCCTTTTAGGCCAAGTCAATCAAAAGGAGGGCCAATATTGATTCAGCTATTTTTCAATGATGCCGGTTGCCTGGTTCAAAGCGTAATGCACTAACCATTACACACACGTAGACACGTACACACCCACACACAAATACCCACACACATGAGCGCACAAGTGCAGAGGTGTGTACCGAGATGCACGCGTGCTGTTTGGCTACAGTCTGGGCCAGTGCAAATGCGGGAAGTATAATCTGGACCAGTGTCTCACCTTGAGGCAGCACCTCTCACAGTAGTACGAGTTGTCCCCTTCCAGGAGTTCGCCCCTCACAAACTGGTCAAGGCAAACCTCAAGACTCGAGCCGCCAGTCACACCGAGGTCGAGAGCCACAAACAGCTCCTCTCTCTCATACCTGAGACACGGGAAGGTACGGGGAGGAGAAAATACACAGAGAGATGTTGATGGGGAACAGCAGCATGGGGAGAAGGTAAATGAGCTGGGAAACATGGGAATAAAGGAAGCAAAGTGAGAAGAAGACAGTTACAGGGAAGAGCATTAGGTGTAGGGAAACACAGGGAGGATAAAGGAGAAATTGGGGAGAAGAGAGTGGAGAAAGGAGGTGCAGAGAGAAGGGAGACAAGAAGGGGGCATGGTAGGAGACACAGAGGAAAGGGACATGTTTTATTGCACTGGCTGCCCAGGTCTGATTTGTGCTCATATTTTGACGGAATGCAATAGAATGAATGGTTCCGCACTGTGTGTTTCTGCTAGCAGTAAGACGAACCTGTGTGGACAGTCCTTGCAGATTTTCTGGTCGGAAAAAACTCCCTGAAAAGTGTTCTTAAAGATCTGTTCCTTTCCCAGTTTCTGTGGTACACATCGTGTAGAAAACAAAACAAAATAGCATGTCAAATTTACAATGTTTACCAATAAAATATATGTTTAACATTTCACTGAATTTAAGTAGCAAGAGCTGGGAGAAGAGAGTTATGATATGGTTATTGTTACGAGTAAGGATTAGTGTTGAGTTAGGGATAAGGTTAGGAGACAGTGTTAGAAGTATGTGTTATGAGTTAGGAGTTAGGATACGTATTATGGTTCATGTTAGGAGTTAGGATACGTATTATGGTTCGTGTTAGGAGTTAGGATACGTATTATGGTTCATGTTAGGAGTTTGGATACGTATTGTGGTTCGTGTTAGGAGTTGGTGTTCGGAGTTATGGATAGGAGTTAGGAATAAGTGTTGCGGGTTTGTGTTATGAGTTACAGTAAATGTTATGTGTTGGAGTTAAATAGTAAGGCTGTCGAGTCAATGGACAGGTTTATAACTTGACCTTCAGGTGTTCGTCGATTTGGTCGATGATGCTGGTGAAGAATTCGTAAGCATCCTGCTGATCCCGAACCATCAGGGGCCGGTTCCAGAGCCTGAAGATCTGGGAAAACCAGGAAATACGCACACACATACATACACACATGATGTATGTACATTTAGGTGAATGTTTGTGTGTAAGTATTAATAGGCTTTGACCATATTCTGTTTTTTCCGGTAAAGTTACATTGATAGAAAAAATAATAAAAGCACTTATTATTTTTTCTATCTACATGACTTTACCGAAAGAACCAAAGAATATTAATTCCTGCAGTCACAAAAGTTTCAAGTCAGGCTTTGACCAGTCGCCGCCCTCCAACAACAACATAGGGCAGAAAAGTGATGCTCACAACGATGAGCAGAGCGGCTGCTGAAATGCAGCAAGTTGGCATAGTAGCGTGCACAGGTGGTGCATCTGTCAGTCATCTCAGTCAGTCAACCCATGGCACCAGGGTCTGTCCCGTAACCTTCTGTCAGTGAGCCTTTGACACTTAACGTGGCCTGGCACAAGCGGAGTGGCGATGTCACCACCACTTAGTGGCGAATGGTGGCTGTTATTGTTGTTGAAGTATTAATAATCCATGGCAGTGAATCGTGAGGGCATTCCAAAATGTCACCACAAAATATACAATTTTCAAACATTGTATCTTATAATATCTGATTGCATTGTTTATAATTATCTCAAAATGTTAAAATGTAAAGGTGCAGCCTTGCACGCCACCCAATTAAAGTTTGTTGCACTTCTAGAATATAATTTTAATTTACATGAATGACTTGGTCAATCAATACAATCAACATTATGATCATCTACATCTACATATGTGTGTGTAGGTAGTTGGGAGCAGTAGTGCGATGATTAGCACGCTGCACTACGAACCCGGCGACCCAAGAATGATTACCCACTTACACCCAACATCGTTGACAAAAGTCTGAACCGATTCTGGGCCTCCCCAAGGTCGACTCAGCCTCAAAAGGAATACCTGATGCACTGTGTAAACATCAGCACTGGGGAGCAAAGGTGGCGGGGCGTGGTATTGGCCAACCACCCCCTCATGTCCCGTGCAGGCCTTCATAAGTGCTCACGAACAGCACTTGCCTCACCAGTCTGTTAATGGTTACACAGTGGATCTGTGTATTTAGAATTGTGTGTATGCGTGTATGTATGTATGCATCACCTTCCAGAATGTCTGTGGCACGTAGTACTGCAGTTTGCTCTCCATGAGGTGTCCAAAGAGACACTGCACTTGATAGAATACGCTCTCATCTGGGTTCTCCGCATCCTCCCCCTCCACAGCCAGAATGGCCTAGAAACAAATGCAGACACAACAGCAGCCACTAAGTGACAGTGACATCACCACGGCGCTTGTGCCAGGCCAAATGCACCGATGCCACGTGAAGTGTGTAAGGCAGAAGGTCACAGAACAGACAGATAATATAAGTTAACCGACTGAAATGACTCACAGATGCACCGCCTGTGCGCTCCAGTTTTCAGACACATGCAGACACACGCTGACACAAAGATCCCCCGTATAGCCTTAAAAGACTAAGGATAAGTGCTGTTAGCGAGCACCTTTGAAGGCCGGCACAGCACATGAGGACATGGGAGGCCAGCACCATCCCGGCCATCTTTGTGAGCATGATTACACCATGTTTACACATCGCTGAAACTCATTTGAGGCTGAGTCGAACTATGGGAGGCCCAGGACCAGATCAGATAATGATCACCGGTATTAGCCGTGAGCAGCAATGGAACTCGTGTCACCGGGTTCGTTGCACAGCCCGCTAACCTCTACACTACATGCAAACACACATGCTGACACACACACACATGCACATACATATATACGTGCTAGTGACAGTGTTTGGGTCAGGGCAAAGGCTAGCACTACTTTCTTGTTGGAGTTCGTACTAGTTTGGGTATTAGGATTAGTGTGGGTTTTGGGGTTAATGTAATATGAGGGCTAACACCAGTGACAGCATTAGCATCACGGCTAGTACTAGCGCTAGTATTAATGCTGATGCTAATGTTCGAGCTTTTGTTCATGGTAAGGGCCAGGAGGCGAGTGTGCGGGACTACCTCAGGTAGGCCGGGATGCATGTAGAGTTGCTGGAACACGGCGTTCATGTAGCAGGTTGCTCCCCCGTTTCTGAGACCCACAAATCCGGACTCGGAGCGACCATCCACAGGCGGAAGGTACTGAAAAAAACCCACCAAGACACAACAAACACACGGGTGTGAGTGACACTGCCTACAAGGACCAGGCCTGAATGACGCCCAACCGTTGGAAGCCAGGGCACATGACACAGCCTTGCATGGGCCAGGGTGAGATTTGCTGAGTGCTATCCAGCCTCCCATGCCTCCTGCATAGCGCAGAGGTTAGCAGAGGGCTCGGTGGACAGGTCTAAAGAGGCTGGGTCAGGAGGCAAGCTGTTGTGGTGGTCGCTGGCAAGGATTATCATTGACTGTGTAGTGCATGCTATATCATAGTATTGCCATTTCATGATAATCCTAATAATAACACCTTGGCTTGGGCAGTGTGAAGAAGACACGGGCAAGGAAGATTAGGAAGGAGTGGAGCGAGCAAGACCGTAACTGTCCATGTGCCTGGCTTGTGTGTCTACATCCAAGTGTGATTGAGTGAATACTGTGCAGAAATGCATAATTAAGATGCTACTGATATGTCTGCTGCTACTAATGATGCTCCTGCTCCTGAGGGCAATAATTAAGATGTTGCTGCCGATGATGATGATGATAATTAAGATTCTAATACTGATATCAGAATCGTTGCTTCTGTTGCTGCTGATAATGAAGATGTTGCTGCAGTTTTTATTTATCGTTGTTCATGTTGATTACGTTATTACTGCTGCGAGAACCGATTATGACCCTACCTCAAACTCCTTGGCAAGTGACGGCTCCACTTGGTGGTGCAGAGACAGCAGCTCTGAGCACAACAGCTGCAGGTTGCGGAGGCTGCTGTCGGCTAGAGTGACCAGAACCTCACAGGCAGCGAGGCGGCTTTCTTGCGAGCAGCACCTACACACAAAGAGACACACGGGGGAGGGGACATAGGTAAACTCCTGGCCAGGACAAGGGCTAAAGATAGGCTGAAGGTCAGTGTAAAGGAATATACATCATTTTAAAGTTGGGGTAAGTGTGTTGATGTTACATGAGAGCTTAGGATTCAGGGCTTACATTCCAGGGTCCAAGATTCAAGGAAAAGAGGCTCCATATTGAACCAAAGGTTCAAAGATCAAGGTTCCAGGGTATAATGGAACACATGCATGTATAGACCAATGTCAATCCACTGCTATATGAGGGCCTTATAATGCCATGTCGGTTGTTTGAGAATATTTCACCTGTCAGTGCAGGTAACTGGAGGCATAGATGTCTGAGCAGAGATGCATGTACAACAATGAGATTTTAATGCACTGCCCTCTGCTGCTGACAACGTAGTCCGACACCTGTTGCAGACATGGTGGTCACCAATTCAAGTCCCATCCAGGTTCAACCATGCCAAGCATCTGATTTAAAATGAGATCGGGCACATTCTGAGTGCTTTGCTCATAGGCTCATGAATTATATTATCATAGCTAAGGCATACACATCCATACTCAAGATCCTAAAACTAAGGCTTCAAGATTGGTAATGTAAGTTCAGAGGCCAAGGTGCAGTGCTGCGCCTGCCTGGGGTTGAAGTTGTGCTGTGAGGGTGGACCCGCCGCTTCCTCCTTCTGCGTCGTCTCAATGATTTTTGCCGCGGGGAAGAGGAACGTCTCCAAGAGTTGACGGATGAGGTGGGGACCTAGGGAGCAAGGAAGTAAACTTTATTGGTAATGATCAGAGGCTATAAACAATTCCACCCTAAAGGCGACAGGCGTGTTAAATAACTTCAAGGATGACCGCTTAAAATTATCGTCCCCAGCTGTCCAACCCAAAAAAACAAAAAATGAAGTTCATTCATGATTTAAAATAAAACATAAATACCGGGATGCAACGTTAAGGCTATACAATGCATTTGTACCACCCCAACTTGGAATTGTGTTCAGTTCTGTCATTCCTGTCCTGGAAACCAACCAGAGTGATGTTTGGACTGAAACACAGGTCATATGCAGATAAGCTCAACAAACTAAACCTCTTTAATCCTGAACAAAGAAGAATCCGTGGGGACTTAATCCAGGTCTACAAAATCATGAATAGCATTGACCGAGTCGATCCAGACTACTACTTCAAGCTTTACAGAGAGAAGAAAATTAGAGGCAAAGGGTGGAAGCTACATGTGGGAAAGTTCAGGACCGAATAGAGGAGACATTTTTTTATATATATACAAAGGGTGGGAGTATAGAATGGGTGGCTCAAACCCATTGTGGAAGCAAATTCACTCGGCCTCAAGAAACGCCTTTATGAGATTCTAGAATCAATACGTTATTAATAACTTAACATGTTGGATGGACCGAATGGTCCCCCCCACTCTCGTTTGTAACCCTTCTTATGTTATCAGAATCGCCAGTGACGCACCGATCTGATCTTTGTCCTGCGTGCTCAGCATTAGCAGAGTGTTGATGAGACGTAGGTGTCCCGCCAGAAGAGAAGTCCCAGAATGCACTACGACGCTGGTGCCACCGCCTCCGTCGCCCCCTTCCCACAATGCCGCGGGGGGCTCATAGTTGTCGAGCCATGTGATCTCGTCCTCCAACATGGCCGCCGGGCTCACTTCCAACATTTTCATATCTGTGTCTAGGGGAGGGGGAGATGGAGGTTCACAATGACCGTGTTATGTTTGCAATGGCCGGGTGTCGTGGTGCACACCTATAACCCGGAACTTTGAGGCAAGGGCTTGCAAACAGTGCAGATTTGTGAAATTTACAAATCCACTGGGCTGCGAGGTAGCCAGAAATGGCAGTACAACAAGTGGGTAAGTAGGGAATTGAATCTGTCCTTGCAGAATGAGTATTATTTCGTCATGTACATGCAATATGTCCGCAAACTCTGGTTTCCTCCCAGATAGAGCAAAACAATTATTAAACAAGGAAGACAAATTATGGATATGCATGGATTTAAGAAAACTTCCCAACATGCTTTTGTCATCGCAAGTGTTTAAACAGCTGTAAAATAGATATGTTCCAAGCTGCACAATGAGATGACGTCACACACAATTGTATCATGGCCTGGTGAGGTGTGCGCATGATATGCGTCGTCACCACATTGGCTGGCAAGGTAAGACAAATACTTTTAGCACTGGTTTTTGTTAACCAAAACCTGGGCAACCCTTTAATGAATTTGGCCTGTTTTCTCTAGGGTAAATCCCTAAAGCAATGACAATTTAAACTGAAATTTAGTTTATATTGGATCACCTTTTTTTAAATTAGGAGATAAAGCTATTGCATTAATGCTTTCAATACTGGTTGGAAATCGTCAGTGGAATGTAGCCAAACATACCATTGCAGGGGTCCTGAGCCTCAGCGAGGTATCCCTGGATAAATAATTTACTTAATTCCCACAATGGCTGAGTTTAGTTCATAATGGTCATGGATCTGTGTTTATATTTCTATCAGTGAGTTTACAAAAACGAAATGTTCATAATGGCCATTCGAGACCATGAGTCACAGTCATGTAAATCTTGAGTTTAAAGTTGAAAACCTGGGTCTAAAATGTGTGCTTCTCTCCAGCAATTCATCCTGGTTGTTTCAGGTTCATGAAACTGATGACTTCAAAATGTAAATGTCAGATGGCTGTATTGAGTTCATAATGGCCATGCCAAAACCGATAAAATCCTGGATTGAGCCCTGGGTCCAAGCATCTCTCTCAGTGGAATCATTATGGCTATGTTGGACTATCACTTACCTGTCATATCCTCCAGCAGGCGGCATCTTAGGTCAAAGTACTCCTTGCACTGAGCCAGCAGACTGAGGAGACACACATACACATACCATGTATTTCCCATGCCTCCATTTTTCTCACAAGTCCCTTTTCCCCATATCTCCATTTCTTCTTCTCCCAGAATCTCCCTTTGTTCTCTGTGCCTCTCTTCCCCAATCTCCTCCCTTCTCCTCTGCAGTCTCCATTCACCTCCCAGCGACTTTCTTTAATTTAAATTCTACTTTGATCCTCCCCATGTATCCTCGACCCCCCCACCTCCCCCCCCTCCGTGTCACCCTTCCTCTCCCCACGACTTTTTTTTTCCAATGTTGCCTTCCTCCTCCCCATTTGCACTCTTCCATCCCCATGTCACACTACTCCCCATATCACCTTTTTCCTCATCACGTCACCCTTCTCTTCTACATGACTTGCTTTTCATTTCAATGTTGCCTTTTCTCCCTGCTGTCTCCTTTCCCGTGTCCGTGTCTTCTTTCCTCTCCCCTGTCCGTGTCTAATTTCCTCTGCCCTGCACGTGTCTCCTCTTCCCTCCCCCCGTGTGTCCCCACCGCTGGTGGTGTCCCCGTAGCGTCCCGGCCGGTGTCCACAGCGGTAGACGCGCCTGTAGAATGACCCTGAGCAGGAAGAGCAGTGGTTTCTGACCCTGGGAAGCGTCGTCCCCCACACCCCCTCCCATGGTGGGGCAGGAGGTGCAGCTCAGAGCGTAGAGCTCATCGCACGCAGCTCGCCGCACCTGGGGGCACGGTGGGGAGAGGGGAGACATTTGTGGGGGGAGGGGGGGTAGGTAAAGAAAATGGTGGAAGTGAAGGGGGGAGACTCTGGGAGGAAAATAAAAACAAGAGCACACCTCAGGGAGACAGAGGAAGGTGGAGACATCAAGAGAATGGAGGAAGGGATGCAAGGAGGTGAAGGGAGACACGAAGAGAGTAGGAGGGCACAGAGGAGAGAAGGTTGACATAGAGGCATGCAGAGGCGGAACGTGAAGATGGTTGACAAACGAGGAAGGGGTAAATCCTCCAGCTGTCGTCTCACCTCTTCGCTTGGCGAGCAGAGTAATATGTCGATGATGAAGTCAGAGACACAGGGAACAGTGTAGAATGCACCTGGGCACAAAGCAGCGAGGCATTCTGGGGTTAATATTATACAAAAGGGGCAACAACAACAATTATAGGATATTTATTAATCCAAGGAGCTTGAGGAGTTTAGGATTGTGCAATATTTACGAATTGCAGATTAAAACTGAACTGAAGACTTCTAGGAATTATTATCCCTAAACAGAATGAATTCTGAGAATTTATTTCTCACCCAGAAAGCACAAGATTCCATCAGACCTGCGAAGTTAAGCAGGTTTAAGTCTGGAGGATAGTGCTTGGATTTTTGACAATCATGTGCAAAAAACAGGTGTAGGAAGAATTGTGGGCCAGTCAAAATACATTTTTGTTCTGTAATCCCCCCTTCCCCACATTCACCAACCTGCACTGACCAGCGTGGTGAAGTATGGACAAAAAACCCCCACGGCCCACATGGAGCAGAGAGGCACTCTTCCAGCAGTGCATTGACAAACGGGCTGTACATGTACAAGTATGAAAGGGGAACAGCAGGAATTAAAGATTACGGGTATTACCATCACCTAAGAGGCAGACTCATTATAGGATTATGGGAATTATTATCTCCAAATATGGCAACACCCACTAGGGAGCAAGGCATTGTGGGTAGCGCGTGAGGCTGACCGATGAGAGAGCTGCGTAGCTGCAGACATGTGACAAGGAGTGAGAGGGCCTCGATGGACACGCGGGCGTCCTTGGGAGCCACAGCAAGCTGCCTGACACAAACACCGGCCTGCAGGACCGCAGAGGGGTCGCCCAACTCGCTTCCAGAGCTGCCTGTGCTGCCTGTAACATCACATTTAAATACAAAACACAAGCATTACACAATACAATTGTTGTGCAGTACAACCACGCGGAGAAGAGGAATACTATAAGGGCTGCTGCCGTTTATTAACACACTCTCTCACTCGGCATCCTACACTTACACCAGTGTAGGTGCACTCTATCTCCGTCCTTCACACGGACAATGAATAACTAATTGAACTCTACCCCGGCTATCCCCTTGGCTCTCTCACTCGTCTGCCCGGGGCGGGGGATTAGCCATCACCGCCCCGCGACGAAGAAAGAGACCCTACTCCAGCTGGTCCTTACCCTGGCCCCCGACGACGACCACGCCTCCGTCACGGGGTCCCCCTTCAAGAACAATTTGGGTGGCTCCTCCCCCCAGCTCGGCCCCGCCCACTTTCCCGAAAGTGCTTTCCTAAAGCCCCTTACATAACCCGTGACGTTACATCATCCTTGGCCCCGCATAACTCTCAACCCGTATAAAATCACTGTTTGGGCAAGTTTTCGTCTAAGGATCAGGAATTGGGCTTGTGTGTTCAGGTCATTGGCAGGGCTAGTTGCTAGTTTCAGGTTTGTTGCCAGTGCTAGCAACAGGGCAAGTGTCAAGAGTTAGTACCAGGACTTTTCAGGAAGAGCATTAGGGCTAACATCAGCATTTGTGGCAGTGTTGGAAAGTAGTACCACTGTTAGTGTCAGGGAAAGAGTCAGAGTCGGTGTTAATGTGGCTGTTAGTTTCAGGGCCAGAGTTAGAGTCCTTGTTAGTGCCACCATTAGAGTTACTGCAAACAGCAGGCTTGCGTCGGTTACCTGTGCTGCTTTGCCGACTGCGTCTGCCACCCCCCATCGCTCCACGCATGTAAATGACGCCGGGATCAGATAGCGGAGTCGTCCCCGACAGATCCAGACGCCCAGCAGCAGCCGCCCAGGAGACACGGACGAGACAAGAGACTGCGCTTGCAAAATCACATGACTCCATCGTCTGGGGTGACACAGGCGAAAGACAGGAGACACGCACGGAGAGGTGAGGGGAGAGACGAGGTGAGCAAAGGCACAGGAATAAGAGAGAGAGACACAGCGAGAAGTAAGAAAACAGAGGACAAGGCAGACAAGCAAAGGAAAGGGAGGCACAGGTAAAAGGGTAGCATGGGAGATAAAAAGGAGAAAAAAGAAAACTGAAGGAGAGTGAGATGGGGGAAGGGAGGTGAATATTGCAGGAACAGGGTGTATGTTTTTTGGAGAGGTTAGAGGAGAGCATAGGGGGGTGGGGGGAAGGAGGAACAGCAAGGAGAGGGGAGGACAGAGAATCAATGGAAGGCTTGGTGAGACACAGGGAGACATGGCCAAACACAGGGAGACACGGAGGGTCATGGAGAGACACTGGCAGAGACAGAGGGACATAGGAAGATGCCAAGGGTTACAAGAAGACACGGATGGATACGTCACTATACACCCGATCAGGCTCCGTCTACGCTGTACGTTAACGTAGCGCCGCCCCCCCCGCCCCATTCCCCAGAGCTGGTGGGGAACGTGCCAAATGGACCCCGCTGGGCACCTGTATGGCTGCTCGCGCTGCCGGATGCACGTCGTCGATGCGGATCGACGCGCGATCAGACGAGGACTGCGTCCCCGTGCCACCGCCGCTGCCCACAGACAGGCGCGTGGAGGGAGTGATGGGCTGAGTCCCCGGAGCGGTCGAGAAGGGGGAGGTGCTGGCGTTGGTGGAGCAGATGGAGCCCGCGGCTGGCGATGACGACGAGGACGACGACGGCGTTGACGGCGATGTGGTGGTGTTGGAACGGAGGTGCTGGGCGGTGCGGGCTGGACGCGACGATGGGGATGGGCGGCCCTCGTTTGTCTCCATGGCGATGTCGTCGGGAAAATTGTTGTCGAGGGGAAGGCCGACGAGCAAGAAGCTGAGAAGGGAAGGGGGAGGGGGACATGAGGAGGGGAGTAGTCATCTCATACTTATAGACAACAAGCCCTAGTGACGCTGTCGGTGGTAATGGTGGTAACAATAGCGATGATGGTGACAGCAGTGCTGGGAGTGGTAGCGTTGGTCCTAGTGTTGATGTGGTGATGGTGGTGATAATGGTGGAGGTGGGGATGGCAGTGCTGACAGTGCAGAAGGTCATGGTGATTGGTGGTGGTGGTTGTGTTGGGTGTCGCCGGCACTGGTGGTGTTAGCGGTGCTGATGGTGATGACCGATTGTGGTGATAATTGTTTGTGATGATGACTGCAATAATTAATTGTTTAAGATCAATTGTCATATGCTCATAACACATGCATCAGTTTGCAAATGTATTATAATTCAAACTATATGCTAATACAAGACAAGAAAAAAACCAAAAATCAATTATTTAACTAAATCGTGACCCTGAACAATGGCAACTCATTGATTCATTACACAATCATTACATGACTAACATCGCATGGCGCAGAAAACAATAATGTTAATGTTGTTGATGTCTGACCGGGCCAACTGAAGACAGATGGAGTAGATGTCTTGTCTCGTCTCGTAGTCCGTGTCCATGGGCAGAGTGTCTCTCTCCATCACTCCCACAACGAGGCTGAGTGGATCACATAGTGTGCCAGTCACTCCAGACTATACCAACGCAAATACACATATGGGTGGTCTCATACAACAAATTCATGGACTATACCAACTAACACAACAGACAGGATGTCTCGCATACCACACCGAGGGGAGGTCTGACGATGACTATGATACTCTTGGTTCTTTTGGTAAAGTCACGTAGAAGGGAAACTTTACCAAAACAACCAAGGACATGAATCCCTGCAGTCACGAAAGCTTTAAATCAAAAGATGACTATGATGATACAGCTGTTGATGGTGGCGAAAATGATTATGATAATGACAGTGATATCTTACTTCAGTCCTCCTGCTTGAACAAAGCCCTCACAGAAGGATCGAGCACAGTCCCGAGCCATCTCATCTTGAGACAACGGCATGAGCTTCGAGCTCAGAACCTGCAACAACATCAGCAAGTCACAGCAACACCAGCAGCAACAATATCAGCAACAGGAATAACATCTGTAGCATCAGTAGCATTATCACCATCAAAAGCATTCGCAGAAGCAGCAATATAGCAGCAGCAGTGGCATCCACAGAAGTAACACAACCATTAGCGGGAGAAATATCAGCAAAAGCAAACCCACAAGGAGGAGCTGCATCAGAAGCATTAGCAACAGTGTCAGCAACAGAAGCAGCTTCATCGTCGGCATCACCTCCCCGTGACTGCCTTCCCCTCTACGAGTCTCCCCGTACCTCCAGGTTGTAAAGAACTCTGAAGGTGGACATGCCGGTGGAGGAGAATCGGAAAAGGCTCTCTAGAACGGAGCCCAAGGCCTGGATGCTGTTGCATCTCCCATCTGCAGACTAGACACATCAACAACTTCAGATGAATATCACTGCCATTATCATCATTATCAGTAGCAACATCACCTTCATCGTCACCATAAACATGTCATCAGCAAAAGTATCACCATGAAATTCATCATAATTACCACAAACATTGTCACCACAAACATCATCACCAACATCATTACTAACATTATTAACCAATTATGAACCTAGTGATGTTAGCTTGGTGTCTATCGCACAGCCATTGTGAATATAAACTAAAAACTTATTTTTTATTTTACCAGTTAAGGCCCACTGAGCTATATAGCTCTTTTTCAGAAGGGACCTAGCCACAAATTATAGCGCAACGAAGTGGCTTATTACGTGGAAATTTATAGCAGACAAATACTCTAAATGCACACGGATTCTAAATGTGGAGGGAAAAGCCGGAGGGGCCCAGAGAAAAATGCAGGCGACCAAGGGGACAACACGCAAACTCCAAATATACAGGCGTCAGGGTTGGGCTCGAACCCACGACCTACTGTATACCAGGAAAAGTAGTTCACATTTCACCACCGTGGCACCCATATGACATACCCATTATGAGCAGCCTGAGACAGGGACCACAGTACAGGGAGGTTTGAACCGATTACATAAGCAGTGCTGGCTCGGTGGTTTTGACAAGGGGGGGTGGGGATTTCAAATTTGGGGGGGTCAGGGGGGCAGGCATGTAACAAACACAGATTGAATTGCACACCTAAAATTAATTTGCGATTAATTCTATGCACACTGTATATCAGTTCATGACAGGATTGAGATGGAATGAAACAGTACAAATGAATTAATTCGTAACATCAGCACATGGTGGGGAGCGAATAATGAATACTTCGAATGGGGGGGGGCCCATGTTCAATAGCCAAATGGGTGCACAAAGGCTTTGAAAACCACAACTAGGGGTTGGGGTGCAGGTGCCCCAAAGTGTTGAGGCCCCTGTTCCAACAGAGCTATTATGAACCTGACACAGACATTATTAACCAGACACAGCCATTGAAGCCATTAAGAGAGAGACACCAAGCCCCAGGGGTTTAAGCCCAAATCCAGAACCTCAGTCGTGCTGGCAGAGGCTCATGACATGGCTTTTATGGACCCAACATGGTCATTATGAAGCCCAAAGCACCTTTCGCCCCAAGGCATCCAGGGTATCTTGGACTGAAGGATCCGTGGGAATGAGAAGCAGCAGGTTCCGAACTCGCACAGTCAGCCTGTAACCAGCAACACGACAGAATTAGACCTTAACAATCAACATGATGGAATCGATGCAAATTTCCACCACTAATGAATAGTACCATGATGTTATACAGTATTATTATTAACACAGTTGTAATGTGACTGTGTTAATGTGGTTAGAGCACTCAATTCAGACAGGAAGGTTGCAATTTCAAATATTAGTGAGATGTGGAAACTCGTTATTATGAGCAACATCAACAGCATCATCGACAAGATCATTCACATCACGATCAACAGCATTGTTACTTTGCATCGGCACCCTTATCAACATAATCACCATAATAATCACTGGCAGTAGTATAATTATTATCACCAACTTAATGATCACCATCGTTACCAACACTATCATCGCCAACACCAACACCATCACTCCGAGGCTAATAAAATGAGCAGCACTTCTCAGTAGGAAGCCAACAGCGGTCGCTGTTCTATGGAGAGACTGGCCATCACCATGGGGACGTGGAATTTCTGCCAAAGACAGGGGGGTGCCACAGAGCTGGGCGCTACTCCAAACTGGCTTAAGCAGGGAGGGCCTCTGATCTTGACAAACGATGGATGCATGCGAGTAGCCCTAAGCACACTGATTATCTCCAAAAGAGGCGAGTGTCACATTCACGAGTCAAACCTAGGCTCGTCGATGTTGGCGAGCTGGTAGAGGAGGTCGAACATCGGTTGTCCTAGTGCCATCACAACACCGGGCAGGGATTTCTCCTGTAACAACATCATCACCATAAATAACATCATTTATAAAAAATATAGTTTGGTCGGCAAAGAATGAAAATCTTTATTTCTTAGTAACTATTGGCTGGAAGGGTGGCACAGTCGTAACAACTGTGCCTCAAGCATGAAGGGTCTCGACTCCCTTCCCGACTCAGTTGCCTTTCTGTGTATAATTTGAATGATTTCCCCCTGTTCTACATGTGCTTCCTCCGGATTCTCCAGTTTCCTCCCATCGTCGTGAAAACATAAAATGTAATGAGTATTGGCCAAACATCCCAATGATGAAACATTATCTGCAAATAAATCAAGTCGGATTACACACATAGCAACATCCCCCTTCCCTCCATGGAAAAAACTTGGCAGGACCCTCCTGAAAAAGTCTTGAGATTCATATAAAAACATTTTCGGGGTAAGCAAGTGAAAAATTTAACAAATGCAACCTTTCCCGAATTGCTAATCAATTAATAGGAAGACGTCACCTGATCTAGCCCATACGCGTTGCCAGTGGCGGCCGTATCCGTGGCGGTTGCTGCCGCCCCGCCTCCTCCTCCAGCTGCCGTAGAAGCGGAGGTTGCCGACCCCGATGCAACCTTTGCCCCAAGCTGCTGCCGCTCGGCAAAGTGCAGCTGGCGGAGGAGCTTGTGGTTGCGGGAGGAGGTGAGCTGAGGGAGACACGGGGACGCGGAGACTCGCATGCAACAACAACAACGCAGGAGAACAGCTGCGGGGACAAAGTGACACAGGAGATAGAAAATGTGTTGCCCATCTCCTCCCTCGTGCTTCCGTCACCACATGACTCCCATCTCTTTCTCGGGTCTCGTTTCCCCTTCCCATATGTCCACTCTTTTTCCCGCATATCCTTTCTCTTCCCTGTGTCTTAAAAGTCTTCCGGGCATCTTCCTTCTACCAGTTTCATTGCTCCGCCCCCTATGCATTCATTCTCTGCTGTCCCTATTTTCTTACTCGTGTCTCCCATATCTCTTCCCCATACCATCCATCTCTTTCTCATGCTTCCCTGCTCTTCCCCATGTCTATATTCTCTTTCCCATATAGCCATTGTCCATCTTATTTCTGATTTTCCATTATCTCTCCAGTCTCTTGCCAATATCTTATTACTCCTCCCAATATCTCCCTTCTCCTTCTCTAGATTTCCACAGCCTCCCAGTGTCTCCATACTTTTTCCTGCATCTCCCTTCCCATCGCCATGTCTCCCATCTCGTCTCGGTGCCTCCTTTCACCTCCCCAAGTCTCCTTTTCCTTCTCCTCCATTCCCCCTGTGTCTCGCCATGCGTTCGTACTAACCAAGGTGTCGTTGGCAAAAATCTGGAGGACGTCTTGTGAGCAGGGGATGTGAGCAGCAACACGAGCCCTCACGCTGCTGACCGTCTCGTTGCTATGAGCCTGCAGGGGCCACGGTTGGAGACAGGGGTGAGACTCGTAGTGGAGTTCATGTTACGGCACCAAAGACAAAGACCCCCGTATAGCCTTTCACAGACTGTTGGGGGCAAAAGTGATCAGCGAGCACCTATGAAGGCCGGCAAGACACACCGAGAGGGTAGGTGGTCAGCACCATGCCCGGCCGCATTTTATCTTCCCAGTGCTAGTGTTTGCACACTGCACGAGGTACTCATTTAAGACTGAGTTGACCTAGGGGAGACCCGGGACCAGTCCAGTTGTCAAAGTTGGTGTATGTATATACAAGACAAATATCTCCTGTATGACCTTAAAAGACTTTTGGGTAAAGTGCTATTAGCGGCACGGCACACAAAGGAGTGGTAGGCAAGCACCATGCCCAGCCACCTTTGTCTCCCAAGCGGCAATGTTCATACATCGCCACTAGGTACTCATGTAAGGCCGAGTCAACTTAAAGGAGTGCCAGGACCGGTTCAGATAATCACCACTGGTGTTGGCTGTGAGCAGGAATCAAACACAGTTGGGCGGGTTTGTGCGCAAACCACTACAACACCGCTCCTCACTGTATGTATATATATACACAAACATATTCGCAGACATCGACACACAAGCACGTATTTAAACCTGGAGTTGAGTCTCAATCAAGACTCCAATTTCGGTCTCAATTGAGACTCCCGAGGCCCCAGTGTTGTTCACCTCTAGTGTGAATAACGCTCCTGTCCCATCACACGACACGTGCAGGGTGATGGGATGGCCATGAAACGAGGCCCCATGGGGGAGCAGGGTCCGCGGAAATGCATCGGCACTGGAGTCCTGAAGGAGGACACGGGAGACAAGAAGATGAGGAAAGTCGCACTGAATCACTGACTCAACCGCTCATTCATTGACTCGCTCACATTCACTTTCTTCCTCACTGAACCTAACACTCATCCACTAATTTCCTCACTGATATATTCATTTACTCTACCATTCTTTCACTCAATCACGTACTTATTCACCTACTCACTCAATCATCCACTCATTTCCCCACTCTACCACCAACGCATTCACTCACTTACCCACACACTCATTCAGGCATTCAGTCATTCACTCATCCATCCGCTCATATAATCACCCACTCAATCACATACACACCTGCTGACCCATCCATCCCACTCAATTTAAAATTTTTCCCACTTACACACTCACCCACCCGCCCACCCACCAATTCACTCAATCGCTCACCCACCCACGAGCTCACTCGCTCACACACCCACCCACCCATCCACCCACCCACCCTCCCAACCACTCACCCACCTCAATAGTGACAATATATCGCTCCGCCAGAAGTAAGAGCCTTTCCAGAGTCAAAACCCTCCTTACCCTGGCATTGAACAAACAAAAATCCATCAAACAATCAATCCATCAATCAGAGTCGACACAATTTTGTTAAATAAAGGACAGATCTTGAATCTGGATGGGCCCATGAATGTGTAAAAGAAGGCGCAACCAAAAGCAGAGAACGCTTCCCTAGTAGCTACACACCTCGGCCGTGCGTCAGAGTTTTAATCTTCATTCGTGAAAAAAAGATAACAAAAAATCATGGTCAAGCACTTTTTTATAGCACTCAAGTTACATCACCGATACGTCACTATCACACGATTCAATTTGTCAATGCAGCGGCATGACTAGTACGCTGTGACCGAGTGCCTGACCATGACTTTAAAAAGTGTATTTTATCTCGCTATCGAAGCTTCAAACTTGTGTCAGGAAAATGTGAGAACGCCTGGGTGTGTGGCTGCTAGAGTAGAGCCGTGCGATTTCTGAGTTGCGTTTTTTTCTCTAATTAAGAGATGCCAGAAACCTTGAGGGGGCGTCGACGGTGCTGGAGAGCTCCGGGGAAGCCGTAGCCGTTAACGTCCGCGTCGCACGGCCCAGCACGTGGCAGACAGAAGGCACGCAGCTCAGACCTCCACTCGCCGCCTGGGACACACAAGGGACGGAGGTGAGAGGAGCAGAGAGAAGGGAGTTAAGAGGACGTTGATGGCAGATAACCAGAATCAACCAATCAATCAAACATCATTTCGTATAGCTCCCTTTACAATAAAATTGTCAGACAGCGATTATGATGACAAGCTGATACTTCGTTTCTCCACCAGTTGTCATCAGTTGGCGGAGAAAGGAAGCAAAAGTTTATATGCCGGGAGGTATGGAGAAGAAGAGAGAAGGAGCAGAAGGGAGTTAAAGGTAGGTGATGGGAAATGCTGGGAAGCAAAAGATGACAGGTAGAAGAATGGTGGCACAGGCAGAGTGAAGTAACAGTATGGGTAACGGAGGCACGGATAAATCAAAGGAGTCATGGAGAGAAGAGAGACACAGGAAGAAAAGAGAAACAAAGAGAAAGGAAAAATAATAATTAAGGGAAACACATCAAGATGTAAGGAAACATATTGGAGATTGGGATAAAGGAGAAAGAGAGGGGCAGAGAGACAGCGAAGACAAGGGAGATGCAGAGTGAGAAATGAAGAATAAATACGAGGGTTTGCTGATCTCACCTCCAGTCGCTTTTGGCATTCAGAGAAGAATTTCTTGTGAAGCGAGGATGGGTCCTGAAATTAAATGAACATTTCCATGTTCTGATTCTAGTCTTGACGAATCAAAATAATCTTCTGAAAATCAACCAAAATTGCGATCATAATAATACGATTTTGGTTATATATTGGCAAATTATTGACAATGTCCTCATCCAATTCCTATCTTGGGTAAATCGGCATATAGGCATTTAACCCCGTTGTCTGTTTTTGTGGAAATATATTTAAAAAAACACAATGAACCAATGTTCATCTCTGCACATAATGATAACTTTATGTTCCATCAGCTAAAGGGCCCTCAGGATCAATGTTTTTCAAACCACAGACCAGTTTAACTTTCAACAGATGTAATAGTGATAATCTTTATTTTATAAGCACCTTTCAAAACGAAGTATTTAAAAGCACTGGACCTTAACAAATATACACTTGATATAGCCAAGCGCCATCCTAAAACACCTCAGGGTCTGCAAAGTCCCACCATGCTCCCCCAGATAAATGAAAATCACCGGTTGGTGTCACTGACACAACCATTATGAACCTGACCCAACCAATATGAAGTACCTGTAAGACACATAGACGGACCCAAGGCTCAAGCACAGGATCTCAGCAGTGTCAGATCTGCCTCTGACACAGCCAGTATCAACCTGAGACAGGCATTGTGAATTGCAAAGTACCTTCTTGAGGCGAGGGTTGAGGCATGTGAAGCCGTAGCTGATGATGAGGTTGATGGCTTCATTTGCGATGTCATCATCACTTGTTTCCATTGCAACCCGCCAGATGAAATCCATCCCCATTAACTCTGGCTTCTCTACGAGCTGGGAGCATACGGTAGAGACAGGGGCAGGGATGTTAGTGAGCACTTATTAAAAAGGCATCCCAGAGGCAAAGCCAACTCTGTGTTGCAGCTGGTGTGATTGTATTATGGTGGTGGTGTTCTTGAGTTGCGGTTGTGTTGAGTTTGCAGTTACGAGGGGTGAATAATTGGCTGTTGCCTGACATGGAAGGAATAGTTTGTCAACAAAACATGAATGGTGAGTTAGCGGTTGTCTGTGTTTTGAAGGACTAACAAATATCATGAGAAAATCAAACCAATCATTTTTGTGTAAGTGTCCAAGGGTCATTCAATTGGCACGTAAGCTGAATTGTGGAAACTTCTGGAGACAAAAGTAAAAATGTGGAGAAAGCCCACATTCCCACGACTTGGCTCCCAATGCCTTACATATGCTTCCACAGTTAAATAATAATAATAATCACTCATGGGAAAAACTATTTCTCTATATAGACAATTCAAACTTGCATTGGACAACCTGAAACAATGGAACTGTGTGCAGTTGCTAATTGAAAGCTGTTAATTTAATTCAGCGGGTTTCCCGCCTGTTTGTATCCTACTCAATTAAATTGTGCTAAAGACTCCTGTATCTTGTCTGTCGAGTGTCTAAACTGTATATATTTTATATATAATGTGTGTAAAAATATTACCATTTGCCCAGCCTGCTTCTTCAGTCGATGCTCATTCATGTTCACACTCTCAAAGAATGCCTTGAACAGATTGAACGCTGACGTGTCACACACACACACGCCAATTAGTTATGATCAACCACTGCAAAGAACTGAGAACAACCCTGAAATCTCAATCATTATACATGCAATGAATTGTGGGGTTTTTCCCATGATGCTCTGCAACCTATTAAAACACAATTTTACAAAAGCAAAGCACTATGGGTATATATGTACAAATAGGTGGCGAGAAGACCGCTTGTGTTGCGATTGAAACGTCGTGGATTTTTTGCTTTGAATTTAGATTTGTTTTCTATCTACGTGACATGTGAGGGGGAGTCACCGTTCATGGACATTTCAAGTGGCTCCAGACGGAGAATTTTGTCTTTGAAGAGACGCTGCTGCGTGTCCGGCTCCAGGTCGTGAAGACCGCGGGTGAACCACTCGAGACACAGCTGACAAACGCACACACACAGACCGACATGGACACACATGGAGAGACAGAGAAGTTACATGGCAGAGAGACACACAGACAGAAAGATCTTCAGGTTGTATTTACCTCCGTGCAGTTTGGCGCTATGTGTTGCGTTGGTGTCGCCCTATATGCTCCCTCGCAATGTTTTTTACACCTGATGAAGATCGCCTGTGTTGCGGTCGAAACGTCGTGATTTATTTTAATATCATTTTATAGTATTTCTACATACGAGACTTTACCGAAAAAAACAATGAGTAATTTATGCAGTCACGAAAGCTTTAATTCTTTATTAACACACTTCTAAGGGGAAGTTACCTTTACAATTCTGTCCTAAACGTATTGCACCCCTTGCTTTCTCCTACCCCTCCCCCCGCCTCTGCTGCTGTGCCCCCTTGCTCTTTTCGGCCCCTCCTCCTCCCCTCCCACCTCTACTTCTTATTTAAGGCCTCTGTCTGTTCATCCCTCCAGCCCTTTTTCTTTTTCCTTGCTTCTCTGTCCATCTTTCCTCTCCTTGCCTCTTGGTGTCCCTGTATATGTATTTCTGCTGACTTGTACCTCGTATTTGTTCACTCTGTCTATGCTGGTATGTTCAAACCAGAGGATGAACACGAAATTTAGCACTCTTCTGAAATTCGTGGTCTGCCAGGCAAGTATCTAACTGTGTTGTTGGCCTGACTGGTTTTGCATCACATAATTTTTTCTTAGGTTTGTTGAATTCTCGTCTCTCATCTTCTTGTTGTATTTACCTCCGTGCAGTTTGGCGCTCTCTATGTGTTGCGTTGGTGTCGCCCTATATGCTCCCTCGCTATTTGTTTTTTACACCTGATGAAGATTGCTTGTGTTGCGGTCGAAACGTCGTGATTGATTTATTTTAATATAATTTTATGGTATTTCTACATCCGTGACTTTACCGAAAATACCAATGAATAAAGATACATACACAGAGACAGTCAGACAAGACACAGAAGGGAGATACGAGGACAGACAGACAAACACACAAAGGCAAACAGACACTCACATCTAAACACGTGTGCATGTGTACACACTAACACATGCACAGACACAGACACATAGACAGATATACACACTCACCTCTCTGTCTGAATCGCATGCATTGGGGTTGGACACCAGGCAGTCCCAGATGTCGTTGGCTCGGCTCTGGGACAGATACAGGGCAGCCACTTGGAGGAAGAACGCCAAGAACTTGAGATGAGCCTCCACATGCTGGGAACATCAACATCATCACAACAATCAGCAACAGCAAAGTAGCAGTTGCATAAGCAGCAGCAACAACAGCAGTATCACTAGTAGTATTATCATTAGCATTATCACCATCAGCAGCAACCGGAGCATCATAACTGCCAGCATGATCGCCAGTATTATAATTAGCAACATCACCACCAGCAGTGTCATCATGATCATCATCTGCAACATGAGCTGTAGCAGTAGCAAGTCCATCATCATGAGAAGCAGCACCATCATTATGGTGCACCATCATTATGGTGCTGCTTCAGAAGAAACTTCATCAGTAGCATAATATTAATAGAAAACAAAATTCAAGATAAAAAATATATCAGTACAATATATTAATATAATAAACAAAAACCCTAGGATGAATCCTATAATTGTTTCAAATTAGTGAATAAAAACATCATGAATAATCACCAATGTGACAAAAAATCTATTATAAATATCTCAAAAACCTTAAAAAATATCCATCAGCTTTCTAAATATCAAATGCCCTCATTACACCAGAAGTAGCCAAACTGCCCAATTCAAGACCCTCCTGAAAACCAGTTAGTCCTGAGACTCAGGATTTAATGGATTAATCATGAATTTATGTTTAAGCCCTTTGCTGATCTACTGCTGGATGAAGACCTCCTTATACCATGTCAGTCATGGAAGTTGTTTGACCATACTTTACCATGCTGGTCAATGCAGCTTGATAAATCTGTGGTGGAGTGGGAGAGGGTAACCTAGGACCGGTTAAGAATCACTCGCCACCTGATGTTAGCCATGGTTGGAAATCCAAATCATATCATTAGGTTCATAGCACAGCGTGCTAAACACTGTACCACCACCCCCCCCCTGGATAAATTGTGACATCGTTGTTATTATTAATAACGTTGTTGTATTGTGTTGTTATTGTGAGTGGTAGGCAAGAGTTGGAGACGCACATCACGGTGGGAATAGCGGCCGTCCACAAGCACGGACCCATCGAGGACCCCAGGACCTGAGGACCCTACAGCTGTCTTATGGGTGGCCACCAGGCTGCCTGTCACCATTTTCACCATGTCCACATGTTTCTTGAGCTCCTGGATGATGCCCTGAGGGGGAGGGGGTGAAGAGAGGGCAAACTCTGAACTGCATTCCACATCAGTCATATTGTATACAATGCAGTGCCCCCATGGATAACACAATCAATAAAGATCACTTTATACATTTCACATGCTCTGAAGAAAGCAACTGGGAGGCATGACCAAAAGGCACAATCTCAAAGATGACCCATTGAGCAGCAACCTCCTTCAACCTGTTCGCATAGACACACGATCAGTTATTGGTCTTTCTTCCCCCCCCCCATGTCACCATTCTCCTTCCCATGTCTCCCCTCTCCCAAGGTCTTACCTTTTCCCCATGTCTTCCCTTTTCCTCCCTGTGCTGCCTTCTCCCCAAATAACTTTCATAAATGATTTCAGCCCCCTCCTTCCTGAAGTTACTAAAGTAGAAATTAATTTGATGACCAACCTTTTCCTGCTTCTGGTAGCTGTGTTCTAAGAGGCTCTTCACCATCTCGTGCAGATGCCTCAGTAGAGGAACCACCAGGATGCCCTGTGGCGAGACGCAAACATGAAGTTATAACTGTCACACACACTTAAACCCAGAGCTCGAGCCCTCATATCATGGGTGTGAAGGCATCGAACGATCCATCGATTCAACAATGACATGGATTCTTACGTGATATATGCATCGAATCATGTGTGTAAGAATGTATTATTCATGATTTATGCAGACGATATGCTAAGGCTATATTCAATCTAATAAAGCAAACACAAACAGTTCAAATGGGGCAAATAATCGAAAAATTACCAATGAGATGCCAAAAAGAGAACAAAAGAATCGATTCCTTAAATCTTATTGCAACCCTGAATCTTGACAATTAATAGAAACCCAGGGCTTGAAGCCAGGACCAGCATCTCCAGCATGACCATTATAAATCATGCAGGTCATGTGGGCACCTTCTTGAGGTCTTCAACACAGCGGAGAGCGAACGATCTCTTGAGAGCATCCCGCGTCGAGTATGGCTCACAGCACACGGCCATGTGCTCAGACAAAGCCTGCTGAACCAGACTGCAAGGCAGCGAATGCTCGTGGGAGAAATCCCACAGCAGGTCCAGCACCTAGAAGGCACGAGGAGGGAGAGACAAAAATTAGACAAAGGAAGCAGAGACAGGGAGAAGGAAGAAATATGGGGAAGAATGAGACACAGGGAGCAGGGAGAGATAGGAGGAGAAATGAGAAATTCTGAGGGAGAAGAGAGAGGGGGAAGGGAGACAAGAGGAGAAATGACACAAGGGCTGGAGGGAGAGAGGTGGAGGAGAAAGGAGACATGGAGAGAAGGGAGACACAGGGAAGAGGAAGACATGGTAAGAATTGTGAGGTTGGAGACATGGGGAGGCAGACATGGGGAGGAAAAAAAGTTATTGGAAAGAAGTAGGGAGGGCAAGGGGAGGTGGTATTCGTGGGGAAAAGAAAAAAAACGGTCAGAAAGGGAATAAGTTGGAAAAGGCAGGGACAATGAGAAATGTGGGGTTACAGAAGACAAGAGAGGAGGGTGAAGTTGGAGAGGTGAATAGAAACATCTGGGTAGAATGAAAACATGGGGGAAGGGAGACATAGGAAAGGGAATAAAGGAGGACGTGAAGGAAGGTACGAGAAGAGAAAGAAGAAACATGGAAAAGTGACACGGGGGAAGGGTGATAAGGGTAAGCAAGCGATATGAGCAGGAGATGAGCAACTTTAGAGGTGGTTGGAGACAGAAGGAGATGACGGACGATGCGGAGAGGTGAAGTGACCAAAGGAGGAGACGGGTGACACAAAGAGGTGAATATAGACCGAGAACACGTTATCTCACTCACCTTGGAGGTTGTGCTCTCTGACCTCCCCTCCCGGCCAATTCGCCCAATAAGAGTGAGGAGTTTCTGTCTCACCCTGTCGCTCTCTGAATCCCAGCTCTGCGGCAAAAAGATAAAACCACCATGGGTTTTTTTTGGCTAAAAACTAAATGAGGGTCCACTGGATAAATAATTACAATATCAACAACACCATCCACCTCTTTCCAGGGTTGAGATAATGAGAATCACCACTTTTGTAGCAATGAAACAACAGTGGCCCCCAACATGAGAATGTGGAACTTCCACTGCCTTCAAAGGGTTGCTCAATGAGAAGAGCTTTGTAATGTACACAGTCTTTTAAGCAGTGAGACAATTTGCCTTGAGAGATCAACACAGACTCAACATGTGTACACAGTGATGCTGACACAGCAATTATGAAACAGACATGGCCAATGGCCGTTATGAACCCCCCCCCCCCCCCCCCCCCGAGACAACCCAGGAGAAGCGTATTTAACATTTCCATTACGTACCCAACATAGCTGCTATGAACAATTTTAAAAATAAAAAGACAGGCATTCCTGAGGATTGAATATTGAATCAATGACCTCAGTTACCAGTTATGTCACCAACAAAGCCAGGGCTTGAATGCCTTACCGTAAATATCTCCGACACAGCCATTATGAACCTGACACAAAGTCATCACAAACCCCACTCTGAGCCAAAGTGGTGTACATCATGTGCCGATAACTCCTGCAGGGATGTGAAGTTGTCTGGGTGTACCTGGTGGATGAGGTCAAAGAGGTGGTGAAGTTGCTGGTTTCCCAAGTGGGTGGCGGAAGACGCTAGGATGGAGTGGATGTTGTCCATCACTGTGGTCGACTGTCCCGTCTGAACAAAAAAAAAGAAAACTCAACTCATCCGCTCGTTTACTCACCCACACACTACCACTTCTCTCAGTCATTTCTTCACTGATGCACTTATTCACTCACGCATATATCCATACATTGGTTTACCCAATACACTCACCTAACACTTGCTAATACTCTTACTTACTTGCTCAACAAATTCATACTTCAAAAACTAACCCATGCACTCAATCACCATTCCCACACACTCACTCATTCCTCCAACCTAATGACCCTCACACTTACCTGCATTTTCCATAATGATGCGATCTCATCGAGGGTCAGTTTGCTACCCAAAGCGTCAATGATTCCCTTGACTCGGTCACAGTATTGCGCTTGGTCTATGTTACCTGCACACATCATCACCATCATCATCATCATTATTATCACTTGAAGTATCAGCATAGTCATCAACAGCAGCTTCACCATCATAGTTGTCATGATCATTATCAATACCATTTCCATTATTATTGCTATCATCACAACTAGAATCAGCATCATTATCATCATCATGGCAGCAGTGTCTAGGGTCAAGACTTGAGGTCCTGTGTTCAGAGTAAAGGCTAGGTGAAATTCAAAGTGCAAGTGTCAGAATTATAGGCTTCAAATCAGAATTCCAGCTTGATGTGTCGAGTTCATGGTGTTTGTAAAGGCCAGGGGTCAAGCTCTGAATTCTTGAGCTCTTGGATCAAAGTTTTTGTTACGGGGCTCGGGTTGAGTATGAGGGTTAAAACTTGGATCTTGAATGCATGGGGTCAAAGGCAGGTGGCAATCAGTAGGGGCTGTGGATCAGCTGTCAGACGTTGAGTTTTTGGAGTCGAGGGTCAGGTGTTGAGTTGACTCAATGGGGTCATGGGTCAAGAATCAGCGGTCAAGTTCAAAGTTCATGAGGTGGTAGCGCGACTGCGCAGGGTCAGCGGTCACGTGATACGTTCGAGGGATTAAAAGTTGTGGGTCGTAGTTTAAATAAGTGGTACCAAAATCTAAGTTCGGTTTGCTGCGTCAAAAAAAAGTCAGCAACCTAGAGTTAAGTTACCGGAAGTCACGAGAGTTTGTGATATTTCAGTGTGTGGGATTGGAGATTGAGTTTGAGGGTCAGATATTAGGTGTGTGGGGTCGAGGGCTGAGGAGCAGAATTGAAAGTTTGAGGTTATTGGGCCGCACCCTCCAGAGCGAGAGACAGCACATGCTGCTGCTCGAGCCACGAGAGCAGCTGTTCACGTGCCATCGCGTCCCGCGAGGCACGCGCACTCGAGCTGTCCTCCAGCAGCCGGGACACCTGCAGCAGGGAGAAAGACAGAGAGATCCCCCTGAGAGCCCTTAACAGACTTTTGGGGAAAGGCCTGTTCACAAGCACCAATGAAGGCCGGCAAAGCTCATAAGGGGCCAGTGTGGCCAAAACAATGCTGATGTTTACACACCGCACCAATTATACATTTAAGGCTGAGTCGATCTGAGTGAGACCCAGGACTGGTTCAGATAAGATGTTGGCTGTGGCCAGGAATCAAACACAGGTCACTGCACTAACCACTATATCATTATTTGCAATCCAGTCGGAATCAGCAGCCGACAAAACAGAAGCTGACGCAGCAAGAGGTAATGCAGTGGGTCGTGAAAGAACAGGCGGTGCTTGATACAGAAGAAATTGACAGCGGGAGGTGCAGCGGGTGATGTGTAGTAGTATGTGATAGAGAAGTAGGTGATACAGCTGTCAGTGTGGCATGTGATGCATGCAGATACAGAAGTCGATACTGCAGTAGGTGTCCCTGTAGGTGTAGCAGAAGGTGTAGCAGTAGATCATGCACAATAGGTATATGGGTAAGGTGTAGTAGATGATGTAGCAGTATTCGCAGAAGCGGATATAGTGAAAAGTGCATCTGCATGTGCAGCAGATCGAACCTCCTTGAGTGAAGTCATCTTGGCATTGAAGTGTGGCGAGCGCAGCATACGCAGCAGGGTGTCAAGGCGCAGCAGGTCCACCTGCTGCGCCGCTTCAGCACTCAAACGAAGGCACAGCAGTTTCAGGGATGACAGCAGCGATGGCACAGAGGCAAGGCGCTAAGACAGCAGAGAAGAGGGTGTCATCATTGTTATCATCATTAACGACATCAGCAGAAGCAAATGCAACATCAACATTCGCAATAGCACACAGCAGCAACACAGAGTTATCATCGGCAGCAACAAAGGCAAGAGCAACATAACCAATTCCACTCATCATCATTCTCATCAGCATCAGCACTACTAATAGGAGCAACAGATGCATCACCACAATCATTTTCACCACCACAATAATTCGCACCACCACCATATCATTACCACCACCATCATCATCATCAGCACAATCACCACCACCATCACCTTGTCCTTCAGATCCTTTTCATCCAGGTTCTGCAATGACGCCATAACTTTCTGAACCACAGGGTTGAACATCGTCTGCAGGATACAAGAGTTCATAACGGCAGATTCATAAAGGCCATGTTAGAGACTCAAGAGTCCGCACCAATGAGATTATGATGATACATATGATCCATAATAGAGGTTTTTAGGCTAGATCGCGTAAATATGTCGTTAAAACCCGCTACCACCCGACAGAGCCAGCTAGTAAGGGTTGTCACGTAAACAGAACATGCCAATTCATCACTAGTACAGCACACTGGTATGTTGGAGAGCCAAGCGACAACAACACACCGGTGTGCTGTACTAGTGACGAATTGGTATGTTCTGTTTACGTGACAACCCTTAATAGTTGGCTGTGTCGGGTGGTGGCGGGTTTTAACGATACATTTATATATTTACGCGATCTAACCCAAAAACCTCTATTATAGATATTGGACGTGAAAGCCTACGTGTTAAACTGACACATGATGTTTGGCAATGCTGCTGTGAATGCTGTTGCTGCCAATGATGACAACAATAATTATTTCAACTTGTAATGCGCACAGGATTCATTCACTCTCAAAGAAGAAGAATGGCTCAGAGGCACAAGGAACCACAGACAAGCGGGAAGGCAGCCAGGCAGTGAGCAGGCACCAACAATTAGGCAAGCTCTGTGGTCCTCTATAAATTAAGATATTGTCAGAGAATTAATGATTACATGTGGGAGGAAACCAAAGCACCCGGAGCAAAACAACACATGCCAGGGAGCAACACTTTAGTCCATACAAACAAAACAGGTGGAGTCCAAATTTGCAGTACTGCCTTCTGGTAAGCCAGGGTATGGCAGCTCGACACCCATGGCAAGAAGTTTCACAACATTTGCGTGATATACCAACCCCTGCCGCCAGTGTTGATTAAAGAGTGAGCACCACCGCTGCACGCCAAATGATGCCGATGCTGGTAACGAATGAGGTTACCTTCATGACTGTGGGGTTGAGAAATTCTGCACACATTCCGAGTGGCTGCAGGACGGAGGCCATAGTCTGGAGGAACAAAAGAGAGATTTGTTCAGGATATACACCAACAGGACAAATCAGAGCAAATCACTCGTGTAGATGGGAGGTGTGCTGGCTTTGCCGATCTGCTTTAGCCATCCAGTGATTCGTTTAAAGGCTTGCGGGTAGTATAAGACGGCTGGGTGTGTCTTTGTCTGTCCGTCTGTGTAGCTGTGTCTCTATCCGTGTCTCTATATGTATAAGTTTTACCGTCAAGTCCAGATCTTCAGTCTCTGCCTTGGTCTTTATGGCGTTGAAACCTCCAACCTCGGCGAACTAAAACACACAAAGACATTCTCATTGAGACTTATAGAGAGATGGAGCAAGTTATGTTAGTGGACACCTAATACCACTGGTACTATACAAGAGCATTGCATCGATACACTTGGAACTGAAGGCCTAGAGTTTTTATTGCGTCTGTACACTACTTATTTGAGATATGGAGTCCTGTCCTGAATCTATAGACAAACTAATGAAGAAAGCCTCGTCATTTCTAGATATCCTCTTTAATGAAGATGCAGTCTTGTTCTGCATCTACACACTAATCAATGAAGATGCACCGCCTTGTGCTGTGTTTACGTTTCCCTGCCCACTGCAGCAAGAAGCCCCGCCCACTGCAGCAGGAAGCCCCGCCTATGACAGAGAAGCCACACCAAAGAGTGAGAAATCCTGCTCATGACCGCGAGAAACTGCCTCGTGGAGAAAAGTCCCACCGCTAGAGGCGTCACCCACTATACTGACAAGCTGCACCCTTCGTAGAAATCCAGACCACGGGAACAAGAAACCTCGCCCAATATAGCAGGAAGCCCTGGCCACTACAAAAGAGCCCCACCCACTCAACCCTGCTCACTATGGAGAGGGCCTCCTACTACAGCAAAAAGGCCACAGCCCCGACAGCAAGATGCCCAAGCCACTGCATAGCAGTCCTGGCCCACTTCAAAAACAAGTTCCACCCGCGGCATATCCTAGCAGAATTGTCTGGTGATTAAGGGAAGAAAAACTCCTCATGAGGGTTGAGGGAAGAGAAAAGTGTACCCACAGGTTGGTTAACAAGACGAAGACTGATTACAATGGGCCTTCTAATTGTACAGTCTATCAGCAGAAACTACTAATTTTAGTCCAACATACAATTCCAGAGTAATATTCTTTCTTTAAAATTGATAAAAAGAAAACAATGCCATACCTTATTGATTAAATCCACAAGCCAGCCATAGGGTTCCTGAAAACAAGAACACATTATCGTCATCTTCTTTTAAAACAGTATGGAGTATCACAATCATCACCACCACGAACACCATCAAAACGGCCACCAAAACACACAACAATTAATCAGCACCACCTCCATCGCTATCACTACCATGTAGTTCATTCTTCCACACACCGTTCTCACTGTGAATAGTCAGCACTGTGTCCCTCTACCTTGCCAGGGGAAGACTCTGCAAAAGGGGAGTCATCCTGTGAAGAGGTGGAGGATGACGAGGAAGAGGAAAGGCGTGGAGTCTGGGAAGCTTTGGCGCGGTTCTTGAAGTGAAACTCGTTCTCTGGGTTGAAGGCCTGTGTGACACAACCATACACATACACATAAAAATACAAAGCACCTCCATATAGCCTTCAACAGATTGTTGGGACAAGTGCTGCTAGCGAGCACCATATTAAAGCCGGCACAGTACACGAAGGGGGTGCATGACCAACACCACACCAAGCCACCATTGTCTCACCAATGCTGATGCTTACACACTGAACCAGGTACACATTTGAGGATGAGTCAACCTAGAGTGTATCCCAGAACCAGTTCAGGTAATCGCCACTGATGTTAGCTGTGGAATCAAAATCCAGGTTGCTGGAGTCATAGAGCAGTACGCCACCACTCTCCATGTTTATGTGTACACACACACATACATCGTACCATAAACATACACACACCCTCACGTGTGAGGTGACAAGAGAATGTCCTGTGTGCTCACACACATATACTTACCAATGCAAGGTAATCAGAAATGGGGGGCATGTGCTCGCACACATACACACTATCACACAACCTCACTCACACATGCACGCTCAGCGCATACTTACACAATGCATGAGCCAATATTGGTACTACACGTGTTATTCTATGGTTCTTTCAGTAAAGTCACAAAGATAGAAAAAATTATAACAATAAAATAATAAAAATAAAGTGAATAAAAATAATACAAATATCCCGACGTTTTGATTGCAACACAAGCGATCAAAACATCGTGATATTTTTATTATTTGTATTTACTTTTTAAAAAATAATTTTATAGTTATTATTTTTTCTATCTACTTGACTTTACCGTAAGAACAATAGAATATGAATTCCTGCAGTCACGAAAGCTAAGCCAAACATATGTTCACAAAACTTTGATAGTTCGGATTGATCTAAATGCCTAAAAAGAATGATTGATTTACATGGCTAAAAAGAGTGAACGATTTGATAACCCACTGATTTAAAATGGTTATAACATCATCAACTGTTATTGGCTACATCAAGAAATCGGAACCGCTAAAACTACACCACCTCGAGTGGTACCAAAAAGTGCAATATCTTGGTCTGAGTTCCTGAACCAACACACACACATACTACATTTGCACACACACTCACACTCAGTCACACTGACACTCACCAGTGCGAGTGACGTGAGTAGAAAGGGGGATGTGTTCTTAGAAGTGAGCGTCTCTGCCGTGAGCTGCACCAGAAGCAGCAGCATGTGGAGGATCCCCTCCTGGATCTCCGAACCCCACTTGTGCACCGCACTCGACGTCAACAGCTGAATGACAAGGTTCAAGGGGGTCAGCCACACCATGCCATTGCTTCCTTACTTACGCCACATGCAGCAACTGTTGCCAAAATCTGCGCATGACCACCAAGGCCCGCTCTCAGTCTCGTCGTCACTGTCTGGCGTAAAGTTTAACCACTGTTATGCAGTCACTTGCATCTTTCAAGGACCACTCTAAAAGTCTCGAGACTGCTACCATCTGGCTTGAGGTTCCCATTTTCGACAATTGATGCGTCCTTCAAGGAAGACTCTTGCAGTTTCATCATCATGTTCATCTTGTTGGAACAGTGGAAACATCTCTCAAGGACCACTCATCTCATCATCACTATCTGGCTTTGACACCTCACGTGCGCTTGCTCAATGTCTCAACCACAGCAATGATGAACCGCGGGAGAAAGACATACACCCAGATCCAGGGCTGGAGCCCAGTGCTGGCTCAGGGTCTCTGACATGGCGACTATGATGCTATCAAGGTCATTATAAACCAGACATGCATAATACAAATTCCCTGAGATGAAGCCACCTAGACCCAGGGCTCCAAATCGGGTACTCGGCGATGCTGGCTCCAGAAGTACAGTGAGGGAAAAAAGTATTTGATCCCCTGCTGATTTTGCACGTTTGCCCACTGACAAAGAAATGATCAGTCTATAATTTTAATGGTAGGTTTATTTGAACAGTGAGAGACAGAATGACAACAAAAAAATCCAGAAAAACGCATGTCAAAAATGTTATAAATTGATTTGCATTTTAATGAGGGAAATAAGTATTTGACCCCTCTGCAAAACATGACTTAGTACTTGGTGGCAAAACCCTTGTTGGCAATCATAGAGGTCAAACGTTTCTTGTAGTTGGCCACCAGGTTTGCACACATCTCAGGAGGGATTTTGTCCCACTCCTCTTTGCAGATCTTCCCCAAGTCATTAAGGTTTCGAGGCTGACGTTTGGCAACTCGAACCTTCAGCTCCCTCCACAGATTTTCTATGGGATTAAGGTCTGGAAACTGGCTAGGCCACTCCAGGACCTTAATGTACTTCTTCTTGAGCCACGCCTTTGTTGCCTTGGCCATGTGTTTTGGGTTGTCATGCTGGAACACCCATCCACGACCCATTTTCAATGCCCTGGCTGAGGGAAGGAGGTTCTCACCCAAGATTTGACGGTACATGGCCCCGTCCATCGTCCCTTTGATGCGGTCAAGTTGTCCTGTCCCCTTAGCAGAAAAACACCCCCAAAGCATAATGTTTCCCCCTCCATGTTTGACGGTGGGGATGGTGTTCTTGGGGTCATAGGCAGCATTCCTCCTCTTCCAAACACGGCGAGTTGAGTTGATGCCAAAGAGCTCCATTTTGGTCTCATCTGACCACAACACTTTCACCCAGTTGTCCTCTGAATCATTCAGATGTTCATTGGCAAACTTCAGACAGGCATGTATATGTGCTTTCTTGAGCAGGGGGACCTTTCGGGCGCTGCAGGATTTCAGTCCTTCACGGCGTAGTGTGTTACCACTTGTTTTCTTGGCGACTATGGTCCCAGCTGCCTTGAGATCATTGACAAGATCCTCCCGTGTAGTTCTGGGCTGATTCCTCACCATTCTCATGATCATTGCAACTCCACGAGGTGAGATCTTGCATGGAGCCCCAGGCCGAGGGAGATTGACAGTTCTTTTGTGTTTCTTCCATTTGTGAATAATCGCACCAACTGTTGTCACCTTCTCACCAAGCTGCTTGGCAATGGTCTTGTAGCCCATTACAGCCTTGTGTAGGTCTACAATCTTGTCCCTGACATCCTTGGAGAGCTCTATGGTCTTGGTCATGATGGAGAGTTTGGAATCTGATTACTTCTGTGGACAGGTGTCTTTTACACAGGTAACAAGCTGAGATTAGGAGCACTCCCTTTAAGAGTGTGCTCCTAATCTCAGCTCGTTACCTGTATAAAAGACACCTGGGAGCCAGAAATCTTTCTGATTGAGAGGGGGTCAAATACTTATTTCCCTCATTAAAATGCAAATCAATTTATAACATTTTTGACATGCGTTTTTCTGGATTTTTTTGTTGTTATTCTGTCTCTCACTGTTCAAATAAACCTACCATTAAAATTATAGACTGATCATTTCTGTGTCAGTGGGCAAACGTACAAAATCAGCAGGGGATCAAATACTTTTTTCCCTCACTGTACATAGCCAACCATGCTAATCAGAGGTGCAGGGGAAGGACAACAAACTAAACCCAAAAAGCAGTTCTAAAGATATTAGTTTTTATTCTAATTTTTTAAATGCATAGCTCCAGTGGCTTCCTAATATCAGAAAGATGAGCGTTCCAGACAGCCACCGAAGCGCATCTGAAAGCGCGCAATGCAGTAACCCTCTGTGTTCGATGGTTAGCCAAAAGTTCAATGGTTATCCATATTTCAGCACCGTCATTGTGAGCCTCGCTGTAGTTTACCTTCTTAAAAGCTTCAGGCATGCAGCGCTCAATGAACCTCTTGCAGCTCTCATCTGAATCAAGGAGGTCTGATCGCACACACACAAATGTACACACCATTAGGTAAACTAAAGGCATTATATGCTTACCAAAAACCTGATCCCTAACCCTATTTGGATTTATAAAGCATGTAAATGTGACTGCTTCTGAAGTCCCTACACACCTTGATAATAAACACATAATGAAACACATATATAGCCATATTAACATACCTAAACTTAATTAAACAGAAAACAAAACAATTAAGATCCATAATAAACTTAAGGTAGGTTAACATAAAAACGGGACGTGTGCGGTTAATATTTGATTTTTTTAATGTTAGTGTGTGTCACATTAATCACAGGTGTATATATGTGAAATCGTAACATAGAATTTACGATAAAGCACATGCCCAGGACACTAGAGAGCATGAGAGTGAGACGGTGGCGACATCACTGCAGCATGCTGGATAGCCAAGATAGCCTCATTTAGTTTCCCTTTTAACGCAAGCTATCAAATGGCATATGAGAGGGAGGACAACACATACATTTGGACCTTCGGGCGTGAGTCACCAACACCGTTTCAATGTCAGGGTCAAGGTGAGGTGTGGCTCGTACCATGCTTGGCGAGGCGTGTGGCGGCCGAGAGACACCGTCCCAGCGACTCGTTGCGCTTATACGGTATTGACCATTGCTCGGTGAACACTCTGTTCTCCAGGTCGTAGAGGCATGCAGCTGGGAAGGTGGGGACGCCCGTGCCATTTCCGTTCTCGTCCTGCACTCGCCACCAGCCAGGGGACGATCACCACAAGAAGGCAGCAGCGATATTGAAGTCAGCAGGAGCGCCATCATCGTCAGCAGCGAAGTTGAGCAGAAGCAGTGACACGAGGAGAGTTGGCATCAGCATCATTAACATTAACACAACCACCACAAGCAGAACGATGTTCAGCTGTAGTACCGGTATCATTAACCGCATCAGTGTCAATAAGAGCATATGTGCGATTTATAGGAACTATCATCGGCAGCAGCACTATAAAGAGCAACATGGACATCTGCAGTCGAATTATGGTTATCAGTAGCAGCATTTCAACAACAGCAGTATTTGGCTAAATTGACAGCAGCCGCATCAGTATCAACAGCAGCAACATTTTCGACAGCAGCAACATTTTCGACAGCAGTAACCTCACTAGTAGCATCAGCAGTAGCAGCATAATTCGCATCATTACCATTATCTGCAGTATAAGCCGTACTCTAAGCATCAGCAGCATCATCATCAGTCAGCAGCAGCATCACTACAACCACGACCACCAGCAACAACCTTATCACATCAACACTCGCATGTTTAATTCAAGAATTTGGTGGTCAAAAATCAGCAGTGACCGTATCATTATCAGTAGCATCAGACTGTACCCCATCATCATCAGGGCAATCAGCATTAGTGATTAATAACATCAACACCACCACCACCACAATCAGCGCAAACAACATTCATCGTGAATTCATCATCGCCCCACTTCACTCAGGCAGACGAGGCGCTCATATTAAAACACACCCCTCGTGTCTCCTCAAATAACCACTCCCGCATCTAAATTTACCTCCTCGACCATGGCGGCGCTAATTTTACCAAAAAACTCTCCCAAGGGCCGAGCTCACCGACCTCGCCTAGTCACCCTACTGGGGTCCCTTCACCCTACACGGCTAATGAAACTGGGCCGCACACTCCCCCCACCCCAAACCCCTATCCAACAATTTACCTTGAAACCTCTACTTCCCCAAAGTCTTCAGCGACACTGCACTCACCTAATCGTGCTGTACAAACTCCCCCCCCCCCCCGCAACTCTCCTTTATCAAATAAATTCGAAATAAAACCCATATCCTGACGGCCACGCCGACCGCCCCCTCTTGCATAAAGCCTTCCTACCGAACTTCCCTTCACTTGTCCCGACCAAAACACTAGGCCCAACCCCCCCCCACCCGCCTCCAAACCCCGAGTAGACCCATCTCTAACCTCCGCTTCCGCGAGGTCGTCGTAGGCGGGCAGCGCGTCCCTGCCCGACACCGTCTTCATCTCCACGTCCTCGTCGTCTTCTCCGCCGCCTTCTCTTCCTTCCCTCTGGAGGCCAAGGCCCGGCGTCTCGTTGGTGAGGAAGGACACGGCGTCTCCCAGATCTCCCTTGGCTAAGCTGAGCGCCCTGCGCACGGAGAAGGGGTCCGAGAAGCCCATGGCGAGCAGCGTGGACACATGCTCCTCGTCCACCTCCATCGTGACTGCTCGAAGTTACAACAAGTTCAACCGACAGCAGCTCCCGGCCATAGGAATGTGGAATTCCACGGCGAAAGTGATTTGTTGACCCCCGCGTTGAGCGCGTTAACGTCCGAGCTTTGAGCGATGACACGCTCTCTGTGCTTTCACTTGATGCGGTAAGGTTTTGCAATTAAAGTTTAAAAGACTCCAACATGATTAGCACCATCATCCCCATCGTCGCCTCACTTCTGCCTCATGAGCTTTGCATTGCGGAGATTCGATTTCCGATTTAAGATGAGAATCGATTCTCAACACCGTCGATTCCCATCCTTTTCTGCTCGGGTGCTCGAGGTTGGTGCGATGCGACGCCAAATGATTCGATTCCTTCGGCTCCAAATGGCAAGATTCGAAACGTATCTAGACTGAGAATCGATTCTCGGAGCGCGCTGGATTTGAATCCGAGACGACTTCTGGCTTGGACATTATGAACCCGTCTTCTTTGGTTCTTTCGGTAAAGTCACGTAGAATGAGAATTTTATCAATTTATTATTTTATTCTCATTCTACGTGACTTTACCGAAAGAACCAAAGAAGATGAATCATTGCAGTCACGAAAGCTTTAAATCGGAATTATGAACCCGATTTAAGATTTCAAGGCCACCGATCAAATCCCAGGGAATGAATCATGAAACTGGAACATCAGCAGTGCTCAATTAATATCACCCCATTACGCATACGGCACTAAAGAGACACCATGTGAAGATTTATTTTATAAAATAGTTTCAGTTACTCATTGATCTCCTCTCTCATGCACTCATAAACTAGCCCACTCACCAATCTACAGTAAAGGAAAAAAGTATTTGATCCCCTGCTGATTTTGTACGTTTGCCCACTGACAAAGAAATGATCAGTCTATAATTTTAATGGTAGGTTTATTTGAACAGTGAGAGACAGAATAACAACAAAATCCAGAAAAAACGCATGTCAAAAATCTTTTGAATTGATTTGCATTTTAATGAGGGAAATAGGTATTTGACCCCTCTGAAAAACATCACTTAGTACTTGGTGGCAAAACTCTTGTTGGCAATCACAGAGGTCAGACGTTTCTTGTAGTTGGCCACCAGGTTTGCACACATCTCAGGAGGGATTTTGTCCCACTCCTCTTTGCAGATCTTCTCCAAGTCATTAAGGTTTCGAGGCTGACGTTTGGCAACTCGAACCTTCAGCTCCCTCCACAGATTTTCTATGGGATTAAGGTCTGGAGACTGGCTCGGCCACTCCAGGACCTTAATGTGCTTCTTCTTGAGCCACTCCTTTGTTGCCTTGGCCGTGTGTTTTGGGTCATTGTCATGCTGGAATACCCATCCACGACCCATTTTCAATGCCCTGGCTGAGGGAAGGAGGTTCCCACCCAAGATTTGACGGTACATGGCCCCGTCCATCGTCCCTTTGATGCGGTGAAGTTGTCCTGTCCCCTTAGCAGAAAAACACCCCCAAAGCATAATGTTTCCACCTCCATGTTTGACGGTGGGGATGGTGTTCTTGGGGTCATAGGCAGCATTCCTCCTCCTCCAAACATGGCGAGTTGAGTTGATGCCAAAGAGCTCCATTTTGGTCTCATCTGACAACACTTTCACCCAATTGTCCTCTGAATCATTCAGATGTACATTGGAAAACTTAAGACGGGCATGTATATGTGCTTTCTTGAGCAGGGGGACCTTTCGGGCACTGCAGGATTTCAGTCCTTCACGGCGTAGTGTGTTACCAATTATTTTCTTGGTGACTATGGTCCCAGCTGCCTTGAGATCATTGACAAGATCCTCCCGTGTAGTTCTGGGCTGATTCCTCACCGTTGTCATGATCATTGCAACTCCACGAGGTGAGATCTTGCATGGAGCCCCAGGCCGAGGAAGATTGACAGTTCTTTTGTGTTTCTTCCATTTGCGAATAATCGCACCAACTGTTGTCACCTTCTCACCAAGCTGCTTGGCAATGGTCTTGCAGCCCATTCCAGCCTTGTTTAGGTCTACAATCTTGTCCCTGACATCCTTAGAGAGCTCTTTGGTCTTGGCCATGGTGGACAGTTTGGAATCTGATTGATTGATTGCTTCTATGGACAGGTGCCTTTTATATAGGTAACAAGCTGAGGTTAGGAGCACTTCCTTTAAGAGTGTGCTCCTAATCTCAGCTTGTTACCTGTATAAAAGACACCTGGGAGCCAGAAATCTCTGATTGAGACGGGGTCACATACTTATTTCCCTCATTAAAATGCAAATCAATTTATAACATTTTTGACATGCGTTTTTCTGGATGTTTTTGTTATTATTCTGTCTCTCACTGTTCAAATAAACCTACCATTAAAATTATAGACTGATCATTTCTTTGTCAGTGGGCAAACATACAAAATCAGCAGAGGATCAAACACTTTTTTCCCTCACTGTACGCATCCACTCATTAAACTACTCAACAATTATCTAATCGACTCACTCTTTCACTCACCAACATACTTATCCACTCACGAATCTCCTCAATATACTCACCCACTCAATGATCTACTCGTTACTCTACTTGAAGATTGTTTACAGTATATTCCCTCAATCTACTTGCCTTCTCACTCAACTACTCTCATCCAATTTTGATTTAAAAGTTTTCGTGACTGCAGGGATTCATATTCTTGGCTCTTTCGGTAAAGTCACGTAGAAGGGAAACAATAAAATAAAAATATTAAACAATAAAATTCTCACGACATTTCGACTGCAACACAAGCAGTCAAAACGTCGTGAGAATTTTATGGTTTTATATTTTTGCTTCTCTTTTACGTGACTTTACCGAAATAACCAAGAATACTCTCATCCACTTATCAATCTCCTCACGAAGCTACTCACCCACCAATCTACTAACCCAATCATGAATCCTCACTCAACCACGAACCAACTAACCCACTAAATCGAATCACTCGACTAATTTACTCACATTGCCACTCACTAATTTACTCACTTGGACCTCACTCACCCGCTCACTATAATTTACTCACCCACGGAATGTTTCTAATGAGCATTTTATTGCAAATTAATTCAACAGCAACATCAACATTTTGTCGACACGTTAGGAATTGGTTGAAATTACATTCACGCGCATTTGCGATGTTAAAGTTAATATAAATGATAAGTTGTAATGTTTTTTTGTATCGGTACTGCATTTCATTTGCACTAGCAAAGTATCCGAACTATAATTAAAAAGGGCAGTTTGAGTAAATCTGGAACATTGTATAAGTGAACAAGGCAACTGCAAATTGAGAAATCTTGCTCGTCAAGGTGTAACTAGCATGGTATTTTGAAAATAAATAATTAAACTTGTGTTCCAAAAACATTTATGGGAATTCTAATTACTGTACAAATTATGGCAAAAGTGAAGGATTCTGGTAAATAGTATTACACAGCACAGTATACAGTATTGATGCTGTACATATAGTGACGATTTCGTTTAAATGCATTGAACATTCTTGATTTGCACATTCATTAAAAGTACCAACAATAACTACAGTAATTACTACAGTAATTGTCTTAAAAATAACCCTATTTCCCCAACACACTTTCCTGTGCAGTGGCTCCAAAATGTGTTCCACCATTAAATGCCTTTGCCACAGTGGTTATAAATCCATAACAATGATTATGCTAGCAGTGCTGGACATAGATTGTGGTGATGGTGATGAGAGCAGCACCATATTGTTGGAACATTTACACGGGCACTGGGAACTGCACTGATCCGGTGCTCCATCGGGGCTGAAACGACGAACGCGAATTCCCACACACGGTCCTCCCAGGCCTACTCGACTTTAAGTGACCTTGGCACCCTGAACCCCGAGGCACGGTTCCAAAACATTTGCGTAACGATACCATCACTATTGGGAAGCTAGCCAGCCAGACAAGTGAGCTTGGCATGGATTCCCAAATTACCCTTACCAGGCCAAACCATAGCTCGTATTTTGTAAGCCATGTGGCACTATTTACGAATGGATCTACATTCTTTCACCAGAGTTGTTACATAACGGGCGTAAGATAGAAGAGAAATGCACCATGATTGATGTTTCTAAGTTAACATCACAGCTGTGTTTTTCTAATAAAGTCACAGCATAAATTCCAAATTTGATACATTTTTAAATGGGACAGTATAAGTTAACTCAACCATGTGACAAACCTAGTTACAAAAAAATGTTTATCCTTCATCTTCTTCTGGAAAGAGAGGGGGCAAGGAGGATATCGGGGAAGATAATCTATGGTGGCATGTTTCTTGAAACATTGGGACAAAAACCAAGCCATTTTGAGTAATTCTTGAAATTGCTTAGCACGGTTGCCGTCTGCTTTCCCATGGTCTTGGAAATGCAGCATGAGCGGAGGGGTAAATGAGTATGACAGGCCAATGCGTACTTGATGTCATCTGCTTAGTTTAACTTCTCAGCTGTGTGTGGAGGGGGGTGGGATTATGACATATCAGGTGGGGAGGCAGCCTCATGACATGTGACGTCCTGATTCGGGGGAAAGTGTGGTGCTCACAAATCTCAGCCGTTATGGCACAAACGCCAAGGCGTATCCTTTAAGTGCTGAATTTTTGTCAAAGTTGTGCACAACCTTTCATTCACAACTTGGCCAGTTTTAATTAATGAGTGTCTAAGAACTATTTTTTTTATATATATGTAAAGTTTCGTACATAAGGGATTAGCTTTACGAGAGTTATTGTTTCCTCCCACACGTTAAGATAGAAGAACAGACAAATGGGCAAAGTTAATACACTCTCATGCTTTCCTACCTTGGTTGAAAAGTGTCAAAAACATTTTTGCAAAATTGCATAACATAACCCATGCCTATATTAAATGTTCCTAAGAACATATTCTAGTTTCTCAACCCCACTCCTTTCCCTTTGGCTACAGAAGGTAGGGGAAAGAGAAGAGTGAATAATATAAAACGAGACGAGTGGGCCTGAGACCAGACACCCTCATGGAGCATGGAAATGTGGACCTCGGTCCAGGTTCTGATCCTGGACTAAATGGGCCATTGCTCGTCTTGTGGAGCCTGCAGTTCCAAGTTTCATGAGCACAAAGACATGCACTTAATTTACTCGCCAATGAATCCACCCAATCACTCGCCTAACCACTCACTGATTAATAAACCAATCCACTCACGCATTCACCCCTCTATGTTCTTTCTCACTCATTCACCCAACTCCTTGCTCACCAACCCAACTACTCACACACTGATCCACTCAACTAATTTTACCAACACACACACATCCACCCACCTACTCACTCTATGATCAACCAAATCACTCACTCATTTCCCAACCAATATCAACCTCCTTCACTGCAACCCACCAAAGCTGTCTCTCATTGACCACTCTCACTCACTCAAGAATTACAGGACTAAGATCCAAACTCCACGGTGTCAGAAGTGATTGCTTTGAATTCGTAGTTTCCACGTCCATCCATGTGCAGGTAAAACTGATGAGAGAGACACACACACATATACTCATAAATATACACTCGACACATAAAAATGTAAGTATGAAATAAATACTAATATTGTCCATTATGGAGGGTTTGAGACAAGTGCTATTAGAGTGGACCTATTAAAGGTTGCTAGCACAGCACGAGGACACACATACAGTGAGGAAAAAAAGTATTTGATCCCCTGCTGATTTTGTACATTTGCCCACCGACAAAGAAATGATCAGTCTATAATTTTAATGCCGGGTTTATTTGAACAGTGAGAGACAGAATAACAACAAAATCCAGAAAAACGCATGTCAAAAATGTTATAAATTGATTTGCATTTTAATGAGGGAAAAAGTATTTGACCCCCTCTCAATCAGAAAGATTTCTGGCTCCCAGGTGTCTTTTATACAGGTAACGAGCTGAGATTAGGAGCACACTCTTAAAGGGAGTGCTCCTAATCTCAGCTTGTTACCTGTATAAAAGGCACCTGTCCACAGAAGCAATCAATCAATCAGATTACAAATTCTCCACCATGGCTAAGACCAAAGAGCTCTCCAAGGATGTCAGGGACAAGATTGTAGACCTAAACAAGGCTGGAATGGGCTACAAGACCATTGCCAAGCAGCTTGGTGAGAAGTGATAACAGTTGGTGCGATTATTCGCAAATGGAAGAAACACAAAAGAACTGTAAATCTCCCTCGGCCTGGGGCTCCATGCAAGATCTCACCTCTTGGAGTTGCAATGATCATGAGAACGGTGAGGAATCAGCCCAAAACTACACGGGAGGATCTTGTCAATGATCTCAAGGCAGCTGGGACCATAGTCACCAAGAAAACAATTGGTAACACACTACGCCGTGAAGGACTGAAATCCTGCATCGCCCGCAAGGTCCCCTTGCTCAAGAAAGCACATATACATGCCCGTCTGAAGTTTGCCAATGAACATCTGAATGATTCAGAGGACAACTGGGTGAAAGTGTTGTGGTCAGATTGAGACCAAAATGGAGCTCTTTGGCATCAACTCAACTCGCCGTGTTTGGAGGAGGAGGAATGCTGCCTATGATCCCAAGAACACCATCCCCACCGTCAAGCATGGAGGTGGAAACATTATGCTTTGGGGGTGTTTTTCTGCTAAGGGGACAGGACAACTTCACCGCATCAAAGGGACGATGGACGGGGCCATGTACCGTCAAATCTTGGGTGAGAACCTCCTTCCCTCAGCCAGGGCATTGAAAATGGGTCGTGGATGGGTATTCCAGCATGACAATGACCCAAAACACACGGCCAAGGGAACAAAGGAGTGGCTCAAGAAGAAGCACATTAAGGTCCTGGAGTGGCCTAGCCAGTCTCCAGACCTTAATACAATAGAAAATCTGTGGAGGGAGCTGAAGGTTCGAGTTGCCAAACGTCAGCCTCAAAACCTTAATGACTTGGGGAAGATCTGCAAAGAGGAGTGGGACAAAATCCCTCCTGAGATGTGTCCAAACCTGGTGGCCAACTACAAGAAACGTCTGACCTCTGTGATTGCCAACAAGGGTTTTGCCACCAAGTACTAAGTCATTTTTTGCAGAGGGGTCAAATACTTATTTCCCTCATTAAAATGCAAATCAATTTATAACATTTTTGACATGCGTTTTTCTGGATTTTGTTGTTGTTATTCTGTCTCTCACTGTTCAAATAAACCTACCATTAAAATTATAGACTGATCATTTCTTTGTCAGTGGGCAAACGTACAAAATCAGCAGGGGATCAAATACTTTTTTCCCTCACTGTACATGCCAAATATACTACATATAACCACACATGCATACACACACATTGGTGGTGATGTTTACGGTAGAGTAGTGATAGTGATGGTGGAGGCGGCAGTGATGGTGTTTAGACGAGTAGTGATGGTTTGTGGGGTTGCTGATTATGGTGATGACAGCAACAGTGGAAAGTAATTATGGTGAGAGTGAAGTGATGACGGTGAGAGTGATGATGGCGACAGATGATAGTGATTTTCGTTATGTGGTGATGACGATGATGTTGGTGCTGTTGGTGTCACTCACAGCATGGTGTTTCCAGAGTGATTTCCTGTGAGACACTGTGAAGAGCGTGATGTGAACCTGGGGACCGAGAATAGGAAGAAACGGGCCTATATTATCCCAAACACTTGCCCCAACAATGGCACGAGCCATAACACATAACCTTAATACTAGCACGAGTTTATAGCTGCTACAGCTGTTAACTGCTAAAATTATTGCTGCTGACACTAATACAATAAGAACCACCACTTTTGCTGCTGTTACTATTACTTCTGATTCTAGTATTTATACTACACGACTGTTACTAATACTGCTACCACTGCTGATATGGCTACTGCTACTGATTTTATTCCTGATACTTGCGACTTCTACTACGCCGTGTGTTGTTACCAAGGTTAATACTGCAACTACTGCTGCTGTGGCAAATAATACTGCTACGATTTCTACCATGACTAATGCATCACCTGCTGCTACTTCTGATTTTAAGGTGACTAATGTTTCAATAATTACTGACACTTCTGTTACTACTGCTGCTACCAATGCCACGACTGCTGATACATTTTTTTTTATGCTGCTGTCGCAGTCAGTTCTCCAAATGCTGCCACTTTGTTAACACTAATACTGAAACACCGCAGCTACCACTGCTGCAACTCACCTTCTTGCAGTGGCTGTAGATGAAGTCCTCAACATCGACGCTCACTGCGCTCGTGCACTCATCCAGGATGGCGAACTGCGGCTTGTGGTAGAAAAGGCGCGCCATCTGAGGCATCGTGGGAAGGGACAGGAGCAACATGGAAAAAATAAATGGCATTGTGGACAGAGTTAAGAGGAGGGTGGGAGATGGAGCAGTCAAGAAAACAATTGGAAGATGGGAGAGGGGGATTGTGGAAAAGGAGGGATTGTGGGAAACAATATTGTTAGAAATTGGAAGGGATTTGCAACTGATAGGGGATTTCAAGAAGGTAGTTGGGGATTATAGGAGGACTCAAAAGGAGGGGTGGCCATTATGAAGGGGACAATGGGAAGATGAAGACAGATAAATTTGCGAGAAAGGGGAATACGGTGATTAGAACAGAGAAAGAAGAGGAGGCCTGGGAGACAGATGAGGAATGTGGGAAGGCTAACAAAATGTGCAGCCTCCACACCTTGGCATTACAGGTTTATGGGAGAAAACAGATGAGGAAAAATCACACGAGGGTGAAACTTACGGCCATTCGCTGCTTCTCTCCGCCACTCAGTACGTCCATCCAGTCCTGAACGCTATCCCAGCCTCCCTCCCTATCCAGGATGTGACCAAGTTGCACGTTGTCCAAGTAGTCCTTGAGGACCTGCAGCAAGAAAAGCAGGAGTATAGGGGGGCAGTCGCAGGAACATTATCAACATCATCAATAAAAGCAGCAGCGTCATCATGATCAACACCACCATCACCACAACTACCAATATCATCACCACCAACATCACCATGACAAATAGAACCACCATTATTAACTTCAACAACGACCGTTCGCCACTAAGTGGCGGTGACATCATCACGGTGCTTGTGCCATGCTAGGTGCACTGAGGTCATGTGAAATGTCGAAGGCTCACCACCACCATCACCAAGATCACCACCATGACAACAAAAATCAGAAAAACCACCATTATCACCACCACCATCACCTTGTCAGAGACGCCCTTTTTCCGCTGGTCTTCAGGTGAGTCAGGGTAAATCACTTGGTCCCTCAGGGTTCCCAAGGTCATGTACGGCCTCTGTGATAGCAGAAAACCCATAAATAATTCGATTGCAACCACATTCTTCTCCCAACCAACAAATCTACATTCCTATTATAGATATCAGCATCTCAATGGGATGATGACCAATGTTGACACTTCACAAAGTGTGTGCTTCTCAATTAATTCACTCCGTAAATAGTTTTTCTAATCATGATGTTAATGATTCTGATGACATTGATAATGCTAGCAATAATACAGTTGATGTTACAATGCTGATCATCCTGATGTTAATGATTCTGCTCTTGATAATGGTTGTGAAGATGATGATGCTGATGATGATACGGACCAGGATTTTATTTTTCAACCTTTGGAATGAGAGTTGAATGTGCTAACCAGAGGCCCCGTTAAGGTTCTCACTAACAAATAATTAATTATACAGTACCTGTGGGACGTAAAAGAGCTTTCCAATCTCTGGTTTGGTGAGACATCCTCCAAATAAGGGCCACAGCTGGGGAAAACAAAGAGACAAAGCTGTAAGACCAACCAACACCAACAATCACATTGTGTTGTCGGTGTTTGGCTGAAATGAAGACTTCAGTATTTCTGGCTCAGTGTCTCCGACATAGCCAGTCAACCTGAGGCCCATTTCTAAGAGAGTAAGACAAGCATGACCCCGGTTCTGCTAGTGTCCATTTTGAACATAGCATAACCATTATGAACCCTTTGAGGAAACACTCAGACCCAGGGCTCAAACTCATCGGTGCTGATTCAGTGTCTCCCCACAGAACTATTGTGAACCACCCTTAAAAAGAGACATGCAAATTCAGGGACCCCAGTACCTCAGCTGTGATAGCTCAGTGTCTGGCACAGCAATTATGAAGCCCTCATGAAAGAGGGCTTCATAAGGGTTTGAATCAAGAACCTCAGTGGTGCTGGCTCAGGGTCTGATTAATCATTATGATCCTGACATGGGAAGTAAAGTAAGTAAAACTCAGTTATTTATCCTACCATTCACACAAGACCCACAGCGTTTTACAACAGAACCCCAGTAAAAACCCCTTAACACTAAAACTAAGAGGCAAACAACCATAAACAGATGAATATAAAAGAGAAAATAAAATTGTTTTTACACGAGCCCTAAAAACCTCGACTGACGTAACATCCCTAAATGGTCTGGGGCTAGGCGCTCCACAAACGAGGCGCCCGACTACTGATTCACCCATTGAACGCAGATTTGTCATAGGTATACTCAGGTAAGGATTTGGTGGATCGAAGTTGCCGGACAGGGACACACAGTTTCAGCAGATCACCAAGGTATAGAGCTAACCCCTCGAGAGAGAAAGTTACACACCACATGTGGAAGTAAAACTCACCTCTCCCAGCACTCGGAAGAGTGAACTCTTCCCACAGCCGTTGGGGCCACAAACAAGGACATTTGTCCCAGAACGCACCTGCACATGAAATTTGGAGGGAAGGGACAGTCAAGGGTGAGATAAGTACATGGATCCAAGCGGACTGGCACCCCACATCGCAAAAGAGAGGTGAACATATTAATCCCGACCACGATTCTAACCATAACCGTTACATTATCCCTGATAATAAACATAATCCTAGCAATCACCGTACATTAACTGTACTAATAACTATAACCTTAACCCTTAAACTATCCCGATTACAAACTATAACTGGAACACTACCTTACCAATAACCACAACTATTTACCCCTAAAAATAACACTAAAGCTAACTACTCACCCTAACGCTGACACTTAACCCTGTCCTGCTGAATGTGATAATGTATCAGGAGACCTCGAAGGAGAGGTCTTTGATGAGGACGTCTCCGTTAGGGGTGGCCAATGGGACGTGTTCAAACCTGTAGCACAGCGAGACACGAACGTATGCATACCGAAATAAACACATACACACACATATAACACTCATAAATTATATATTAATCATTGCACGATCATGAGCGATGACAACGGTGTGGGAGGGCCTTCACCAAACAGTGGATTGATCATGGCAAATGATGATATACATTCAGAAAGACAAAAAGACAGACATCCCTCATATAGCCTGTAACAGACAATTGGGACACGTGCTGTTAACGAGCACCTGTGAAGGCCAGCATAGCACCTGAAGGAGTGGGTGGCCAACACAACATCTGCCTGCCTTTGTCGTTCCAGTGCTGCTGTTTAAACACTGCACAAGGTATTCAATGAAGACTGAATCGACCAAAGGAAGGCCCAGAAGAGGTTCAGATAATCGCCTCCAATATTAGTAATTGCTGGGAATTGAACTCAGGTCGCTGGGTTCATAGCGCAGTGCATTAACTAATGTACCCCCAGCCTCACCCCCCACCCCAAAAATACAGACACAGAAATGTACACACACACCCTACTAACTCTGGAGATGCATTCACAAGCCTGGGCTCATAGCGGGTTCCTTCATTAACTGTGTTAAGCCCTCACTTGATGATGTGGTCGGTGAGGATGACTTGTCCTCGTCCAGGGACAAGCGGTTCCGTCTCCTCTTGAGAGGAGCCTTCTCACATGCAGACATGCATGCACACACACTTGGTTATATGCACACACACATGGATATATGCACGCACGTAGATATACGCTCACACAAAGGGGACACACATACCCATAGTCATGCACGCACACGCCAGACAGATATTATGCCCGCACCTACACACATAGTTACACACACAATGAGACGAAACAATTTAGAGCTTAAAAACAGAACATATTAAAAATTACAGACAAGAACAAGAAGATAGTACAAAGTGTACCAATGGTAAAGAGACGGTATAAATGAGACAGTAAATACATAGTAAACTTACATATGCACACATGTATGCAAATGGACATACACACAAATGTAAAGGCAGTTTTCCCATTTTACCATTACAAACTATTGGGAAAATAATTATCAGTGGTCGAATATTCAGGCTGGCATGACATGAGGGATAGTGTGGCCAGAATCAGGCTCAGCTGAGTTCATCTTCCCAGTGCTAATCTTAACACACTGCACCAGGTAATCAATTAAGGATGAGCTGACATACGGGTTTCCCAAAAAGGTTCAACTATCACTCGTATTAACCACAGCTGAGAGTATAACCCAGGTGGTGCAGCTCACACACTCATACACAATACGCTGACACGTACAAACGGCCAAGGAATCACCTCGATCGTGCGATGTCACCATCGTCCGTTCGTATTTTCCAGAATTCAGTTCCTTCAGCACCTGCATGAGTTCCGTTATGCGAGCGGTGAACCTGAGAGCAACAAAAAGCTGGGTTTGAGCCCTGACTCTGAGTGCAATTCTCACTCTCTCAGCGGGTTCATAATGGCCATATCTGAGACAATGAGACAGCGCTGCCGAGGACCTGGGTTCGTGTCCCAGGTCTGCATGTTTATCTTACTCTAAGGGGGTTCATAATGACTGTTTTCAGGTTCATAATAGTTATATAAATATTATCAAACAGGACTTGTGATGAAGCTAGTGAGAGTGTTTGGTCAGGGACAGAGCAAGTGTTAAGTGTCATGGTCCGGTTTAGGCTATGGATTAGCAGCAGAATTAGTGTTAGAGTGAGGGATAAACCTATGGGCTCGTGTTCGCGTTATGGGAATCAGCTAATTTTAAGACTAGTGCTTTGGCTATGGGCTTGTGTAAAGGGTTGGTTAGTGCTAGCGATATGCAGTAGTGTTTATACCCAGCAAGTCGGGTCATTTCTCTTCCAGCCAAAACAATCCGACCCAGTGCTTGAGACATCCTCAACAACATCCTTCCACTCTGGTAGTAATCCTGTAGCCAGTCAAGCAGGCATACACACAGACACAAAAACATAGGCATACAGACAACACACCCACACAAGCAGCATTATAGACAGATAGCCATTATAGACAGATAGCAGCACAGGGATGATTACATAATCCTTGTACTGCTCCTATTTTAGCAGTGCTGGTCTAGCACGAGCAAGCCAATGCCATGAAGAAAGCTGTCTCTGGCGCAGACCAATCCGTTTCAAGAACAATGCACACATTTTGAAAGTGATTTTTGTTTTCGATTGCATTGTCCTTGTAGTGCTTCTTTTGATGGCCCTGGCCTAGGACGAGCAATGCACTGCCATTAAGGAGGCTGTCTCTCGTGCAGACCAATTAATTGCAAGGACAATGCATACATTATCAAAGCAAAATTGTATTCGCATTCTTCACCACAAGCTTGTGTGGCTACGTAAATATGACACCTTGTAATTGGTGTCTATTTAATGTTTAAACATCTTAACACCTTATATTTACGGCAGATGAAGATATTTACACATAAAGACACTCAGATATGAAGACAGGCACAGACTTATAAAAAAAATCCACTGGCATCCACTTCAAAAAGAGCATTATCTTTATAAAGCCTATCTCCCCTTCATGCTCCACAAAGAGGCTTGTCACCAGGGATTATCCTGTATTCATAAATCGTAGCACTTGGATCTGGGCTGGAAAGAATCGAGAAACTAATCATTGGTGACTGGGTTAAGACATCAACTTCACGACACATGACAACCTGGTTTCATTATGGGTGACCAAAAATCACGTTTAAAACCCAAGTGCTCGGGAGCAGCAGTTCAGTGCCTCTGACATGGCCATTATGATACTCCCGCGCCAACCAGTCACCTCAATCCATGGTGAATGTCTCTCACCTCCAGCAGCTCGGCATGGCTGCTGGTGAGGTGGCGAGGGTTGTTATGCTCCAGAAAGGGACGACTCACGACCAGGTAACCCACCACCGTGGCAAGATCTGGTGCATACACACACAACACACACAAATACAACAGTTTCTATGGATATATATAACATATGCAAAACAAAAAGCAGAGATCCCAGCATAGCCTTCCAGACATTTGGGGCAAATGTTGTTAACGAACATTTATTAAAGCTGGCTGAACACACGAGAAGGTTGTCGTCAGCGTGTCTGGCTGCCTTTTGTCTCCTCAGTGCATGTTTTACACATCGCACCCAGGTATTCATTCAAGACCAAGTATCGAACGGAGGTCAGGACTGGTTCACCTATCATTTACTTCGGACTATAGCCATGGTCATGAATCAAATGCAGGTTACTAGGTTTATAGCAGTGTGCAAACCATTGTACCACCAGTCCCCAGATAAAAAACACATACACTGTGCAGTTAAGAGATCCACAGTGACAGATCCCCTAAAGCCTTAGACTGTTTGGGCATGTTCTATTGACGAGCACCAGTGAGACCCTGCACCATGCACGAGGGGGTGGTGTAGCAAGCACCATACCCAACCACCTTTGTCTCCCCTGTGCCAACATTCGCACATTTCACTATGTAATAATTTAGAGTTGACATAACCAAAGAAGAATTCAGGTACCACTTTCCACTGATGATATCCATAGCTGGGAATTGAACTGAGCTCATAGTGATTGTAGTGCAGTGTTTTACACACACACACACACCGTCTCCAAAACTGGCTGCAGGAGATATTTTTTCAGGATTGGAGTATTGATTAAAACTCGACTCCAGAAGACTGGGTCCAAGGATTAGTCTTGAATGGGACTTGGCTCCAGGAGTCCTGCAAAGCATGGTGGGTGTTTGCCATGATTCTTTGCGGTTTTCATAGAATTGTTATTGCTTTTTTAAACATGGCTCACATTTGGCGATGATGTCATCCACAATGCCCATGGAAAAGCGAAACACAATGAAATTGTGCAGATGATCGACCTGGGAACACAAAGACACAATTTACAAACCAAATAACACCCAACGCAATGAACACAACACTCATAGCACTGTAGGATTTAAGTTTGAGATGCGCATCGAGTCTACGAGACATTGAAGGTGGTTATGGTGTTGCAGGTGGTGATGGTGGAGGTGGTAATAGTTGTGGTAATGTTGACTGATAACAGTAATGATGGTGCTGCTGATGTAATAATGGTGGTCGGAGTGGTGAAAGAAAACCATCTCACCAGCCGCTTGAACGTGTTCTTGATGGTCGTTTTCTCTCGTTTGTTGCCATTGTAAAACGCAATCTCCTCGCTGTAGAGTAAAAAGTCACGCACGTACATCGACATCCAAATTACGGAGATGATGCTGATGATAATGAAAATACTACTCACGATGACGATGCTGATGATGATCATGGTGATATTTATGACAACAATGATACCAATAATATTAATGATGAAGATATTGATGGCGAAGCTCATTGCCGATGATGCTGCTGCTGACATTAATGCTACTTGTGCTGATAATGATAATGAAGAGATACATTTTCTGATGCTGCTGTTATGGCTGCTGATGCTACTGCTCCTGATGGTGATGCTGGTGCTATTCTCTTTAATGAAAATGCTGCTACAACTGATAATACTTCTACTGCTGTGACTGATCATATAATTATTGATGCTTCAAAAACTGCTACTGCTGATTACGATACTAAATGATATAAAAAATGAAAATGCTATTATTGCTGATATTGCCAATTATAACAATAAATATGCTGCTCCCAATGATACTGCTGATGCTATTGATGATGACGAAGATGCTGCTGTTGTTTATCTGGCTGCTGATGGTGATGCTGCTGGTGGTTATGGTGATATAGGGTCCTTGCCTGTTGGTGATGAGCCGCGAGTTCACGTATCTGTACTCGCCCTCGAATCTCTGCTCCGTCATCGTCATCTTCCCAATGGGGCGACGCAGCCTCGTCAAGAACAGCCCCGACACCATGAGGTACGAAAGCATTGCACACGGGCCCTGCATACGCAGGCACAAACGTACAGCATATACAGTGAGGGAAAAAAGTATTTGATCTCCTGCTGATTTTGTACGTTTTCCCACTGACAAAGAAATGATCAGTCTATAATTTTAATGGTAGGTTTATTTGAACAGCGAGAGACAAAAAACAACAAAAATCCAGAAAAACGCATGTCAGAAATTTTATAAATTGATTTGCATTTTAATGACGGAAATAAGTATTTGACCCCTCTGCAAAACATGACTTAGTACTTGGTGGCAAAACCCTTGTTGGCAATCATAGAGGTCAAACGTTTCTTGTAGTTGGCCACCAGGTTTGCACACATCTCAGGAGGGATTTTGTCCCACTCCTCTTTGGAGATCTTCCCCAAGTCATTAAGGTTTCGAGGCTGACGTTTGGCAACTCGAACCTTCAGCTCCCTCCACAGATTTTCTATGGGATTAAGGTCTGGAGACTGGCTCGGCCACTCCAGGACCTTAATGTGCTTCTTCTTGAGCCACTCCTTTGTTGCCTTGGCCGTGTGTTTTGGGTTATTGTCATGCTGGAATACCCATCCACGACCCATTTTCAATGCCCTGGTTGAGGGAAGGAGGTTCTCACCCAAGATTTGACGGTACATGGCCCCGTCCATCGTCCCTTTGATGCGGTGAAGTTGTCCTGTCCCCTTAGCAGAAAAACACCCCCAAAGCATGTTTCCCCCTCCATATTTGACGGTGGGGATGGTGTTCTTGGGGTCATAGGCAGCATTCCTCCTCCTCCAAACACGGCGAGTTGAGTTGATGCCAAAGAGCTCTATTTTGGTCTCATCTGACCACAACACTTTCACCCAGTTGTCCTCCGAATCATTCAGATGTTCATTGGCAAACTTCAGACAGGCATGTATATGTGCTTTCTTGAGCAGGGGGACCTTTCGGGCGCTGCAGGATTTCAGTCCTTCACGGCGTAGTATGTTACCAATTGTTTTCTTGGCGACTATGGTCCCAGCTGCCTTGAGATTATTGACAAGATCCTCCCGTGTAGTTCTGGGCTGATTCCTCACCGTTCTCATGATCATTGCAACTCCACGAGGTGAGATCTTGCATGGAGCCCCAGGCCAAGGAGATTGACAGTTCTGTGTTTCTTCCATTTGCGAATAATCACACCAACTGTTGTCACCTTCTCACCAAGCTGCTTGGCAATGGTCTTGTAGCCCATTCCAGCCTTGTGTAGGTGTAGGTCTACAATCTTGTCTCTGACATCCTTGGAGAGCTCTTTGGCCTTGGTCATGGTGGAGAGTTTGGAATCTGATTGATTGATTGCTTCTGTGGACAGGTGTCTTTTATACAGGTAACAAGCTGAGATTAGGAGCACTCCCTTTAAGAGTGTGCTCCTAATCTCAGCTCGTTACCTGTATAAAAGACATATGGGAGCCAGAAATCTTTCTGATTGAGAGTGGGTCAAATACATATTTCCCTCATTAAAATGCAAATCAATTTATACCATTTTTGACATGTATTTTTCTGGATTTTCTTGTTGTTATTCTGTCTCTCACTGTTCAAATAAACCTACCATTAAAATTATACGTACGTTTGTCAGTGGGCAAACGTACAAAATCAGCAGGGGATCAAATACTTTTTTCCCCTCACTGTACACAAAGACACATGCAAACAGACACACGCGCGTGTGCGGTAATACAAACATATATACACGTACAGCCCTTGTGTCAAGTCATTGCCTACAGATTATGTTAGCCTACAGAGAATGTTCGGGAGAGTTTTGTTTGCGAGCACTGATTAAGGCAGATGAGCATGAGAGAGTGGCGTGGCTGCAACCACGCACATCACCTTTGTTTACACAACACACCGGGTACTCATGTAAGTTTGAGTTGATCTAGAGGAACCCCAAGACCAGTTCAGATATCACTCGCCACGGATGTTGGGCCAAGGCCGGAAATCAAATTCAGGTCTCACGGTTCGTAGCCCAGTGTGCTAAACCACTACGCCCGTCCACAACACATGTAAATATTCACACACAGAACTGCCGCCATTTGTTGCCATATGGTGGTGACTTCACCACAGCGCTTGTGCCAGGCTAGACGCACTTTGAGGTGATCACGTTGAAAGGCTCACTGACAGGTGTCGGGACAGACTCAGGTGTTGTGGGTTGACTGACTGAGATGACCGACACATATACACCACCTGTGCTCCCCACTCTACCAACCATTTTCGACATATACAAACAAACGCATGTAAACACACATACTGAACACACCAGCATAGGCCAGGCATATTACCAGAGATTGTGGGTTAGAGTTCACGCTCACCTGAGCTCCAATGGCACTCGTCAGCCGAAACACATAGAGAGCGATGTCCAGTAGAGGCTGTAACAAAGTGAGTGAATGAATGAGTGGGTGTGAGAGAAAACAAGAAATACATTGGGTAACAGGGTGAGTGAGTGTGGGTTATAGGCTCAGCAGGTTGACTGAAAGGATGGCTACCGAGTGGATGAGTTGGTGAATGCACCAGTGAACAAACAAGCCAGTGATCGGGTGAGTTCATAAGTGGTTATATGAAAAAAAAGAGTGAGTGAATGAGCAAGTGTTTAACTTCCCGAGTCAATGAGTGTGGAAGTCATTGAGTTTGTTCGAGAGTCATTGAGTGTTCATGTTTGTGAGGCGTCGAGATTGGGAGTCATTCAGTGATCGAGTGTTCGTCAGTTACAGAGTGAGTTTGAGTCGTCGTCATTGCACATCATTGAGTGAGTTCGTGAATCGTTCAATGAGTGAGTGGACAAGTCAGCCTTCCCTCACCTTGCTCAGGTTAGAGTAAAGATCAACTACGCTGTTGCAGAATTTCTCCACATCCTGGGTGAGCAGCTGGTCGGCGTTTGCGATGCGATTGTCCAGGTTCCCCATCTTGTAGTACGTGTGGCCACTAGCACGGAACACAGCACTGTATGAGCACTGTATGCGCGAACCGTATGGACAGCACAACAAATGTGCCAACTTAGCACTGTACATAGTATATACACTATACGAGTGCTGCATGCTAAGGTTGGTTTGTGCCAACTGAAACCACGTCACACTGTATGCACTAACTGTATGAACATCACGATACACACTCTACACTCAAGAGTACTTTCACATGAGGCATCATGCTACAGTCACACTGCACAGTACTCATCCTGTGACTTATTGCAGCTCACTAAGCAGTTCACAACACTGCATGAAATAGGTGAAAATTGTCTGGTGCTAATAGTACGGTATCAACTTACCATTTCAGCATTTAATGGTATCGGGATGTACTAATGGGGAAGCATATTCTTGGTTCTTTCGGTAAAGTCACGTAGAAGGGAAACAATAAAATAATAATATAAAACAATTCTCCCGACGTTTCAACTGCAACACAAGCAATCATCATCAGGTGTGAAAACCACGGCAAGAAAATGTGAAAAAAACGCCACTTTTTTCACATTTTCTTGCCGTGGTTTTCACACCTGATGATGATTGCTTGTGTTGCAGTTGAAACGTCGTGAGAATTGTATTGTTTTATATTTTTATTGCTTCCCTTCTATGTGACTTTACCAAAAGAACCAAGAATATGAATCCCTGCAGTCACGAAAGCTTTAAACCAAAATGTAATGGGTAAGCGTTAAGTATTGATCGTTACAGTGATAAGTACATTTCACTCCTCGGCAATGGTAATCATGGGTAACTGATCATTAATGGAAGCAATTCCTCACCAATAGTACATTCCAGATATTACTGGTGGCAAGTAAAGTCTGAGTGCTCACTCAAACTCTGGCCTCGCTGCTTACTATCATAGTTATACCAAAAACTAATGGTCATATGTTAGTCACTGCTTACCAATGGCGAGTAAGAGGGTGACTGCTTGTCAACATCATGTGTCTCTAGCTTAATGACGGAGAATGTATGTCTCTTCTGGCCAATGGCGGGTGTGGGTCTCTACTTACTTGAGATACTGCTCGTAGAGGTACAGCGTAAGCCGGGATCGGAAGCACAGCTTCAGCTCATTGAGCCCGAACTTTAGCAGGTTGTTGACAACTGCGATCTGTAATAGTAAGCCATCAGACTCCACACTGTATGCAAGCGCAACCATGGCCTTCATGGCATCAATAATCATGGAGCATGGCAAGAACACCCTAGTTCATTTGTTAGTTCTCATAAGCAATTTTAGATTCCACAAAGCTTATGAGCACATGAATGTACATTTCATTGTGCTCATATGAATGATGGCTTTTATGTGTTAAGGTTGTCATGGACACCATGGGTTATAAAGGTCATGATTAAGATGGCGTACTATTTCAATTGTTGAACCTGAGGATTGCTAAATTTTACATTGCTCATAAGTACACCAAATTACATTCAACAGTAAATACGAGGGCGTTTCAGTAAGCAAAGAGGAAACAGTTATTTTTCAGAGGACATTAGTTTGCATGTTCATGTACAGCCTTTGCCAATTCACCTAATGCCAAAAGCAGAGAAGTCTTCTGGTTGTTCTTTATGTGGTGATTGCACCACTGCTCTCAGCCTCCTGTAGAGCTGCCTTCCACGTACATCTTCTTTCAGAGTCAAAAGGGTCTTTGGCCACATTATTTAATGAACTGTCAAATTATCTGCTCCCACACCTATGCCGTAGACTGCTGATTTATGCTGAATTACTACCCACTTCGCCACCCAACAATCAACTTCTTCACACGCAATGGTAGCAACAGTTGAAGCATCATGTGACAGAAGTGGCTTACCACTTCTATGCCGTAGACAGAAGTGGCTTACCACTTCTGTCATTACAAATATGCTCATGTCCCGTTTGCAGCTGTAATAACATTTGTAAACGCTGCCATAATTCATACAGATGTTCATCATATTGCAGTTAATTCTAAAGTAGATTTTGCCTGTCTTTGCACCGTCTTCTAATTAGCAATTATGCATGTGTGAGACCAACCACATTGGACATGGTTTCCAAGGTTCTTCCCCATTTACAAAGCAATTTTTACTAAAATCGCACTGACATGCTATGGGAGTTCTAAAAGCCTCTTTACTTAATAAAACACCCTGGCGCACAAGCATATAAACAGGCACATTTCATGGGTGATGAGAAGGAAGGTGAGTGAGTTGGTGAGTGAGTTGGTGAGTGATTGGGTGAGTGAATGAGTGGGTGATTGAGTGACTGATGAGCAAGCGGGCAGACAGGTTAGCAAGCAAGTGAGTGGTTGAGAGAATAAGTGGGTGTGTGTGAGTGTGGGGAGTGAGAAAGCGAGTGAGCGGATTATCGAGCCATTGAGTGAGCAAAATCAAATGAGCGTGGCAGTGAATGCATGTGTGAATGTGTGAGTTATCGGGTGCAAGGGAGTAAGTGAATGGTTAAGCAAGGTGGCAAATCAGTGGACGGGTCAGCGAGTCACTGAGTGAGTCTGTAACCACACTTACAAGAGGCATTGCCCACATGAAGTTGAGGAGGTATTTCTTGAACAGCCCCATACTCCTCCCAATGATAGCACTAAAGCCACCAAGCCATGCACGGGGAGACCGAGGGGAGGGGAGGGAGGGATGGGGGGGAGAGTAGCGAAGTAGAGCGAAGGAGCGAATGAGTGAAGTTAACCAAGGTGTGTGAAAAACACCAAATGAATCAGAAGTGAAGAGTGAAGGGGTAGGGCAGCATCATTCAAAAAAGCAGCCACCCTTCCCTGAACCCAGATCGACATTTCACTGTTCAGTAACAGTTCCCCAACATTCAGCGATAAAAAATTGCACTTAAAATAAGACGCAACCCAATGATAAAGCAGCCATCATGGCACGACATAAAATGACATCAACAATTATAGCCTCAACTACCCTACAGCCTCAACGTGAAATTGCACCTTCAACAATAAACCATAACATTAACCCAGTTTCAATAAAAACCCAAGTCTTAAGTCTCAATTTTCTAAATTATATTAAAGATATTGGAGATTTAGCTGCATATAAACACAATGGGAATGGAAATTGTATTGTACCCACATCCACAATTGTACATAACATTAACCCATAGCCTTGACACCAGCCCAGATTGCCTGGTAGGATGGGGATGGTTTAGTTTCATTTGTATGTGTTTAGGCAATTTGTTTACCTTTTCTTGTACTCTGCACTCCTATCATGTTTTTCTATTGTTTTGTTGATGTAACGTTCTGACCCACCCATACTGGACATCTGTGAAAAGGAGCTTTATAGCTCATCGGATTCCTCCAGTTTAAATAAATATTCTGATTCTGGGTTGTAAGCTGAACAGCGAAAATCTTTTTTTTTCTCAAAACATGCGCAAACACGATACGAGCAGGATTTCCATGCTGGGTTTCATAATGGCCAACCTCGACCGGCAAAATCACCTTTTCTAGTACACCTTTGTTATGCTATGCTGGCAAGACAGAAATCCATCTTTAGATAAAAGATATTTAAGAAATGTGAATGTGTTCAATTTCCAGATTTACAATGGCAACGTTGGAGGTTCTTAAATCGTAATGAGCCAGGAGCACTAAGATCCTGGACTCGATGCCTGGGCCTGGGAACATCTCTCTGTCTCGGGGGTATGATAATGGCCATATCAATGACAAGCAGACAAGAGTTCTAGGGACCTTGGGTTTGAGCCCCAAGTCTGAGGCCGTTCATGAAGGGAATTTCAAACAATGTGTTGGCCCTTTGAAGTCCTGATTATGAATCCTGGTCTTAGCCGCCCATGGTTAAATCAGGTCTTCGTTCGGTCACCAATGATAGTAGATGACTGACACATAGCAGACAACTCTTTATGGAGGGTGAAGAAGCGATGTCTAGTTTTGGTTTCGAGAGACCTTTTTAAAATGAGGCTCGTATTTAAACGGGTTTGTGGCGTCATCTTCCGAGGCTGAAGTTAATGAGATTCATTGTTGTAAAAATACACATCGCCATTTAAACCCAACATGAAAAACATGAAACATCACAATCCACAACCAAACCTCACAGGCGAGCAGAATCCTTTTTTTTGTATATTTTAATTATCTTACCATCGGCATCGCTGATATGAACTTAAACAGATGTCTCCTGAAAACTGTTGTATTCCGGCTGATAATTCCGCTATTGAACGGAATGGAACGAGAGAGAATCACGGGATGGAAGACCACACAAAGTGTTAACGCAATCCTTTTGGTCATGTTTTGGCCAAACTCCCCAAGGGAAAAGCTTAATATGCAGTGCTTTTGACACCATCGTTGTTGTAGTGTCTTGGTGGTTGAATGATGGTTTCAGGTGGTAACCACAGACACTAAGATAAAAAGCTGACTAAAGCAACACTAACAATTGTCTCTTTCCACAATTTTATTCAAATTGTGCCACTATCTTCATGTGATGAGACGAAATGCTCATTTGGCACTCTCACGGTGCAGTGCAAGAGCTGGTGTTGGAGAATGGCCCGCGGGTCCAATATCAGAGAACTACTTCTGAGATCTCTCAAGTAACCTTATTTATCCAAACATAAGGTGCGCACTTTTCTAAACACCTTGCTTCAGAGAAAAAATGTACGCATAACAATAAAATTGCTATTTTAAAATTTTCAGTTGAAATTTTTCCAAATTACGTGAACAAAAAAACGTGAAGGTTTTTGTGCAGTCATTGGTGACTGAGCCGAAGCCATCCACGCACGACAACTTGAGAACCTGTTTAATGACGAGTGGCTGTCAACATTTAACCCGGGACTGCAACGGTGACAGCTCAGTGTCCTGGCCGCTTGAGCCACCCCCAACCACCACCTCTCTTAATCATCTTCATCAATTACCAGACAGTATCAGCATCACCACATTCGTTTATATGAAGGTATTTCAATATATAAAACTTCAACAATTATATCACTTATACCACTGCAATGTCAGTGAAAAAGTTTAACATAATGGAGCTTGACACCGGTACTCGCGCAATATTTTTCTCAAAATGTTTCCACGAGATGACAGACTTGCTCCAGTTTTCAATGCAAGAGCAGCGAGCTGTTATAGGACGCATGTCATTTCTTGAAATAATAAGGTTAAATTAGGGTGGCACCTGTAATTAAAGTAAAAAAAATTGTGGATCTGCGGTAATCAAGATATGGCCATGTTTGTGACGACAACAGAAGTGGTGGGCAAGATGCTTCAAGTCTAAGCAACAATCCTTGTGTTGAGAGGCTGATTTTGAATGCCAGGCAAGTAGGAGTTAAGCATATATGAGGAGTTGCTAGCAAAAAAGTGTGGGAACAGTCTATTAAAAAAAACTCATCTTTGTTCTGCCTTATTGGCCAGCTTCATTCTGCAATACATCTCATGCATCTGTATACCCTCAGGGGACAAAAACACAAATATAAGCTCACTGCTCTTCAAATGTGTAGTTGTGGAAAGGAAGCATGCATCTTTGATCACGTGACTTTTACCTCCCATTTAGAGTAATTTTTTTAATGCGAGTACCAGGCTTATGCCCCATTCACTGCGCAATTTTAACAGGAATTGCACTGACAAAGATTACAGAATAACTAAAAGTATATTTACTTATTTGAACCTGTTTATAAGAAACAAAAGCATCGTCACCCTCATAAATATAATCACCACCACAATCACTGTCATCAACAGCAAGATCAGCTTCATAATCGTTATCATCCTCCTCCTCACTATTACCGGAGTAGCTCCCTTACCTCTCAATCATTGTCCCGTTCTCAATCATCCACACGTCGCAGTAGGTCCGGGCCACCAAAGTTGCCGCCACCATAACCAGATACATTGTCTTAACCAGGTCACGTGGGTTGGGAGGTTGAAGCAGGGAGGGAGGCGAGATGGTTGAGGAGAGGAATGGGGGAGGAGGAATTGGGGGGGGGGGGTGGTAGGGGAAGAATGAGGGGGGAGAGAGGAGACAGGTCAGCATTGGGCAAAGTTCAATAGGGAGAGTTCAGGGGCAATGGAGGGCAACGTTCAATAAATCGAGTAACATGAGGTTTTAAAATAAAGTCAGAATTTTTAGATGAATTGTCTTTAAAATTTAGCTTGGTGTCACTGTGGTCTGAGTACTTGACTCACAAGTATAAAAGTTGTGAGTTCAAACCCTGGTCGAAGTCAATTCAGACGATTACCGTCATCGCCACTTCAATAGGAGTCTCGCCTTCAAGAGCCATCTCTCACCCCAAATTAGAGGGCACTTATTAACACTCCATAACAAGTTGTTCACCAAGTGTCGGTCATACAAATTTTATCTCTCAAGAGCTGGACTTGGTTAAATAAAAAAACAAGATTTACTATTGAAATAATGAAGATCAGGATGCCGTTTTTCTTGTTTTGTTCCAGTCATTAGTGATCAGGTAGGTTGTGACACTAAACTCATGAAACACGGCGATATGGTTTTATTAGTCAGCATATTAATACCTAGGATCCTTGTAGGGGTTTTACCTCTGTGAAGTCAGGATTTTAGTGGCGCTGGCTCAAAGTCTCAAACAGAGCCATTTTGAACTCTCAAGAGAGGCATGAGTAAACCCAGGATATCAGTGGTGATGGTTGAGCATTGTCAACATGGCCTTTATGATCTTCACATTAATGTGCAGTCCTTTGCCAAGCCACAGCTGGATATGACTTCCCCTCTCCATGCCTATCCATTATGGGGTTTGTATCACAATTCTTGACCACACTGGTCAGTGTGAGTTGGTGAGGGGGAGGGGGTAACCTAGGAGCAGTTGACATATCACTCGTCACTGTTTTTAACTGTGGCCAGGAATCAAACTCAAGTCACTGGGTTCTGAGTGCAGTGATAACCACTGCACCAATAACACTCCACCACCATTCACCATTAAACGCATTATAAATCTGAGACAGCCATTGTGAATTTAACAGCTAGCTTTTGGGGTGGAGAGTTTCTTATCATTTAGAGGCTGTAAGTTGACAGAACAGCTCGCTCACTAAATTGTGCGACTGATAAGACACACACACCAACTATGCCTATACAAAGGTCGCACACGTTCCCATTTCTGTGTATGTGCATATGCATTTGAGTGCATGACTGCATGTCTCTGTATATATGGATATGTATGTGTGCATGTCTGGATGTAACTGTATTTTTGTCTGCATGTGTATGTACAGTTAATGTGTGGATCTGGGTACAGATGTAAACTATATGCGTATGCATTGGGAATGTACTGATGCTTCAATGCATGTATTAAAATAAAATTTGACACTTATGATACAAGCATATCCAAATGATATGTCATTAGATTTTCGCTGAAAGAGCCAACAGTACTATAAAAACGACAGTATAAATTAGACAATTCAAACAAGAATGAAAAAACGCAAACATTTTTTTTTACAAATAATGACCTTCACGTAACAATTTGTCAAATAAGTATGTGTGTCTGTCGATATGCAGACACACATACTATATTACATACACAAAGACCTCCATACAACCTTTAAACAGACTGTTGGGGAAAGTCCTGTTAGCACATAGCGTATACACACCCAGAAAGACACTAACAATGACAATCGTCATATGCCACTAATCAGTGGTGATTTCACCAGCATACTTGTGCCAAGCCAGGTGCACTTGGAGGCAAGTCAATGGTCAAAATGAGGTGTTAGGGGTTAACCGAGTGAGATGACGAACAGTTGCACACACATATTTCATATCACTTTCGTATAATAATAACATCTCAACTCTTCTTCTTTGGTTCTTTCGGTAAAGTCACATAGAATGAGAATACAATAATAAATTGATAAAATAAAATAACACAATATTCTCACGACGTTTCGGCCACAACACAAGCGGCCTTCATCAGGTGAAGGGACGAGACTGTCTGGAGGACAGCGCTGGAGTGAAAAAGCCACGCTCAGATCGCTACCTTTTTTATTCTCATTCTACGTGACTTTACCGAAAGAACCAAAGAAGATGAATCCTTGCAGTCACGAAAGCTTTAAATCGAAATCTCAACTCTTACCTCCTTGGTAAGCATCCCAGGCACCATGATTTTCAAAATCTGCCAAATTCGGCCAAAGAATGCCTTGTCAACAGCTGCCCTCTCTCTCTTGCCATCCTTCTGCACACAGACACATGGACAAGTCCCTTTTGCATCATCATCACCATCATTATCACAACCAAATCGATCACCATCACTACTACCACCACCATCATCATGCTCACTACCACCATGTGACAAGGTAGAGGAACACTGCACTTATCGCCATCAAATGGGGTAACCCATGGGATAACCAACGTTGGGTGTGGTCGCCACCCAAGAGATAAATCAAGGCAGATCTCACTGGCCGAGATGCAGTGCAAGGAATAGGAGAACCGGTTTCATAGGCTGCCATTTAATGTGCTGGCTTGCGATTGTGCAAACCGTGACGGCGCGAGCCAGCTGACCAGACATGTACCATGCCTCTGCTCTTCAAGCTATAAATATGATTGTGGCTGTAGTTCAAGAGAGGAAGACTGACTGCACTGGGAGCTAATGTAAGCTGCCATAGAATGATGGGCTCACGTAACAGGGATGAGAAAACAATGTGCTTTGTAAAAAAAAAGTGTATATGCAAGTCTACATGAGGGGATGAACCCAACGTTTTGCAAACCCAATAAAGTATGAAACCAAAATTAACTGACTGGCAGCGTGTAACAAGTAAACTGCACGAAAAAACTCCGTTAAACAACACAACATGATCACCGCCATCATCAATTATGCACACAACACCTTAATTTAGCCTGTGGGGGTTGTTGGAATGAGTGCTGTTAGGAAGCAACTATGAAGTAACTCGTGTGCTTTTTCCCACTCAATTTCAATAGCTCAACCACGACATTACGCTCCAAGTGAGAGAGACCCAGACATTAAATGCGCATTCGCAGTAGTGCTAGCTCAGTGTCTCAGACACGGCCATTGTGAACCTCCTAAGGAAGAGCCTTACCGACTTGACAACAATTGAAAATCCATCTCCATCTTTCCTAGAAAAAAAAAAGACAAAATGTGCATTACCCGTCATGTTATCAACAGCAAAGGCATCACATTATGGTTTATATATGTTATTGTACGTTACGAGCCTTCAAAATATTCAAAGTGTCTCCAATAACCAAAAGAGCAACGATTTGAGCTCGGTCGATACACTAGAAGAACGCTGGTGACTTCCCACAAAGTTATTCTATTACTTTACCACCACATAGGGGATGATGATGATGACTGTTGCTCCCGATTCTGCTGCTATAGCTGTTCGCGATGGTGTTTACAACGGTGTATTTTTACTGCAGCTGAAAAAAGTTGTTTGCTGATGCTGCTAATGATGCTGATGATAATGGGTCAAATCCAATTAGCAATGGGTTTCAAAGACGATGACAGGATTCGCTGGACACGTACTGCGAGTCACAATGCAAACTGTAGGGGTCGCTTTTTATAGTTCAAAATCAGAGCCGGGGGGGGGGGGGGGGGAATCCGGCACTTGTCGAACATCGAATTCATCTTTTCCTCACACTTCATGTGATTTCCGGGAGGCAGAGTGGGTGAATGATATTTATAGAGAACACACTGTGCTCAGGATATCCTAAGGGGACATTCCTCAGGAAAAAAAAACACACATTCGATTTAGTGTCATTAACTTATTTTATCCAGGTGAGGGCCCATTGAAATTCTGTTGAGGTGTCCTTGATTTAAGCAGGTATCATTTGAGGTTATGTCCCTTGTGATTGACGTTCGTGAAGTAGGTGCGAGTCCAGAGATGCATGTTCGCTACAATGATTAACACCAGGTGAGGGTCCATTTCAATGGACCCTCACCTGGTTTAATCGTGTACTTTATTTAACCTTGTCGATTTTCTTGTCGTCCTTTATTTAACCACGTTGACATTGATTCTACCGTATTCTAAACGAACGCCTTCCATTAGACATGTTAATACCCCTTTTCACCGAATTAGCCGTTGACACCGCTAATTAACGAGACGCAGGGTACAGTATATCTTGAATGACTGACGCACTCTGTACCGAGTGAGAGCTCATAACGCGCCTACACCAACCAGGCGAAGTTTATTCGAGCTCAATATTTTAGCCAACGCGAAATTTCAACCCGACTCCGTGACCCTTAACACAGATAATACTGTATATTAAAATCTGACACAGTTTACAAAAAACGCACCTATTTTTTTTTTGCAACGTAAATGTCTCCCCCCCCCGCACCCCACACAAATGCCTTAGATACACGTGCGCGCGAGCAACGTTACGAACTATATATATAGCTTTATGTCAAATCAAAGACTCGCACGCACGTTCACCTAAGGTCAACAGGAGCCTTTGCATTCCCTAGAGCGCTTAGGCGCGCAGCTCCCCAACAGGCGAACCCGGCGCGTCAAACGTCGACCAATCGCGTCGCGAGGCCGCCATCACGCGACGCGCGCGCAACCAATCATGCTGCAGCTCCGCGCATACAAACTACGCATTCCAAAGACGCTTGGCTGCTGTCGGCACCCGCCCCCCGGGACCCATTGGTAGCGACGTTCGCATCGATTTGCCGACGACGGGATACCGAGAAGCGCCGCAGACAGAGCGCGAGGTGGCGGCGATTGCACATACTTGGGCGGTTTGCGCTGGCCGCGGCGCCGGGAGAGGAGGTAGCAGGCGATGAAAGCGGCTGCCGCGGCAGAGCCATTGGTGCGAGTGAACAGCTTGCTCAGCGCCGCCATGTTGGTAAGGGAAGGACGTCCGCTTCCGGCACGACTTTATATAAATATTGTGATGTCATCGCACCGCCCCCCCCTTCTCGCCCCTCCCCCTCTCGGCCCTCCCCCCTCCCCCAGGGCTGCTCTTTCATTGGTCAGACGCCGCCTCATTCTACGTCGCGATTGATGACAACTGAGAAAGGGCGTAGCTTGTGGACGGCGTGGGCGGAAGTCGTCATCTGCGAATCGATGGCGAGCGGCATGACGTCAGCGTAGGGGGCAGAACTCTTCGTTGCGATGACGTCGCCGCTAAGCCGCCAATCGGCGTTGACATTGTCGATGTGTTGGTGTCACCAACCACGATTCGATTCGCATGATAAATTTTGGGTTATTTCGAATCCCATCACGTTGTTGAAGGCGTGGATAAGCACCCTCGCCGATTAATGCGCGCACAAACGGTGGAATCGATTCCTGGTCGCACACGATGCCTTACGTGGAATGAATCGAATAATGTTATCTCTGCAGATGGAATCGATTCCTCGCCCTTCTTAAGTCTTTGAGCGGCTGCCCAACTTGAATTAAATCTAGAATTTAATTAAGAAGATTGGTCAATATCGCAATAAGCGTCGACTGAATTAGGGCGCCATGGGCTCGCATCTCACGCGCCGCTACGTGACGAGCACCGAGACCGAGCCAGACCCGCAAAGCAAACCCTCGTTTGACCCCAACATAGGCTTCGGCGAGCGGCAGGAGAGGGGTGAGGCCTTCACCAGGCGTCACAGGGGCAAACGCGCGGCACCCTCGGCGTTTGTATTCGTGTGCGATTTGTATTCGTGTGGCGCTTTGTATTCGTGTGGCGATTTGTATTCGTGTGGCGATTTGTATTCGTGTGGCGCTGAACGTTCGTGTGCGCTTTGTATTCGTGCGCGTATCTTGAGTTGCACGGGGGTCAAGTAGTATACGCTTTGCTTACGTTTGCGCGCTCGTATTGATTTGGACAGTGCAGTTCTTTGGTTCTTTCGGTAAAGTCACGTAGAATGAGAATAAAATAATACATTGATAAAATAACACAATAATATTCTCACGACGTTTCGGCCACAACACAAGCGGCCTTCATTAGGTGAAGGGACGAGACTGTCTGGAGGACAGCGCTGGAGTGAAAGAGCCACGTTCAGATCACGACCTTTAAGCTGTGTGAGAGGAAACAAAGCGCCTTGACAAAGGAATTAGTATATAATTTAGCCATTTCAATGCTAATTCCTTTGTCAAGGCGCTTTGTTTCTTCTTACACAGCTTAAAGGTCGTGATCTCAGCGTGGCTTTCTCACTCCAGCGCTGTCTTCCAGACAGTCTCGTCCCCTTCACCTGATGAAGGCCGCTTGTGTTGTGGCCGAAACGTCGTGAGAATATTGTGTTATTTTATTTTATCAATTTATTATTTTATTCTCATTCTACGTGACTTTACCGAAAGAACCAAAGAAGATGAATCCTTGCAGTCACGAAAGCTTTAAATCGAAATTTAGTGCAGTTACTATTAAGCCTATGACCAAATCTGGTGCCAGAAAGATGTGCCCAAGCTATTTGGCACAAGACAGAGGAAAGTGGAAACAAATGACGAAATGTCCAGTGGACACATAACGGGATATCTGCCCATGGATCGTGATGGTGATGTTGACCACCAAATAACCCACACTGTATCACGTAACGTCAGACCGCGTAAGCTAAGCATGTGAAGAGCCTGGATTTTGCTTGGTTGGGCGGCCGGCATTCAGTTGTCATGGGGCTGTGGTGCGTTGTCGGCAGCAGAGGGCGCTGCTGAAAAATCCATGGTACTGTGACGGTGTGCGCTTGTCACTACAATGTGCTCGTCACCACAGTATCATCAAAAGTGTCATGTCATCGCAGTGTGCTCCGTGTCTTCAGTGTGCTCCGTGTCACCACGATGTTCTCTTTATCACAAGAGTGTTCTTTACTGCGTCATTGTACTCTGAAATCGAGTGCGCTCATTGTCATTATCATCTATGTTATCACAGTGTCCTCTGTCATTACAGTGTGCTCTGTCATTAGTGTTCTCTGTAATCAGTATGCTCTGGGATGTCATTGTTTGCTCCTGTGAAATTAGTATTGTCTCTGGCATATTCGTTTCTATGCCATCACGCATCGATATTACAGTTGATATCACAGGTAAAATTATATTGGAATGTATAAAGCTGCTCCCAAGTCCAGTTGTGAAGGACGGAGGGTTGGCATCTGATAGGCAGTGGGCTTTAAAACTACTACCAAACTATGATCTGGTGGATTTTTTTTGTGATTATAAGTTCATGCGTGTGCAGTGCTATATTCAGTTGTGATTTGTAATCCCATTCATGCTTCGGGACTTGATATAAGGTAGTCCTCGACTTACGAATGGGCTACGTGCCTGAGACCCGTTCGTAAATCCATTTGTTCGTATCTCGGAACTCAATATTTCATTGTACATGGGTCAGTGTTACAACATGTGTTATGGTTCAACATAAAAGGGAAGCATGGTTAAACTCATAAATAAGAAAAAATATTGTACATTGGCATGTAATACTGTAATAAATACTGTATAGTAAATCTATATATAAAAAAGGGAAATGTGTGAATGTGTTCAAAATGTTTAGCGTACTTCTCGACATGCAACAAACTTGAAATTTGCCATGTGGGTACTTTCCAGACTGTACACCATGCAAAAATTCTAAAAATACACTTTTTTTGGGGGGGGGGGGGCGCAATAATGGATATATATTTTGCATGGCAAGTGAGCTGTGACGTCACATCTGTCATATCACCCGCGCATGCGGAAGCGTCACGCAGTGTGCCTGCTGACGTCACGCTTCCCCCCCCAACCCACCGCGAGTAAAGTGCCATACAAATGTGTTGCAGGTCTAAGGCGTTCTTCGCGCAGCATTGCTTTATTATTTCAGACGTTTACTGCCGTACGCACACCGTGAAAGTTGTGTGTGTCTGCAGCAAGCGCGTGTATGTGTACCTATGTTTGTGTGGGGGGGGAGTGGTAGTGTAGTGGTTGCGCTGCGCTACGAACCCGGCGACCCGAGTTCGATTCCCGCTCACGGCCACCACCGGTGACGATTATTTGAACCGGTCCTGGGCCTCCCCTAGGTCGACTCAGCCTCAAACAATTAACTGGTGTGGTGTCTGAACATCGCCACTGGGGAGACGAATGCGGCCGGGCGTGGTGAATCCAAGTCCCGGGCGAAGCCGCGTAGTAAAGCTAGTACAATATAAAATAAAGTAACACGAAAATAAAAATTAGTTTTATTTTCGCTTGCCTTGAGTCGAACTGTTCACTGCCGTGCGTCACGCGGAATGCTGGGACTCATTACACCCCGTGGAGGATCGCTCCGCTGAACAATATAGTTCTGCGGTTCGGTTGGTGAATACAACTGAGCACTCGCAAGCCGGATGGTTAAAAATGATAACGTCTAATGGCAGTTCGTTTGTAAGTGCGGATGTACGTTCGTCGAACGTTAGCATCTCGGGGACTGCCTGTATCTGTGCGAGGTGTGATATTTAGTCATACATCATAATGAAAATGAAAGCCCTCAAAGATAGCGAAAACTATGAACAGCTGAGATGAAAAAAACAATCGCAAAGAAAGTAGATATCAATATGCATGTCTTTGTGTGTGTGTGTGCGTGTGTTTATGGAAGTATGTATGTACAGGCCTAGTAACTGGAAAATAGATTAATTGGTGATACTTCATTGGCAACGGTGCCCAAACACAAATAACTAGAAACTGAACACATTCACAGTAACGTCAATAACATTGCCTTAAAAGTAAAAGTATAGAATAGATGACATTTCAGGCAATTACCCTCCTTATCACATAGCACGGTAAATGGTCGTGTGTTAAACTTCCAAAAAGTTCCAGAGAAATTGAGCTATCAATATATGATGTAATTGCATTCGGCACCCTTCAAACCCTTTTGATATAACATTTCATACGTCTTGGCCTGAGGACAAACACGTTTAAAATATTTCACCCCCCCCCCCCCCCAAATTTAATGAGGCCCAAAACCAAACATTTACTTTTTCAGATTTTCCAGTTATGAGCAAAAATTGTATTCTCCAAGGGCTAGAACGATAAATCGTTCTCGCCCTTGGACAATACAATTTTTGTGTTTAGTTTGTTGTCTTTCCCCTTCACCGATTAGCACGGTCGGCTACGTATGGTGCGAAAGAAGTTCAACATTAGAATTTACATCTTTTAAGGGGAGAGAGTATATGTATGTGAAACTCATGAAAGTTAAACCCTGCCAAGTGTTGCTGTTTAAACAGATGATGCTGTAAAATATTGCATCAGAAGACCGATAGGCTGTTGAACTCTAATGGTTTATATATGACCAGACTAACTGTTGCGTTTAACCTCTAGCCACAAGGTTAGCTCGAAGCACATCCAATGTTGCTGGACTGTGCTTGATGGGCCTTGGAGTGTTGTATTTAACATTAGGCCAACCAATTAGCATTTCTTTTACATGTTATTCTCGAGTTTGCCTGCTTAAATAAATGCAGATGGAAAACATTGCTGCTGAAAAAACTGAATTGTATGTATTTGTATGCGTATTTTATTATAAAGTATATATATGTCTGTATATGTAAAACATCTATTTAGCCAGAAAAGTCTTACTGAATCTCAAGACTGGATTGGGATGTATAGAATATTTGGTCAGTTCATTAATTAATGTTAGCATTTGCGAAGACTGCCCGAGTACCCAAGAAAACGCATGCATACAATCGGATAACTCAAAAGTTTCCACAGATAGATTCAATAATCCATTGCTGCGCTGTTGTCTGCTGGGTACTACACACCCCAAGACGACAAAACCTGGTGGTCAGGCCTCAACCTGCTTAGCTTAGCTGGTGTTCGGGCCAAACCCTACTTCGTTTCTGAGTTCTGATAAGGCCATACACATTCTAAATGTGTACAAATGAGTGATGATGTGTGGTGGTCAGCACAATGCACTATGCATTCAGCTAGCTGAATTTAATTTCGTGCCAGGGCTAATGCCATTGGCGATTATCTGG